AGATTCTGAATTGGTTTTTAATTAAAAAAGCTGTCTTCAAAGTTTGAATTATTTACACTAGGAAATTTCATTTCCATACTACTAGTACAAAAATAAAGTTTGTAATTTAACTTTCATTTCAGTTTCAATTTATAAGAAAATATCTTTCTATGAAGGCCACTGCTTTGTAAAAAATACCTGCCTATAAAGACCACAGCTTTGTATCAAATACGTCTATAAATGCCACTGCTTTGTATCAAATACCTGCCTATAAAGACCACAGCTTTGTATCAAATACGTCTATAAATGCCACTGCTTTGTATCAAATACCTGTCTATAAATGCCACTGCTTTGTAATAAATACCTGCCTATAAAGGTCACTGCTTTGTAACAAATACCTGCCTATAAAGGCCACTGCTTTGTGACAAATACCTGGCTTGAAAGGCCATATCTTCATAATAAACACCAGCATATTAAGACCACCTTTGTGGAAAAAAACACCTGTCTAAACAGGTCATATCTTTGAGAAATAACTACCTAAAATGCCTCTTTCTTGTAATTATTACCTGCCTATAAAAGCTATCTCTTTTCAGATGAATACCTGCTTATACCAACCAATTCATTATAACAAATACCTGTCTATACAGGTCACTTTTTTATAATAAATACATGCCCATTAAGGCTATCTCTTTGTAACCTGCCTGAAATTGTCACTGCTTTGTAACAAATACCTGTCTATAAAGGTCACCTTTTTTTTCCCCATACTCCCTTGAGTGACCTTTGTAGTCGGGTTTGGTTTATACTTTTGTATGGCTGACAGTCTCACTTTTGAGATGTGTTTACTAGTAAGGATGAACTTCAGACCACTTTCCCCTAGAACGTTGGTTCGAGATGCTTTGGCAGCAGGGGATGATGTCTGTTGGGTTAGTTGTTTACTCACTGTTGATACATTAGATTTTTCCCTGTGGGTTTTCTTTTCAGCATTCATTTCAACTTTTGTTCCTTTCATAAAAAGTTACAGAGCTTATTTTTATTGTTGAACTTTTAAAGATATAACATTGACATTTGTGTCCATTTTATATACTTGTATCATTGTTATCAAAATGTGCCATTATTTTTTAAGTTAAGTTTTTTTATTTGAACTCGTGATGTTTGGCTTTTCAGGTCACCTGATAATAGATCATGGTGACCTATTGTGATAGTTCTTTGTTCATCATTTTCCTTTTTGAAACTTGTTGAATGTCTTAATCTAGATCTTGCATAGTTTTCAGAAGGAGAATTTCAGGAACCTGTGGTTATTTCAGAAGGAGAATTTCAGGAACCTGTGGTTATTTCAGGAGAATTTCAGGAACCTGTGGTTATTTCAGAAGGAGAATTTCAGGAACCTGTGGTTATTTCAGGAGGAGAATTTCAGGAACCTGTGGTTATTTCAGAAGGAGAATTTCAGGAACCTGTGGTTATTTCAGAAGGAGAATTTCAGGAACCTGTGGTTATTTCAGGAGAATTTCAGGAACCTGTGGTTATTTCAGAAGGAGAATTTCAGGAACCTGTGGTTATTTCAGAAGGAGAATTTCAGGAACCTGTGGTTATTTCAGGAACCTGTGGTTATTTCAGGAGGAGAATTTCAGGAACCTGTGGTTATTTCAGCAGGAGAATTTCAGGAACCTGTGGTTATTTTAGATTTGGACTCATGAGGTTTGTCACTAAATGTATTATCAAAAATGATAAGGGATCTCCCTGAAACTTCAGATCAATTGTAAGTGAGTCAAGCTAGCTGTCAATGACCATTTAAATTTTGTCACTGTTTGACTCATTGGTTGTATTTGTTTATTTTTCAAGGGTAACATGTCTAGTACATGTATACTTATCTTCCAAACGATGAACTATAAACTTGTGTAAGGATCAGGCGTGTACAAATACAATATTCCAGTGACACTTAACTGTTAATATTACCATCAATACCATACTCGGTGAACAGATCTAACTGACTTAAAACCAGTTATAAAGATTATCTGATAGTGGATTCGAAAGGAATCCCTCTGAGAGATAATCTTTTTAATCCTTTGACTTGTGAAGACTGGGGGCAGGGATGTTCATTGTAGTAATTCAGTTTTGAACAAAGTTACTGTCATAACACTTGCCAAGTTATGGTGTTAGTCTACACTGTTGATGCAACATGGCCCATCCTAGTTTTGTGATGGTAGTTTTTGTGTACATATTTTGTACAGTCATTTTTAAGCAGATTTATATGAGTTTCATGACTTTTTTTTCATTTGTTATATTAGAAACAGAGGATTTTGTATTACTTTATAACAAATATTTTATCATTACAATCAGTGAGTGTTCTTCAACATTTCACTTACAGGGTCCATGATACATTTATGGTGAAATACAATGAAAAAAATGTGTGGTACAGGTAACTCATGCCAAAGAGATGTAATTGTCTTTATGTGTCTCTAAGAGGGAAACTTCTCACAAACTTAATACTCACTTGTCTGAGTGGATAGTGAAACAATCACTGTGGTTCAGTGAGGCTACAGTCTGTGGATAGTGAAACAATCACTGTGGTTCAGTGAGACTATAGTCAGTATTGTAAATTGTGAATAAATCAAGAAGCTTCAGTGATGTGCATTATAAAAAAGTTTTACTGCAATACAAGCAGAAATTTGAGTACAAGTACAAGTCTTGAAAAGAGAAGTATTATATGGTGTTTGTTGTGTCAGTCAACTTTGTGTAGCCCACTTGGTTATTAGATAGTTGTAAACATTGTTCATGAAAACTTTTTAAAAGGCCAAAGGGCCAATGCAGAGTTCCAATAAGACTGATACATCACAATAATTTCTATGAATTTGATGAATTTTCCAGTTGAAAAATATGTCAAAATATGATCATCATATATAAATGGCATACACAGTTAAATGTATACTGCTATACATGTTTCAATGTTATCACAATCGTTATTAATGTTTTATCAATAAAATGTTTGAAACCATTACCGAATCATCTGTCATTATTTTAACAGGATCCACTTGTTATGTATTAACTTTAATCCAGCTGTATCTTAACAGTCACTCCCTACATTTACTGCTGGCCAGAACATGTAAAGGGCTAACTACTAATGGTTAATGTATTCTTGTATATATATATAATTTTATCTCTAGAAAACTCTGTATACAGGAAATATCAACAGGACAAAATGTTTGTTTTGTTAACATTTTTTAAACTGTTGACTCTCTTCAGGCGATTTGTTTACTAGCTCGCCTAGCCCTAAAGGCCAGATGAGCTGATGCTGTGGTGCAACATCCAACGTCCTGTGTCAAGTTTCTCTTTTGAACAACTTCTTCTTGGTACTAGGTCACAGGGATACTTTTTTGCTAAAACAGTCTCTCATTAATCAATGGGCCAAGAATCACGATTCACTCTGACCTTTATCAAGGTCACTTGGATGAAATTTTCAAAACACAAACCATATTTTCTGCTAAACCAAAAAGCCTACAATCATATTATTTGTCGGGTATGCAGCCCCCATCAGCTGTCAAATTTATACTATATTGATGAAGTGACAAAAAAACTCATAAATGTTAGGATCTGTTCATGAAAAAAGTTACACAATCATGTTACAAAATGGCTACTGTGGTTACCACAAGTTGAACAAGATTATCAAATCATCTCTTTCTTTTCTTTAAAAAATCAATCTCCAAATATTTTTCTCTTTGGTGTGAATGAAACTTGAGAAATTGTTCAGACTATTTGTTCTAGATGAGTTATGTTGGATTTTGGACCATAGAGTAAAAATAAGATTTGGTCAGGACAATCTCAGGATCCCTTCATGCATGTTTGATATCATAGTTTCAAGCCAATTTTGGTTGAAATCTGCCTAGGCATTAAGAAGGAGTAGTGTTTTTAAGCAAAATATTGTCTAACTACCCTTTTGGGGTGCCATCCCCAGGTCCCTAGAGGTTGAATCAGCTTTCTGAATTTAAGGAATTATTTTCTATCCCAATGATGTTTCAGATCAAATCGGTCGAAATCCGCCCAGGCGTAAAACAGGAGTAATGTTTTAAGGGAAAAGTTTACGGACTGAGGTCAGAGCATGAGGACAGGCAATGCATGATAGCAATAGGTCATCTTGACACTTCAGGTATATCCAAATTTTGGTCTGTCTATTTGAATATGGTTATGTCTAAATAAAAATGAAAGTTTCTAGGATGCTCCAGTTTCTTTATAAAATTCTTTTGATGACAAAGATTGTACTGTACCCAATATTTCTATAAACCCAGTTAAAATGAGCAGAAAAAAATAAATATATATTAACTTATCCTTACAAAAACTATCTATGTACTACAGAAACTCCAAAGGACTGCTGAGTCTATGTCATATTGTGACATCCATTATAAGGTCGTTGGTCTGTCTGTCCATCAAATTTTTCTACAAATCACTACTAGTTGTAAACAACTGAGCAGATATTGCCCATATTTGGTCTGAATCATTCTTGGTTAGGGGAATTAATTACATAGAAAGAGTGAATGTCTGATCGTGGAGTGGGGCCCAATATGGGAAATAGCACAAATTCTTTCAAATCCTACTCCACCAGTAGGACTGCTTGGATTTTGCCCAGATTTGATCTGATGCATTTTATCTAATTATTGTTTATATAACAGAAATGAAACTTCAATTTCCAGATACTATCTTTAGTTATTTGAAACATTGTCAGAAATACATGTATTTGTATAATAATTTAAAGTCATTCAGTATGACCTTTGTAAGCGATTCAGGATTTCAACTCGTACATGAATTAAAAACCTATGTGGCGCTACAGATGCTGCATAATAATTTTCATTGCTTCACTAACGTAAATGGTTAACAACAACAATTGAGTTAAATGGCTGAATAGCTGAAATAGCCAGGTGATGATGGAGGCCTATTGGGCCTCTTGTTTTTTTGTAGTAGTAAAAAATGACCAGAAGATCATAAGTGGTACCTTCGTCTTTTCGATCTCAAATTTAATTTAACATGCATAATTTACAAAAATTAGAATGAGTTTTACCATAGACACAGACACATTAGCATTTCTTATCTTCAGTCACAGCCAAGTGATCTCACCGTTTTAAATCCAACATAATATATATGCAATTGGATTTCACAAATTCAGGAAACACAGACAAAATAGGTTCTTTTTAACTTCTCATTCAACAAACACTGGACAATGGAAAGCAAATGACTTTTAAATCAAATTGAATTTCCAACCACAATACGATCAAAGTGTCACCAGATTTCCTTATATTGTCTTTCATTTCAAGAGACTTACTGCAGACATAAATGAAGCTGTAAAAAGGCATAATTGTAAAGGTACATTGCAAGATTATGTCCTCGCTCTGTTGAGTACGTAAAATAAAACCATCAAATTTTTTACACTGATACTCATGTATATATATAGTGTACACGTTCAGTCCATAAAAATCCAGCTCTCGACTATATAGGATTACATATCATGAACTTAACTATATAGAAATATAGATAGCTAGTCAAAACAAAAACAATCTGGCCAGGTTTAGTAGTCATGAATAACCATGGTAACTTTGTATCTATAATATTTAAACATTATTACAGATTTTTTATCTTTTTGTAACCATTTGATGTAATTTTCCACTAATTTGATACCATAGCATGTAAAGTACATCGTAATCGATGCCGTTTCAAGATCTTGAGTAAGATTTGCGTTTGATCTTAATAGTCATTATTGCATTATTTGTACGTGATGAGGAACTCCGGGTAGGTCAGATCTTGATCATATACTACAAACTCGCGATCTGAAAAGCTTCCGCCATCCGCTACAACCGATGTAAAGACTTCCGTGTGCTGATTACAGACCGACGTAGAACAGGTCCTACACGGGGGTCGTCGGAAGCTTTGACTACTCTTGGTGATGAAGATGTCTCCTAGGCACATCCTCACTAGGAACATAAAGCTGTGGCCTTGGGCGTTGCGATCTGTCAAAAATGGTAATGATGGTTCAAACTTGGCAAATTTGAAATAGAGGTATTGATATCTACATCTTCAAATACATTGAAATCTTATATTGATTCCTCACTAGGAACATGAAACTGTGGCCTTGGGCGTCGCAATCTGTCAAAAATGGTAATGATGGTTCAAACTTGGCAAATTCGAAATAGAGGTATTGATATCTACATCTTTAAATACATTGAAATCTAATATTGCAACACAAGATTATATTAAAGAGAATCTAGATGTGACTTTCTGTAGCTCAAACAGAGATAAAACTTTTTTCTATTTTCTAGATACTGAGATTAGAGTTAATAAAAACAAGTTGTAGGGTAATGTAGGGTCTAGAGGATACATACCAATATACTGACTTGACTTTGAAGCCACCTCAGCTGCATAAACTCCATTTCCTACTCTTCCACTGCTGGCTAACCGATTGTCCAGACCCTGGTGTGTTATAGTATTGACAAAGGGACTCTTTGTACCGTGAAATAGATATACTTCATTGATTTCGTCATTAAGATATGTTCTCATGGATTGATCGAGATGTTTTGAAGTCACAACTTGACCCCTGGATCCGGTAACATTCTGTAGATCCTTAAAACTCTGCTCAACGTAAGCTTGACGAAACAAAAGCTGGCTCATATGGAGGTAGTTATCGAATAATTTAATATTCTCCAGTCGCTCTATCTTAACTACAGTACGAGATGCCATCCCAGTCTTTTTAAAGGCATTTTCAATGGTTTTCAAAGTCTGTGCATCAACGGCTACCAGCGTTGGCGTTGATTTGGCATCCATAGTCCATTCTTTGACAGTTTTGCTGTGACTGTACTTGGTCCAGTAGGGAGGTGGGCGTGGCGTCTCCATGTACTTATACTTGAGATAAGCCTTACTGTTTCTTGGTGGAATGGCTGGAGTAACTGTGACAAAGACATTGAAATATCATCCATAATCAAAATAAAACATGTACGAGCTAACCAACTCATTTTGTTCCTGTCATACTGAAAGCAAAATTTGTTTTATTGACAGAAAGAGTGCACGAAGTGTAAGCCAAAGACCTATATATAAGGCAGATTTGACAAAGTCTATGACTTATTTCCATACCTGTTCTTTGGACTGGTTTTTTCCGTTGAAGTTCATCTTGAAATGCCTGTAAACAAAACAAGTCATGCAGATCATACAATCTAGTTTTAACTCAAATACTGCAGCTAGTGACAATGGCATGCATTAACTGCTGTTTACACTGAAAATCTGTCCATACTGACCTCTGTACAGTGAATACACTTATTATTGTTCACACTGTCTACAATAAACCCTTTACAATAAATACTGGCCTACATTGTTTAATCTGATTAGTTGTGTTATCTTTCTTTGCAATGAATACATTTGAACTTGAAAAGACAACTGATCAAAAGAACATACTTTTCTTGTATTACTGCCAATCACATCATTGAAAAAAAAACTTCACCATGTCTTGTTCTTGTGTTTGTAATTACAAAACAAACTGTACCTTACAAAAGTTACAGAAAGATAACACAAATGTATGGGAGGTAACTCTTACATATACAAGGACGAAAGATATCACTATCACACACAGGTATGGGTCGGGATATCTGTACCTGACACTGTAAGAAAAAATGGCCAATCTTATACAGGTATGGGAAATAAACAGTTATGGGAAATTGCTTTTCTTTACACAAGTATTCATGATATCACTATCTTACACAGGTATGGTGGAGGTAACAAATTGCTACACAGGTTTTTCGGACTCTTCCTAACACATGTATGAGTCGAGCTCTTTCCTACAAGGGTATTTGAGGTAAATCTTTTCTATACAGGTGTTAAGGAGTACCCAATGTTACCTGTTCAATATCTTTCCAATCCTGTCCAAACACAACAACCTTGACCTCTAAGAGACTAGTTTGATGGTTGTTTACATAATCTCGTATGCCACCCACAATGACACTAGCTACAGTATCCTTGGGGTACTTCAGAAAGCCTGTTCCAAGGGCTGGGAAGGCAATTGAAGTAAAGCCTTTTTTACTGGCCTCAGTCAAACAGCTTTGTACAAAGTCACCGAGAACCTGGAAAAAAATAACTATTAATGGATAAACAAAAAACAATTAAGAATCATAAATTATATCCCTGTTAAAAATTAATTCACTGTTCCGTATTACTTAAGCTTTCTCAGACATCTATATCAGACCTTAGACATTATAATATTAAGATATCTCAATGGAAAAAAGTCAACAATATGATCAATATTACTAATTGTGGCTGATAAAACCGTAAAATCCAAACGTCTAAATGACTAAATGACCTGAAACAAGTGGCAGGAATAAATCACGTATTGGATCGGAACTGGTCATGTCGTGCTCACTCCTTACGGTTATATTACATTTATTTAGTGAAGATTCTGCATACCTCCGGTATCCACAGCAGTTCTAGGAAGAATTTTTACCGGATTTAATTGATTGCGGGACGTTGTGCCTCCCCCCACTCCCCCACCCCCCTTGTGTTAATTATAGACAATACACCAGCTCTACCTGTTCTGGTCTTTTGTTTCCAGTCTGCTTGGAGTAAAAAGATGTGAACGTCCCATGATAAACCTTTTTACACAGAAGATCGTAACCCCCAGTGATGGCTAGTTGTCCAGGAACGATTCCATTTGGATAAGAATCGTCTAATTCCGATTGTAAGGATTGGCCAGCAGCAGTCAACAGAGACTTAGCCAGACCCGATCCTCGACCTAATTTCAGATCCTTCGAGGTGCTGTTCACAATCACATCCACCTGCAAGCAGAATGTCAATTTACATAAATTCTACTTCAAAAATTGGACTTTTATCTTTTTACAAATAGAAGTGCAGTTTTAAACAACTATAAAACAAAATAGGATTTTGAATCTTAAACTGTTAGGATACAATCATCTTTACGGAACGATATTATATTTCATGAAAATTTGGAAAAATTTGAAATTTGCATAAGTATCACAGAACTCATTGTCTATAATCAGTCAATGTAGCATACTTATCACACGGATTAAAACACATTGAATATCTGTATCAATCCAATTACAATGAATTCAATCATATTTCAACTTTAAAATTATTTCAACAAAATTTGTATACTATACTTGAACAATACAAAATTAATGTACCTTCTGTTCTGCCATTTTATCATGAACAACCCCAAAATCCACTTTGCCAATCTTTGTTTGTGATGAAGCAGCAGTGGGGGACCCTGTCTGAACGCTTGCTCCAGTTGCTGCAAGGATGTACGATATAGAATAGAAAGGCTGTCTCAAATCATACACTCTTCCAAATAAGGAGGAGGGTGTAACAAACACTGGTCTTAAACATGAATTCTGACTCAAAGTGGGGAGGTGAGCTAATCAAAGTCTGACCCAAAACATGAATTCTGACTCAAAGTGGTGAGGTGAGCTCTCTGGCCCAAAATATGAATTCTGACTCAAAGTGGAGAGGGCTGGGCTCATTGGAAAATGGCCTGAAACATAAATTCAGAATCAAGGTAGGGAGACATGATTATTAAAGACCGACTCAAAACATAAATTCTCACTCAACATAAGGAGGTGGGCTTATTAAAGACTGGCTCAAAGCATAAATTCTCATTCAACATAATGAGTTGGGCTTATTATACTACAATAGATATGAGTGGGTTTATCATTTGTTATAGGCCTCTTACAAGAAAGATATGGTAACTTGCAGAGTTGTAATAATTAAAGAAATAATTAAAATAGTTATGTTCCTGCTTTCTCTCCATACTTACAGCCTCTCTGAGCGAAGGCACGGGCTGTAGCAACAAAATCCTGTTAAAACAACAAAATCCTGTTAAAACAACACAATCCTGTTAAAACAACACAATCCTGTTCAAAACAACACAATCCTGTTAAACAACACAATCATGTTAAAACAACACAATCCTGTTAAACAACACAATCATGTTAAAACAACACAATCCTGTAAAAACAACACAATCCTGTAAAAACAACACAATCCTGTTCAAAACAACACAATCCTGTTAAAACAACACAATCCTGTAAAAACAACACAATCCTGTTCAAAACAACACAATCCTGTAAAACAACACAATCCTGTAAAAACAACACAATCCTGTAAAAACAACACAATCCTGTTCAAACAACACAATCCTGTTCAAACAACACAATCCTGTTAAAACAACACAATCCTGTTAAAACAACAAAATCCTGTTAAACAACACAATCCTGTTAAACAACACAATCCTGTTAAAACAACACAATCCTGTTAAAACAACACAATCCTGTTAAACAACACAATCCTGTAAAAACAACACAATCCTGTAAAAACAACACAATCCTGTAAAAACAACACAATCCTGTTAAACAACACAATCCTGTAAAAACAACACAATCCTGTTAAACAACACAATCCTGTAAAAACAACACAATCCTGTAAAAACAACACAATCCTGTAAAAACAACACAATCCTGTAAAAACAACACAATCCTGTTAAACAACACAATCCTGTTAAAACAACACAATCCTGTTAAACAACACAATCCTGTTAAACAACACAATCCTGTTAAACAACACAATCCTGTTAAAACAACACAATCCTGTTCAAACAACACAATCCTGTAAAAACAACACAATCCTGTTCAAAACAACACAATCCTGTAAAAACAACACAATCCTGTAAAAACAACACAATCCTGTAAAAACAACACAATCCTGTAAAAACAACACAATCCTGTAAAAACAACACAATCCTGTTAAACAACACAATCCTGTAAAAACAACACAATCCTGTTAAACAACACAATCCTGTTAAAACAACACAATCCTGTAAAAACAACACAATCCTGTAAAAACAACACAATCCTGTAAAAACAACACAATCCTGTTAAAACAACACAATCCTGTTAAAACAACACAATCCTGTTAAACAACACAATCCTGTTAAACAACACAATCATGTTAAACAACACAATCCTGTAAAAACAACACAATCCTGTTAAAACAACACAATCCTGTTAAACAACACAATCCTGTTCAAAACAACACAATCCTGTTAAACAACACAATCCTGTTAAAACAACACAATCCTGTAAAAACAACACAATCCTGTAAAAACAACACAATCCTGTAAAAACAACACAATCCTGTAAAAACAACACAATCCTGTTAAACAACACAATCCTGTTAAAACAACACAATCCTGTTAAACAACAAAATCCTGTTAAAACAACACAATCCTGTAAAAACAACACAATCCTGTTAAACAACACAATCCTGTTAAAACAACACAATCCTGTTAAAACAACACAATCCTGTTAAACAACACAATCCTGTTAAACAACACAATCCTGTAAAAACAACACAATCCTGTTAAACAACACAATCCTGTAAAAACAACACAATCCTGTAAAAACAACACAATCCTGTAAAAACAACACAATCCTGTAAAAACAACACAATCCTGTTCAAAACAACACAATCCTGTAAAAACAACACAATCCTGTAAAAACAACACAATCCTGTAAAAACAACACAATCCTGTTAAAACAACACAATCCTGTAAAAACAACACAATCCTGTTAAAACAACACAATCCTGTAAAAACAACACAATCCTGTTAAAACAACACAATCCTGTAAAAACAACACAATCCTGTAAAAACAACACAATCCTGTAAAAACAACACAATCCTGTAAAAACAACACAATCCTGTTCAAAACAACACAATCCTGTAAAAACAACACAATCCTGTAAAAACAACACAATCCTGTAAAAACAACACAATCCTGTTCAAAACAACACAATCCTGTAAAAACAACACAATCCTGTAAAAACAACACAATCCTGTAAAAACAACACAATCCTGTTAAAACAACACAATCCTGTTAAAACAACACAATCCTGTTAAAACAACACAATCCTGTAAAAACAACACAATCCTGTTAAAACAACACAATCCTGTAAAAACAACACAATCCTGTTAAAACAACACAATCCTGTTAAAACAACACAATCCTGTTAAAACAACACAATCCTGTTAAAACAACACAATCCTGTAAAACAACACAATCCTGTTAAACAACACAATCCTGTAAAAACAACACAATCCTGTTAAACAACACAATCCTGTAAAAACAACACAATCCTGTAAAAACAACACAATCCTGTAAAAACAACACAATCCTGTAAAAACAACACAATCCTGTAAAAACAACACAATCCTGTAAAAACAACACAATCCTGTTAAACAACTGTAAAATTGCTAGCAGAGTAATGTTTTTATTTACCGTTATTATCATGTTGTGTTTGTAATTAGATGAGTTAGAAACAAGATGTTGCATGAAACCCACATGAAATTGTAGATGTTTGATCAAAGATCTTAACAGCATGTTAATACTCAATCACACATTTGTATATGTATAATATTATATAATTTACCAAAAGGCAAATCTTGAAAACAGCATAACTTTTGCCAACCCATGACAATTTCTTGGACTGACACCCCACACAAAAAAAGATTGATTTTTTTATCTTTCATTGTACCTACAAGTGGTCTGGAAAAAACTCACTGTTAGCAAGTTAGATATCTACAAAATATTTTGACTACAAAGGGTAAGTTATTTGATGTACTGTAATGCATTTACTTAAGTTTTCAATAAATAAATAAATAAATAAATAATTAAATATATAAGTAAATAAGTAAATGCTATCATTATTCCCCAGGGCTACTACAGTACAATACCAAAGATTCTCAGACTGCCTGCGGATAGGTATTTCTAGCAGATAGCAAGGTGTTTGAATGTTTATGAGATTTAAAATTAGAGCACATCTGATTACCTGAAATGTCTTGTGATCCTTGTAGAAAATAACCATATAAATTGTAGTCAAAGTCGTTGACTTATGAGCTCCATCAAATTTTTGTAAGCACCTGAACATTATCTTTGCTACCCTGTCTGGAGAGTATCGAAGGTATCCGGTTCCTAGAGCTGGAAAGGCTATGGAGGTCTTATTACTGAGGTGAGCCTTCTCAAGACATTTATATATAAGCGATTCCATCACCTGTTGTACAAAAATGTTCTAGGTAACACAACAGATAATCTCACTCTGTGGTTTCATTTTTATCATCAATAATTTAACTTATCTGACCTGGTTGACTTTGTAATGAGAATTATATAATCTTTAATTTCCTTGTAAGTGAAATTGGTGGATCTCAAACCAAAGGGAAAGATGATTAAGTGTTTGGAACTTAAACATCTTTTCCCTTGGGTTGAGATCACCCTATCTCACCAGCAAGGGAGTAAATGATTATTTTTCTCTTATCCTGCTGGCTTTCTTAGGTACTTGTATGTGATTTTGTTGTCTCAATGGTTGTATTGTTGACTGTCCAGGTTACAAGACAAGGAAATCTCACACCATTAAAAAATGTGGATTTACCTGTCCAGTGTAAGAGGCAAGGAAATCTCACGACCAGTAAAAAGTGTAGATTTACCTGTTCAAGGTAAGAGACAAGGAAATATCACACCAGTAAAAAGCATGAATCTATCTGTGCAGGGTAAGATAAAAGATAATTAATTCATTCAGATAGCTCTCCAATATACTGAGAGAAGTGGCAAAAACTACATGACAAGGATCAGGATTTTATATCAATATCTGTGGCTTTGAATGTGCTTTAAGGCCATGATGTTAAACACACACCATAACATGTAAAAAACATGTACTACTGGACATTACATTAATTCTATATCCAAGTTTACAACAGGACCAATGTTTGTTTTCTGCAGTTCTCTAGCTTAATTGTTCGGTAAACAAGTTTATAGATTAGAATTAATCTAAGAATATACTAAAAAATAGAAAAATCCTTTACAAGAGCCATTTTATCAAAGGTAGAAAGGTTACAATATGACATATATTATGAGACAAATTGATAACTTTCACAAATTTATGAAATATGTCTCTTCAAAACTTGTCTGTAAGACAACATGGATCTAAGTGCCAGGGAGATCTTCAATTTTACCTCTTCCTCTTCGGGACCTGTCCATTTCGGAAGACACACATGGTAAATCTTCTGGCAGGAGAGGTTTCCTCCACTGGTCACAGCCAGATCACCATGGGAGATACCATTAGGATAGTCTCTATCACACTCTGACTGGATTTTATCACCTGCTGCTTCCAGCAGACACTTGGAGGCTATTCCTTTATCTAATTTGAGCTCTTTCACAGAACTATTCACTATAACATCAGCCTAAGATAAAACAAAATATAGAACATGAGAAAAAAAATTTATATCTGTGATAGATGTAATGTATAGATGTGACTTAATTCAGTCCTCCAGGGTAGAGAACCAAATACATGTGACTTAATTCAGTCCTCCAGGGTAGAGAACCAAATACATGTGACTTAATTCAGTCCTCCAGGGTAGGGAACAAAATACATGTGACTTAATTCTGTCCTCCAGGGTAGGGAACCAAATACATGTGACTTAATTCAGTCCTCCAGGGTAGGGAACCAAATACATGTGACTTAATTCAGTCCTCCAGGGTAGGGAACCAAATACATGTGACTTAATTCAGTCCTCCAGGGTAGGGAACCAAATACATGTGACTTAATTCAGTCCTCCAGGGTAGGAAACCAAATACATGTGACTTAATTCAGTCCTCCAGGGTAGGGAACCAAATACATTTGACTTAATTCAGTCCTCCAGGGTAAGGAACCAAATACATGTGACTTAATTCAGTCCTCCAGGGTAGGGAACCAAATACATGTGACTTAATTCAGTCCTCCAGGGTAGGGAACCAAATACATGTGACTTAATTCAGTCCTCCAGGGTAGAGAACCAAATACATGTGACTTAATTCAGTCCTCCAGGGTAGGGAACCAAATACATGGGACTTAATTCAGTCCTCCAGGGTAGGGAACCAAATACATGGGACTTAATTCAGTCCTCCAGGGTAGAGAACCAAATACATGTGACTTAATTCAGTCCTCCAGGGTAGGAAACCAAATACATGTGACTTAATTCAGTCCTCCAGGGTAGGGAACCAAATACATGTGACTTAATTCAGTCCTCCAGGGTAGGGAACCAAATACATGTGACTTAATTCAGTCCTCCAGGGTAGGGAACAAAATACATGTGACTTAATTCATTCCTCCAGGGTAAGGAACCAAATACATGTGACTGAATTCAGTCCTCCAGGGTAAGGAACTGAATACATGGGACTTAATTCAGTCCTCCAGGGTAGGGAACAAAATACATGTGACTTAATTCAGTCCTCCAGGGTAGGGAACCAAATACATGTGACTTAATTCAGTCCTCCAGGGTAGAGAACCAAATACATGTGACTTAATTCAGTCCTCCAGGGTAGGGAACCAAATAGATGTGACATAATTCTGTCCTCCAGGGTAAGGAATCAAATAGATGTGACTTAATTCAGTCATCCAGGGTAGGGAACCAAATAGATGTGACTTAATTCAGTCCTCCAGGGTAGAGAACCAAATACATGTGACTTAATTCAGTCCTCCAGGGTAGAGAACCAAATACATGTGACTTAATTCAGTCCTCCAGGGTAGGGAACCAAATACATGTGAGATAATTCAGTCCTCCAGGGTAGAGAACCAAATACATGTGACTTAATTCAGTCCTCCAGGATAAGGAACAAAATACATGTGACTTAATTCAGTCCTCCATGGTAGGGAACAAAATACATGTGACTTAATTCAGTCCTCCAGGGTAGGGAACCAAATACATGGGACTTAATTCAGTCCTCCAGGGTAGGGAACCAAATAAATACATAGGGAACCAAATACATGACTTAATTCAGTCCTTTATTCTGTGAACCAAATACATTAATTCAGTCCTCCAGGGTAGGGAACCAAATACATGTGACTTAATTCTGTCCTCCAGGGTAAGGAACCAAATACATGTGACTTAATTCAGTCCTCCAGGGTAGGGAACAAAATACATGTGACTTAATTCAGTCCTCCAGGGTAGAGAACCAAATACATGTGACTTAATTCAGTCCTCCAGGGTAGGGAACCAAATACATGTGACTTAATTCAGTCCTCCAGGGTAGGGAACCAAATACATGTGACTTAATTCAGTCCTCCAGGGTAGGGAACCAAATACATGTGACTTAATTCAGTCCTCCAGGGTAGGGAACCAAATACATGTGACTTAATTCAGTCCTCTAGGGAACCAAATACATGTGGTAGGGGGAACCAAATAGATGTGACATAATTCAGTCCTCCAGGGTAGGGAACCAAATACATGTGACTTAATTCAGTCCTCCAGGGTAGGGAACAAAATACATGTGACTTAATTCAGTCCTCCAGGGTAGGGAACCAAATACATGTGACTTAATTCAGTCCTCCAGGGTAAGGAACCAAATAGATGTGACTTAATTCAGTCCTCCAGGGTAGGGAACCAAATACATGTGACTTAATTCAGTCCTCCAGGGTAGGGAACCAAATACATGGGACTTAATTCAGTCCTCCAGGGTAGGGAACCAAATACATGGGACTTAATTCAGTCCTCCAGGGTAGAGAACCAAATACATGGGACTTTATTCAGTCCTCCAGGGTAGAGAACCAAATACATGGGACTTTATTCAGTCCTCCAGGGTAAGGAACCAAATACATGGGACTTTATTCAGTCCTCCACATAAGGAGTGTTATTATGTAAAGTTAACTTGACAGTATTGAGTTACCGTTTCTTCCACGATGTTTCCCTTGATGACCGTAGCCTTGAGTTTACCAATTGTAGTAAATCTAGGGGACCTTCTACGTCTTCTTTGTTGAGTAGTAGGTTCTTCTTCATCATCTTCTTCATCTGTATCGTTTGATGTGCTGTAGCGTGAAGGACGAGCCATGTGATAAAATCTTGACAGTGGAGGTACATCTTCCTCTTTAGAGAAAATTAAAAATTTACCATAAGGTGTTATAGTAACTCTTCCCAAAGTTATAAATTTATAAATTTATAAATTTTGTTATATTGTTAATAAAATTATTGATCCTATTTTCCTCTTTGGGTTATTTTTGATGACAGACAGGCCAAGTTATTGTTCCTTATGACGAAAAATCTATTTTGCAGATACTAAAATTTTTGTATGTGGACTGTGAAAGCTTGAGTATGCTGACATTATCTACACAGTACAGCTATAGGTGTGGTCAGATTTCACTTTCTTGTCATTTGTAATCACAAAAATACAAGATACTTCAAAATAAATCAGAGAAGCCTGCCATTAACTTATATTGAAACATGAGCTAATCGTGTTCCATCTGAGATTACATATATATAACTTAAACAATTCCTAAACTTCATAACAATCAATAACAAACCATTGAAATTTACACCAACACCGGTAATTAGACAATACATAAAAACTACAAGATGATCTAAAAATATATATTCTCAGGGGTTTTTCAATTTTCTTTCCATGCTAGAGTGTTAGATTATCTTAATTTCAGTGAGTAATTTATTACAATACTGTCAATATCTTTAAACATTTGTTTAAGTTCATAACTGTCAAATTATGGCACTTTTATACAAAACATGAAAAATTCATTATTTTGGAAATTGAGTACAAAGACATAACAGTAACAAGATACAAATAAATGACTCTGTATATTACATTAACATAAATCTACAAGTTGTACACTGAACCAATGTCGCAATCTAGAAAACTTGAAAAATTCACAAATAAACTCCATTAACAGCTTTGAGCAACAAACACTACATTACGAAAAAAAACCATTCAATATAAGAATTTTTTTCTTACTACTGCTATGTAATTCAAGGTAATTATCTTTCTTTTTGATACCTGTCAATCTGTGAAGTGTGGAAATGGCAATTAAGGATATAAGTTCAAAGTTCAACTCTTGTTGAATCTGCCCTTATAAATCTCATGGCAAACATAGGGGGATAAGGCATTATGATGAAGCATTTCCAGTACTTACACTGAAACAGCAAGACACATGTTATGATTTGTTTGTTTGCTGCCTTAATCACCTTGTCAACTACTATGGTCATTTTAAAGTTGCCTTTCCCTGTGATAGCTGGTGGCTACCACACTGAACAACATGCAAGAGGCCCACCACATGCCATCCTAGGCAACTGGGGTAAAGTGTCTTTCCCAGAGGTACAACCACAACAGCAAAGGCCAATCCTCCATCTGACTTTCCCGAGAAACTGGGTAAAATTCAAACTACACATCTTTGATCTTTACTTCAGATTGAAATAATTGATTCCCTAAAGACCAAGGTATCACAGCCTGCTGATCCATCTCATGGACATATTGTCATATGAATATAGCACTTTTGCTATTTGGCCCATTCTGTCCCACCCAAGGGGGCATGAGGTCCACCATTTATACACAACTGATTCCCCTTCACCCAAAGATGCTTCGAACAAAATTGGGACAGAATGCAATCATTCCTACAGAAGAAATACTTTAAAGAAATTGCTAAATTTCCATTTTTGGGACCCACTTCTCAGGCCCCCAGATAATCAGACCCAACGTTTATACTAAATTAGTTTGTCTCCACCAAATGGTGCTTCAGACCAAATTGGAACAGAATAATGAATACTTCTAGGAAAGTAAAAGTATTGTAAAGAATTTGGTCTATTCCCCCTGCATCCCAGGGCCAGGACCTACTGTTTATACGAAATTGATTCCCCTTCACCCAAGAATGCTTCAGACCAAATTGGGACATACCCCAACATTCCTACAGAAGAATTCTAAAGAATTTGCTCTACTGTCACTATGGTACAACACCCGTCCTGTCACAATAGGCCCTGACCAACTGTTTTTAAAGAATTGATTCCCCTTCAGAACCAAGGATACTTTACATGAAAACTGAGACAGAACCCTGACTGATGTGTACCGAGTTTAAGTCTGCTTCAGACTCAGTGATGGCAGACACCGTGTATACAGTTACACTCCCACTTTAATACTTAAGCACACAGTCTCATAATAAAGTAGTGCCTATATAACAATACATGTACATAGCGATGTAGGATACCACACTGACATTCTTACATTTTTTTCTAAAGAATTTCTCCCATTTGGCCCTGCTCCTCTGGACCTTGTGTCAGACCCATCTTTTATACAAAGCTGAGTCACCTTTACGCAAGAATGTTTCATACTAAATCAGGACAGAAACCTGACATCCTAAAGAAAAAGGATCTTGAGGAATTTTCTCTCCCCATCAGGCAACCTCTATTCTGTTAGAGCCACCAAAACTAAGTTCACTTTCCCTCAGGATACTTCTGACAAAATTTTATCAAAATCCAGTCAGCCATTCATGAATAGTAGGTTAATTGGTGGATAGACAGATGGTGGACAGTGCATTATGCCACAAGCTCACTTGGTCCTTCAGGCCAAGTGATTTAAAAACTGGTTCAAACTGTCTTTTTACAGCAGAGGAACGCATTATAAGATGCGAGTTGATAATATAACATTTGACATACCTTCATCATCAGAGCTTAGGTAGTAGTCCATCATTGTGTGTTGGTCTAGTCACAGGAGCAACAGATCACATGGTGCAGTACCCAACCCTTCAAATTATTTGTAAACAAAACCATGTAGTTCTATATAGTTTTTGACATAACATCACAGATTAATACATATTTTTATGATAAAGTTCAGGTATATGGGATTCCAGGGCTTGACTATGTTGCCTTTCAAACCAAAGCAAGTTTGACCATTTAAACAAAATACAAAGAAAACAATCACCATACTGACCAATGTATGGAAGATCATACAAGCCATTTAATGATAAAAAAGGATCAAGATCTGACTACTGACACAAAACTGGCTGTATTCAAATTTACTTTGAGAATTTCATTATGTATATTACAGTGCATGTAGTGAATCAAATAATACATATGATGCTCAAATGACCTAGTATAGTAAGTGACAGACAATCTGAACAACATTTGAATTACTTAAAATGGATGTCTCATTTCCTGTGTGTTATATACATCTCATTTCCTGTGTATATACTGAGACTATCTGGTTTGATTTCATTTTCCTCCTATAACTGAAACAAGGAAGAAAATGTTGATAAACAGCTTACATTTCTCTGATTTTTAGCATTCTACATAATAATAAATTGATATATTGTAACTTGTACCTAACACTGATCAATGAAGTATTCTTTGATTCAGAAAAAAAGTGTCTTTCCTAATAAAATGTATAACTTATTTGTAAAACACCTTCTGGCTTCTAAAGAGAGAGATACCTAAATTCAAATACCATAAAATCAGAGCCGTATATAACACTGTGTTATAGATACGTCTCTGATAAAATGAAATATTGTTTGCTGACATTACAACGAAATAGATTCACTACTTTCATTTTCCATATGCATTACCCTGTAAACAAACACTCTTCACAAAGAAATACCTTAGGTTTTCCACTCTTCTGTCTCAGTCTGCTGTTAACGATGTAAAGACAGCAGTATACCGTGTATATATATATATGGACACGCGGTAGCAAAAGGAAATATCTTAAATCTGGAGAGATTTAAGGATTTCCCAACTTCCTTGTGTGACTTGATCAAAGCATTGGAGTTATCGCTCCTGTCGAACACTAATTAGGTCGCATCACTTCCGGCAACACTGTGTGCATTATGAATTTTGGGAGAAACCCCATTGAAGTTATCGATATTTTCATACTTTCAACTAAAAAGTTTTAAACGTGTGTCCTACACGAAATGTATTTTGTGAAGGCAGTTAATAGTGTATAAAATATATGGAAAATGAAAGTTAAATTGTTAATCTGTAGTTGTATGAAACTTAAAATAGTTTACTAGCTTCTCTCAGTAGGTCAGAATCTCAAGCCAAATCGTTTTTTTCCCACGACAACAGGTGATTTTCTTAACATAGACAAGTACTAGTTACAGGGTTGTTGTTTTTTTTATTCCAAATGCAATACAGCATATCGGATACAAATATACATAATAAATTGTGTCAAATTCTTAAGTATGGCGGAGGACAATTCTATTCGAAGACATAATTATGTACAGACGTTTCATTCATTACAGCATGACAGAAATACTGTAGCAAATATTCGAAAACAAACAACATAGCAATAAACATGACGTTGTGAAATTTGGTAACACAAGTGCAATACCACTACAGAAACTAAATTATCCAAAAATACACGAAGGGTTGATTTAAAGTATTTTTTCAGTATGTAATTCACGAAAATTAAAAGTCTATTACATTTAATCCAACAACAGTAATTTTTCAGAAACTATTCCAACATGATAACAATTATTGACCGAGGAGAGTTTTTCTTTTAGTTGTAGCATGCAAAAGATATTTACCAAGTTTGTTTAAAACCTTCACACTTTTACAGGAAAATGATTGTATTAGTTTATAGACACTTGGATGGCGATAATAGTACTTTTTAATGTATCTACTTCTTAAATCAGAATATGTAGGACAAAGTAGTACAAAATGTATTTTATCCTCGATATCGTTTTGATCACAAACTGTACAAATTCTCTTACTTCTCGGAATGTTATTGTAACGACCTGATTCAATGTTAAGATTGTGTCCTTGGATGCGAAATTGACTCAGTAATTGTTTTAATCTAACATTAATGGGCTTACTAAGGCAAAACTGAATACCAAATATATCCACAAGATGTTTGTACAGATAACATTTGGAAGATACATCAAAAGCATTGCGTAACTCTTGAAAAAATACGTCATGCACACGTTGTGTGTACATTTGCAAAAAAATATTCTCATTAAATACATTTTAGTTTAACCAGATATGATTAAATCCCAAATTACATAGTTCATGTTTAATTTGATAAACCCAATTAAATTTACGATGAGGTTTTCTGACATTCAATTCAACTAAAGCATTGTAACAAGATTTCAAGACACAGTTGATAGTATTTAAAATTTCCAACCAATATTTCATTATAGCTATCTTTCGTTGCACATATAAAGAATATCTCCCAGTTTCAAAGTAAACCATCGAAGTATTCACAGTTTTGTGGCGATGATGTAATATAACCCCATACTTCACATCCATAATTCAATATACATGAAATATATGTCTCGAATAATGAAATTTTTGTTCCCGTATTAAGGGTAAAATATTTCATTTTCCTTTTTAAATGGTAAAATGCTTTTCTTCCTTGAGATGCTAATGTACCTTGTGCAACAGTAAATCTTCCATTATAATCAAAAACTAAACCAAGATAACAAAATTTATCAACTATTTCGATAGATTTACCATTAAAAGTCCAACTTTCAAAAGGCAAAAGTCGTTTTCCTTTTCTAAAGACAACAATCTCTGTTTTGTCTGTATTGACATTTAAATTCCATTTTTCAGTGTACGAGTCAAGTTAACCATCATTTCAAAAAGGATTGAACACTAGTGAATCATGATAGCGCCTTTCATTTCCTTTTTTTTTTTTTTTTTTCTTCATTTTCCAACATATGTCGAATTCATTATGTACAGGTGCAATTACAGTCTATATTTTATACTGTTTTGGTGGTTTGCAGCCATCTTATATGTATAGATAGATATAATATTTTGCCAGTGATAGTCGATTTCAATTTCTACTAGACTCAATCGTCCCTTACAAGCGTACACACAGTATGTCTTCTGTGTTCATGCTAATACCGTTACGTGAATTTCGGCCATCTGTCTGCCTGTCCGATGTTATCCTGCTTCAGTTTCCGTCGATAACTTAGCTAAATGAGAATATACTTCAATAAAACTTAGTTCAAGGTGTATCTTACCATTTTGAGACTTAGTTTGACTATTGAATATAATTAGAGTTCACCTTTGATTAACCAATTGATTTCCGTCTATTTTCTTAGCTATATGTGAATGGATTTCGCGGATCGATTTTGCTTTGCTGATCACGTGTCTTGTATCCTATATTTATTCTTGATTAACAAAGTTCACTTCTGACTGACCCATCACTTTTTGTGCAACAATTTTTCTACGTGTTATTTGATTTCAAGGGAATGTTGTTTACAGATGCTTTGTAATATCCTTTAGCCAGACTATTAGTTGCTTAACGAATCCGCACAACTGCTTCTTAATATTTGACAGTTTACCCGAATAATAATAACACAAAGTTCATGGTAAGTATAAACTTATTTCTTACATAATTTGCTTGTGTTTACAAACACGAACAAGTAACTATACATTGTACTGAAGTCGAGAACCATCGCACGCCTCATTACCATTTTAAAATGAATCACACCAACACATTACCAGGAAATTTTTACATTTGACAAAGAACAGAAATAAAATGTTTTCTATTTGGTAGCATTATCCCTAATCATTTAAGTATTGTAGATTTTATTTTCCTGCAACAACAGACTGATGAATAAATTACAGCGCTATCACACTGAAATGCCGTTACTATATCATAACACCCCAACTGGGCACACTATCATGGCAATACAGTGCTCCATGTAGCTTGTCCTTGCTGTTATTTTAAAGAACCAATTCTTAAGACTTTTAGTTTGTCACAGTTTTGGGGAGAGGACTCGTAACCTATCTCGTTTGGGTAACTGCACAACACTAAGTCAAAAATAGCCTCATTATTCTAACGACTTATACACTCTAGATTAGTATGAAGCAAGACACCAACAAACCTAGGTTTGTTTGGTTACAATTGCTTTGTCCATGATATTGGAGAAAGATGTCAAAAGTTGACCTTTATTTGACCCTTCCATCTTCCCGGAAGGGGTCACATCACAATTATGTGAAATGAACCCCTCCATCAAATAATGCCCCAAAGAAGAAGAATGTATGTTTTTCCTACTTGGTAGTGCCCCCCCCCCCCCACCCCTTCTCTCACTGAGGGGGTCAGAACAACCGTTTATACAAAATACAATTTCCATGAAAACTCTATAAATGTGCCTATTTTTGGTCAAAATACCTTCATCTCAACAGAAAAGACACTGTCTTCTTGGCTTTTCCCTCTGTTCTGATTAGGGAGTCAGACCCTCCACTTATACAAAAGTCCTCTTCACATAGGTTGTATCTGACCAAATTCCTACAGAAAAAGTGGGATACTAGTGTAAAAGATATTCCCATATTTCTACTAACTGGCCATGTCCTTATGCCCTCAGAGCTTAGACACACCATTCATATAAAGTTATTTATTTCCCTTCACACAAAGATGCTTCAGACCAACTTTGAACAAAACCTTGTTATTTCTACAGAAGAAAAAGAATTTTATATGTACTAATTTTCCCTTATTGGGCCCCATTCCTCAAGTCCCTTGGAGGTAAGACCTATCATTTATGAAAATGCATTTTCTCTTTTTCCTATTCTCATCCCACCCCTCTGATCTTAAGGGGTCCGATAGATCATTTATACATAAGTGAATCCCCTAAGTTCAAAGATGCTTAAAATCAAATTTGGTTGAAATATCTTTATCCCAACAGAGGAAGAAAGATATTGTATTTTTACTCGGCCCCTCTGCCCCTATGGGAGTCAGACCCACTCTTTGTACAAAACTGAGCTTCAGAGCAAATGTGGTGGTGGGGGGTGGGAGGGGGGGGGTCGGTATCCTATCATCCTTACAGAAGAAGAAAGATTTTTAATAACATGCTAACTTATATATTTGATATATTCTAGGTAGGTACGACACTGGCTGTATTGTCTAAGTGTATGCTATAACATATTCTAGGTAGGTACAACACTGGCTGTATTGTCTAAGTGTATGTTATGATATATTCTAGGTAGGTACGACACTGGCTGTATTGTCAAAGTGTATGCTATGACATATTCTAGGTAGGTACAACACTGGCTGTGTTTTCTATTCCCAGGTGTATGCTATGACATATTCTAGGTAGGGATGACACTGACTGTATTGTCTAAGTGTATGTTATGACATATTCTAGGTAGGTACGACACTGGCTGTATTGTCTAAGTGTATGTTATGATATATTCTAGGTAGGTACGACACTGGCTGTATTGTCAAAGTGTATGCTATGACATATTCTAGGTAGGTACAACACTGGCTGTGTTTTCTATTCCCAGGTGTATGCTATGATATATTCTAGGTAGGTACAACACTGGCAGTATTTTCTAAGTGTATGTTATGATATATTCTAGGTAGATACAACACTGGCTGTATTGTCTACCCTATATCCTGGTATATGTTATGACATATTCTGGGTAGCTCTGATGCTGGCTGTACAATACAAATTCCCGAAACAGCCAGGTGCCATCCCCCAGCACACTGTCACAGCGTTCCAGGTCACTATGGCTGCAGGTATCACTGTTGCAGTTTACTATAAAACATGGTGGCCTCTTCAGAGTGTTTGCAGTCTGAGACAACAGACATATTCGGCCCAGACAAACTCTTGTTAACAACATGGTCTTCTCATCCTGGTTTCTGTTACCTTTAGCATCTAAAATGACAACAAGCTTACAGTTAGTGTTGCATGCAACACATGTCCCCTGTCGTAAATTACTGTATTTATCAGCAAATAAGCCCATGTCTGCTAATAAGCCCACCAATGTTCTGTTGTAAAGCAAATGGCAGCAAATGCTACTTAACTGTTTGCAAGAAGCTAACCCTTTACTATGGATACGAGTTTGAATGTTGGCCCCATGATCTAATTGCAGTATAAATACATTATTTTTTAAAGTAATGCAGAACTTGTTCTGTACCAGAAGTGTCTTGTTTTATTATTTATAAGCTTCCAGTGTATCAAGTTTCAACCAAATCCATCAATCCGTTCTCAAATTATTGTCTGAAAACTAAATTGTGACAAGATTCTATTTTTAGTAACAGTGACCTTTGTAGTTGATCTTTTGACCCCAAACAAAATCCCACACTATATTGCCTTATAAACTACCATTGTATGGAGTTACATCCAAATCCATTAATCCATTCTCAAGTTATTGTTTGGAAACTAAAATGTGACAACAATTTCTATTTTTAGTAACAGTGACCTTTGTAGTTGATCTTTTGACCCCAAACAAAATCTCACACTATATTGCCCTATAAACTACCATTGTATGAAGTTTGATCCAAATCCATCGATTTGTTCTCAAGTTATCGTCTGGAAACCAACATCCGGACAGGCAGACAGACGGACGGACAGACAGAGACAAACACTATAGTCCCCTCCGGTTTCAACGGCAGGGGACTAATAAACTTTCTGTAAGATGGATATCTAGACATGGTAGGTGTGGTCACAGATAAACACACAGTCACTACAGACATCTAGATATGGTAGGTATGGTCACAGATAAACACACAGTCATCTAGACATGGTAGGTATGGTCACAGATAAACACACAGTCACTACAGACATCTAGACATGTTAGGTATGGTCACAGATAAACACACAGTCACTACAGACATCTAGACATGGTAGGTATGGTCACAGATAAACACACAGTCACCTAGACATGGTAGGTATGGTCACAGATAAACACACATTCATCTAGACATGGTAGGTATGGTCACAGATAAACACACATTCATCTAGACATGGTAGGTATGGTCACAGATAAACACACAGTCACTACAGTCATCTAGACATGGTAGGTATGGTCACAGATAAACACACAGTCACTACAGACATCTAGACATGGTAGGTATGGTCACAGATAAACACACAGTCACCTAGACATGGTAGGTATGGTCACAGATAAACACACATTCATCTAGACATGGTAGGTATGGTCACAGATAAACACACATTCATCTAGACATGGTAGGTATGGTCACAGATAAACACACAGTCACTACAGTCATCTAGACATGGTAGGTATGGTCACAGATAAACACACAGTCACTACAGACATCTAGACATGGTAGGTATGGTCACAGATAAACACAAAGTCACTACAGACATCTAGACATGGTAGGTATGGTCACAGATAAACACAGTCACTACAGACATCTAGACATGGTAGGTATGGTCACAGATAAACACAGTCACTACAGACATCTAGACATGGTAGGTATGGTCACAGATAAACACACAGTCACTACAGACATCTAGACATGGTAGGTATGGTCACAGATAAACACACAGTCATCCAGACATGTTAGGTATGGTCACAGATAAACACAGTCACTACAGACATCTAGACATGGTAGGTATGGTCACAGATAAACACACAGTCACTACAGACATCTAGACATGGTAGGTATGGTCACAGATAAACACACAGTCACCTAGACATGGTAGGTATGGTCACAGATAAACACACAGTCACTACGGACATCTAGACACGGTAGGTATGGTCACAGATAAACACACAGACATCTAGACATGGTAGGTATGGTCACAGATAAACACACAGTCACAACAGACATCTAGACAAGGTAGGTATGGTAAAAGAGAAACACACAGTCACTACAGACATCTAGACATGGTAGGTATGGTCACAGATAAACACACAGACATCTAGACATGGTAGGTATGGTCACAGATAAACACACAGTCACTACAGACATCTAGACATGGTAGGTATGGTCACAGATAAACACACAGACATCTAGACATGGTAGGTATGGTCACAGATGAACACACAGTCACTACAGACATCTAGACATGGTAGGTATGGTCACAGATAAACACACAGTCACTATAGACATCTAGACACGGTAGGTATGGTCACAGATAAACACACAGACATCTAGACATGGTAGGTATGGTCACAGATAAACACACAGTCACTACAGACATCTAGACATGGTAGGTATGGTCACAGATAAACACACAGACATCTAGACATGGTAGGTATGGTCACAGATAAACACACAGACATCTAGACATGGTAGGTATGGTCACAGATAAACACACAGTCACTACAGACATCTAGACACGGTAGGTATGGTCACAGATAAACACACAGACATCTAGACATGGTAGGTATGGTCACAGATAAACACACAGTCACTACAGACATCTAGACATGGTAGGTATGGTCACAGATAAACACACAGTCACTACAAACATCTAGACATGGTAGGTATGGTCACAGATAAACACACAGTCACTACAGACATCTAGAGTTAAAGCAATCAAGTAATTGACCTTACCAGCATATTGGTCGGCCTTTGTGGAACTCTCTGCCAGATACATTCCTTGACCAAACATGGCTTTCTCTCCAGACATTCGAAAGTCCAGTCCCTGTTTCATTATGGATTCTAGGATGTCAGGTTTGGTACCATGGAAGAAATAAAACTCATTAACTTCTGGAAATGTGTCCCGTTTTAATGTTGGGTCAGTCAGGTTAGCCGTTTTAATGGCACCCTTTGACCCTGATATATCTTCTGCATGATCAAACACTCCTACAGTCCCAGCTTTATGGAAGAGTGTAGCCCTAGCATTTCCATACTTCTCAAACAGATCAATGTTCTCCAGCCTTTGAACATTAGTAACCTTCAGTGAGGTGAACCCGTAGAGCCCTACAGCATCCCGTCCATGCCCAATCTTGTTTGCCTCCCACGTGTGCTCTACAAGATCTACCACTGCTTTCCATTCCTCCTGAGAAACCGGTACAAGACAATGGAGTTCCCCATCTGGAGGAGACAATTTCCATTTCTTCACAGGTTTTGATGAAGTAAAGTGACTCCAATAGCTGGGGGGCCGTAAACTTTGTTCGTACATATCAAGGCAGAAGGTCCTGGTGCCTCTAGCATGTTCAGATACCTGAGGTCGGGGCACATGAGTTGTAGCACCAGTAGCCTGCTTCTCAAATGCCTGGAGAGATTCAACACAAATATTAATTACCCAAGGATGAGCTATATGTAAATATATATATGAACTTCATTTATTTTACGACAGTTGCAAAACATTCCATCATTCTAGTTGTTGTAAAGGGTTGTTTTGCGGGAGGAAACAGGAGTACACAGTGAAAACCCACGTGGTTGGACAAAATGAGGATGAGCTACCTTAGGATGAACTATGATACCCAAATTGAAAGAAATATTGTGCTTTCGTTGCTAGCTTCAGATATTTCTCATCATAAAGAAATGCTTTTAATGTTAACTTTGTGATACAAAATAAAAATACAAAAATGTACATTGAAATTTTGAGTGTATACTCTTTGGTCAAAGGGATAACATCTAAATTGAAATAAATCTGAGTTGCTACCCCTGTATATTATAACTACGTGCCAGTAAATGGTATATATGATAGCAGTTTTCGTTTCGTGGTGTCACTGGTAGGTGTAAGTTTCAAAAATTTGTATGTAAATGACTGAGATTTTTCCAAGTCATTATATCAGTGTTTCTCTCGTTAGATTCAGAAGTCATTTAATTATAATTATCAGAAATTGTTAGTAGCATATGACAGATCTAAAAACACCCTTATAGTCTACTCTACTACAGCTGCTAAATCAAACATAAAGACTCAACCTATAGATTTATTAATTCATCCTAACATTCAGATATTTTATAAAGATCTGAAGATAATGTCTTGTCATGGCTACATGATAGAAAATGTGTAAACTGAAAGTTGTATAGAAATAGGGCAGACAGTAAAATGTTGCATACTAACTTTGATTTCTCTAAATCCTCTAAGAAGATCATGTAAGAAAACCAAAAAGATTATTTTTTGCCACACAGAGGCCCAAACACATATAATTCTACAATTTTAAAGTTGCAGAAGGTAACTAACTTTCCCTATGGTGTGTTGATCATTGCCATAGATAACAATTCTGACATCTGACACAGAGGAAGAGTTCCGACTGCTCCAAAACTCTTCAAAACCTTCAAACATCGCCTTCGCTGATAGCTTAGCAGGATACTTTCGAAATCGTGTTCCCAGAGCCGGAAAAGCTATGGAGGTCAATCCTTTAGTGTCCATCTCCTGTAAACACTTACACACCAAATCTACTATCACCTGAAACACATGTGATATACAAGGAAATGACAAAGAGGCATTCTTATTAGCTACTCGTCAAGCAACAGAGAATTAATTCTAGAATTTGTATAATTCCTTATTTAGTAAAAATAAGTATTCCTCACCCGTAATGATGCATCCTCATTGATACGGTCAAAATCACACACACAAACATGGTAGATCTTTTTGCAGGAGAGGTTGCCTGCATCAGTGAATGCCACTTCCTTGGGTCCTATTCCATTAGGATAAAGGGTGGAACAGGATTGCTGGAGGGCCGGGCCAGCCATCTTGTTTAGGGTGTTAGACAAGGTTCCTTTATCCAGTTTCAATTCTTTATTGGCGCTGTTTACTATCACGTCAACCTGGTTACAGTACAAAGATATCTACAAGCTGACTCATACATGACAGGTACAATCATTATCATGATGTTGATTCTAAACATAATATTGAAAATCTAAAAGAGATCATATTTATTGGTCAGAAGCAATTAGGCGCTGTAGCTACAGGGACAAGATCTGCATAATAGAGTTACTCAAAAGAAATTATAATTGTGATTCGTGAAAAAAAAAGCGGGACCAGAAAAACTGAGTTTATCCGTTTATATTATGGTACAGGTACAATTGACATCTCTTCAAACATATAATATTTTAAAGTGTGATTCTGAAAAAAAAAAATTTTTTTTAATGGATTGGAATAAAACAAGCACAGGTTGAATGAAATAGAATTTTGATGTTAAAAGGAGGTACTGTTTGGTTTACTTAATACTGAATACTGACCATAACCTCATTGGATTGTACCAGATACTGTACTACAAACATACAGATCACAGTTGACGTCATTATCAGGTAATACATATTTAAATGTCTATCTGAGACAGCTGAGCTTGTAGATACAGTTACCTTTTGGTCCTCCATTTTATCTACCACCAAGCGGACAGTCATGTTTCCGACAGTAGAACTACAGATATCTCGCACTGGTACAACTAAACGAGACAGGAAAAAAAAAAAAAAAATTTATAGATCTAGAGAGTTCCAAACCAAAATATTACTACCAAAAGCAAAACATGCATTTCCTTTATGACCAAGTAAATTAAAAAAAAAAAAAAAAAAGAAATAGAAAAAAAAGCTCGTTGCACTTTAATTCATATAGTATCACAACTGAAAAAGAAAAAAAACATAATTATATAGGAAAGTGACAAAATCAAAAATATGTCATCATACATGAGGAGGTATACAGAGAAAGAAATATCCCAAATCTTCTGTTCTTTATTAAAGTGACATCATTTCATCACAGAATTCATTTCTATATGTACATAGATAATTTATATTTACTATTATCTATTCTGTCTTTCCATGCCTTCACTTCATTGCTGAAAGCCTGCAAAATAAAAAACTCCGTGAGAAATCTTACCACAGCTGTATACAATTATACAGTAAGTTTGTTTCTGTACAGACAAAATACACACTGCTAATATGTGATGTACAGATTTATCCTGAAACCAAAATGACAATCTTACACGGAATCTATTGAAATCTAATTTTTATTTTAACCCACCAGGTAGATAATTAATATTTTGACAGTAACTCAAAACTTTTGTTAAAGTTAATTACAAATATACAAATATCTGTTTTGTATTTATAGTGTTCTTACTATTTCAAGACGATATATATTTACCTTCAAAGTTGCCCTGTCCGTTTCGTAGATGACAATTCGAATGTCTTTGAGAGATGTGTCCTGGTGTGATTTGAGGAATTTGTTGATACAGTCACATGCATTCTTGGCTGCAATGTCTTTGGGGAAGGCCAAGAAGCCAGTCGTCAGACCAGGCAGAGCAATAGATGTCAAACCATTGTCACTAGCTGTCTGAAGACATTTTGTCACAAAGTCTGTATGTATCTGTAAATACAATACACATTTCAATTCAATGCTGAAACAAAAAGAAATTCAATATCTTAAACAAACACTGGCTGATTTACTCAAAAAATATTAATTAAACTTAAATGCATGAACTTTTTCACTATTTCTCTACCTTCTGAGAAAACTCTTTATTTCATTGAATTTAAGATGATATTAACAAGCTCTGTAATGAAATTATAATGTCAATAAGAGGTCATGACCCACAAAAGACTGCATGATTGGCTGTTAGACAAGGTGACATCCTTGAGCCATTCCTTCCGAGGTTTCCCTATGCAATAAAAATCCAGTTTGTACCAGTTACCTTAGCTGCATCTTTACTGTCCCATTTGACAAGTGATCCGTGGTAGACATAATCACACGGTAGGTTACCCGCCCCTGTTACAGCCAAATCTCCTACAGCGATACCATTAGGATAGTACTGTTGGCAGTCTGTCTGCAGGCTATTGCCAGCCTCCTTAAGGAGAACCTTGGAAGCAGTCCCTTTGGTGAGGTCAAGGTCAGAGGATGTACTATTCACAATCACGTCTACCTATACAACAAAGATTATAAACTTACATCCTGAAGTGTTTATATCGTAGTCTAGAAATGGACAACAAATGAGACTCGTTTATTAACAAAAAACCGACAAGTAATCCTCTGGACAAAACTGATGAATGTCTCATTAGCTTACGAAACAATTAATGAGTAAGACTTAAAGATATTTCCTTAATTGTTCATATTATATTGACTTTTAAACTTAACTAAATCTGAGTAGAAACCTTTTGTGTTATATCAATATTTCATGAAAAAGGGGTAACATACCTGTTCCTTTGCAATGCTACCCTTTACAACCCTTATCAACACACTGTCCACAAGGAGTGTGACAGTTGTCTCCCCTGTTGTGCTATCTGGGGGACCCTCCTCATCTACCAACAAGCAACATTCATTAGGCATTCAGAATTTCTATGGTATCCATTCAACTTAAGGTCAGTGTATCATTGTAAAGAAAAAGTCTTTTAGATTAGTTTAAAAGTTTGGGTGTGGGTTGTGAGATCAGAAGTCACATAAAACATTTGTCAATACTGGTGACTGTAGCCATTAATGGAATTTTTAGTTCACTAAAAACAATTTTGGAGCAGGAGAAATTAAGCTAATATGCCAGTGCATATGTAACTTATATCTGCAGAATGGAAAAAAAAAGCAATGTTTATGTTTTCAACTTCAACAAAATGACTGATTTTCGACAAAAGAGCAGTGTAAAGAGATTTTAATGTCATCCATAAGAATTTTTTTTCATATTTTCCTTGAAGTCAATATTCTGAGAAGGCATACTAAAATCATATGTCACAATCATCTCAAAACTTGTATGTTCTCACAAAAGAATAAACCAGACAAAATCAGCCTTTTTCATAATATTTCAATGCTTTTAATGCCCGCGCAGAGTTGGTAAATACGTCTTTTTACTGCAGCAAAACAGTAAAAACTTATTTCAGCTTGATGTCTTTCTTTTTAGAATAGATTATTCTTGATTATGACATACTCTATACTGAACTGATTAATTGTTTTTTTGTAAAAATCACCTATTATAAAAGAACTGATGGCATATATTAAGAAAAAACAAACAAAAACAAAAACAAAAATAAAAAAACAAACAAAAAATTTAACAGTTTTATCTTTACAAGACTTACAAAAAGACCACATTGTAGTATCTTTCTCATGTCAGATCGGCTGAAATGTTTTATCAAATGCACAGAGTCTTAAGCAGTACTTCCTGTAAGGATCAATAAGATAATGATTAAATATAGAATACTTATCTAAAGTAAACTAATTACTCACCTGAAGTAAATCCAAAGTTTAAGTCACTATCATTAAGTTCATCATCACTGTCAGATGTGGAAGTTGAAATGTTAGACATCTGAGTAAAAAAAAAAAAATATGTAAACTTAACTTAGATACACTGCGGTTGACATAATGATTGCTGAATGATCTGTAAACGTTTAGTGCTAATTAAATTTGAAATCACTTCCTAGTTAATTCATTGATGTTTTTTTAAATAATGTAAAATTACCTAGAGGAGATCTTACTGTGAAGACATCAATATGACAAGCCAAGTCGTCATTCATTCATGGAGCGATGTTGGTCCTATATTTAACCAAACTAATCAAATCATCTAATTCATTAAATATGTGTAATTTGGTAAAATAAACATCTCATTTTATGTGGTCAGGTACTTAATCAACTTTTTCCCATGAATAAACGGCAACATGATATTAAGATTGTGTTTACCTTTGAAGGGAGGATATGTCCTCAAGATCTAGGTTACAATATGATAACCCTTTAAAGGCCCTGTGTTATACACACTTACCATAACTATTACTCAAAAGTTTCAACGTCAGTCCCTACTGACATCTTCCACACACACACCCATACACACACACGCGCGCACATTCAAGAAAATTTCAAAAACGAAAGTAGACATTTATTTCTAACCAAAAATGATTTCTTGATTGATGGCATTGTGAAAGTAAATACTGAACAGGCAATATATTTTGTATTTACAATTCTTCAAATGTGTGTTTTACAAATAGCATCAGGATAAACTGTGTGTAATATACATACGTCAATTTTAAAAACGAAAGTAGAAATTCCCATTCAAATCAATTGATATTTTTGTAATCATGTAAATGTATGTATTAAAAGAAATGTGAACTTACATAAAGTATATCTTGCACTTAAGAATTGTTATCTATTTACCTTTTTTATCCACTTACGTAGGCCTATGATACCTCGGCATCACCAGTAATTAACTCGGCAACAGGTATACCCATTGGTATATAAATAACTTCCTCCTTCGGATGAATGGGTCGCCTCCGCATACATTAAAAGGTCTAGACAACGTACAATGAGGAAGAGATTTTCAGGCGAATCAGCTTGCTAAAGATGGCTCAGAAGCTCGATAATATAGGTATGTGTTTTAACAGTTATTATAATGTTCCGCCTTGCCCCAATATCAGTCACTGAGGAGTCCTCGATCAATCTTGGCCATGGGTGGGTCTATACGGGATTCCAACTTATTACGAACTCACCTGGCCTCATACTAATGTGATGTACTTCAGGAAGTATACTGTCATTTGTTTTTAGTGTCTTCTATCGTATCAGCATGGAAATGTTTGGCGAAATCGGGTTTTTTTTCTCTGGTAGGCTTGTTTTTAACAACTCTTTATTGAATCAATTTCGTTATGTAATTTTCAACTTGATAATAAATATTTTACTGGATGTAGCTTTCTCATTTCAGAAAATATGCGTAATTTAAAAAAAAAAAAGTTTAATGTCTGAAATTGAATTAATGAACGATTTGCTTTCAGGATTTGTATATTTATTTATTCATATATTGTATTTTGAGTACTATGGAGGTGGTGCTTATCAGATTTGGTAAATATTATCCACTTGTATCACAAGTTGGCAATGACTTGATTACTTGGGTATTTTAATATATATTCTGTTGCTAATTAACACATTGTTCTCAGTTTCTCAAAGTTGTGCATAGTCATCCAGTTTAACTTCCTTAATGCAGTAAAAATTTTGGTTAAAAAAAAAATTGAAAAAATCCATTTTCAATATTCCGAGTCAGTATCAGGCCTGTCCAGGTTGTTCCCACTGTTCATGAATAACTGGCAGCTCATCCTGTATTATCGTGGTCTGTCTTTCCTTCAGGTTCCTCCACTGATGACAAAGATATGACACTGAAGCTGGGAAACGTACACCTGAGTTTAAGAAAGGGACTACTGCAGCAGGAAAAGGTTAGACAGAATTCATGAGACAGAAAATAAAAACAATTACTTAATGCATACAATATTCAAGAAAAAGTAAAGAAACAGGAGAAAAAAAATTGACCCAGTAACTTAAATTGGTGATCCTCAAAATTTAAGAAAAACAGAAAAAAAGGGAAAAAAGGTAATTAAAAATATTTTTTTTAGAGTTTTATAAAATATCTTGCAAAGAAAAAAAATTGCACCAAAAATTATCAGGAGTTCCCTTGGAGTATTTAATTTTCAATGAGGACTACCAAGTTTTTCGATAATTAAGTACCAAATGTTGAGTGAGTACAGGTAGAATTCATTATGAGGTTACCATGATGAAAAAAATTACTTTTGTGTCCTCCCTAATGAGAATTCATCTAAAAACCATTCATAAATTTAACTACATTTTCACACCAATTTCATAGCTTCTATCAGGTTTGGCATTGATAAAATCTACATTTGGATTTATATATTTAACAGGCTGATGTGATTGTAACTAACTCCGCAGGCAATCTCAACCTTAAGGCTGGCCGAACTACACAGGCACTGCTTGAGGCAGCAGGGGAGATAATTCAGGAACAATGTCAGGAAAATTACCCATATGGTATCAGTCTTGGAGATGTTGCAGAGACAGATGGAGGCAACCTTAATTGTCAATATGTCTTTTATTGCTTCATGACATCATGGAAGGATGAAGAGAAAGATTCCTCAAGAGGAGTATGTATCCCTGTCACCTCAATAACTCAGTTGGTAGATATCACTTTCAACCTTAGGTGAAGATCTGAGATTGATGTTAGTGCTCTGTGTGCCTCCCACATGTTGTTCATTGAGGTAGCCATCAGCTACTACAATGAGACCCTGTCTCAAAATGACCCCGGCTGTTCATAGGATGATAAAGAGATTCATGAAGGGCATTGAACAACTTCATGTATTTGTTGTATAGCAATCAACATAATTTAATGGCTCAGTGATTGTCATGGTTGAAATGATCATCAGAAGTATCAAACTATATTATATCAAAACTTTTTCCTCTTAGTGTTTACTTGCATGATCTATCACATGTTTTTTATAAGGATGTTTATATGTCTCCTACTGTTGTGTTTTCAGATTTTTTCTAACTGTGTTAAAACCTGCTTAAACAAGGCTGATGCACATGGTGTAAGTTCAATGGTATTCCCTGCACTGGGGACAGGGCTGCTGAGGTTTCCAGTGGACGAGATCCTTAAACTTGTGATTCTGTGTATCATAGAGTTCTGTGAATCTAAACCATTGTCTACACTCACTGACATAGCAATGATAGTCCATCCCAACGATGACAAGATATTACAAGTGAGTAGTAGTTTCAATAGTGACAAATTTTAAGTTATCAGTGTCTGTCATTCACAAGTAAATGACATTAACTGGAAACTGCAATTACTATTTCAGGTGTAATTTATTCACCAAAGAATTTGACACATATTTTTAAGTTATGATCATTCATTAATGAGTTAGACAAAATATGGGGGTCACATGACCAGTATAATGTATTAAGTTGGTCATGTGATCAGTGTTTGTTAATTATGGACGTTTGATGGTGTCAATTTGGTGTTATATGAACCTGGTAGAAAAATATGTAGAGGTAAGTACTTTTCTGTCAGTTCGATACAACACCATGTTGACCAAAATCAGAGGTCCCTATTTTCCGTGTTCTATTATGATTATTATTAAGAAATATGCTTCACCAAAAAAGAAAAGTACACTTCCTTAATGCAACTGATTAATTATTACTTTATAAATCCTTCTCAATCTTGTACAATTAAAGTAATTAAATATATCAGATAAAAAAACCTGTAATTATTAATTGCAAATCTCTAAGTTCAATTGATTTTATTCAACATTAAAAAACATTGAGGTCAATTAAAAATGTAGCACCATTATTCAAGGTCACAGAAGTTGAATTTGTTAAAAAGTGTTAAGACAACTTCTTCTGACTAACCAATTTTTGGTGAACCTTGAATACCAGGTGAGCGATATTTTTTTCCGTGGATTATAAATAAGTCAACATTCAGACAAATACCTGATAATTATCAGGTTTGTTTATTTTCCAAACATAATACAAAGAACTCAAACCTTTTGAAAAATAAAAGCCAAAATTAAAATATAACATAATACGAGGGTCATGTGATCAAATAATGTGACTTGGTGGTCATGTGATATTTATCTCTACCTCACTCCAATGCCTTGGGTGAAAATAAAAGTGGAAATAATTCTTTTAATTTTAATTTAAACTGTAATTTACTGGAATGATGCTTTTTTCTAGGGACTCAGTGAAAAAATGAAAAAGCTGCAGAAAAAGCCATCAGGTGATGCAGGTAAGTGGTTTAGTATGTGTACAGGTCATTGTATCAGTTATACTGTCTCTAGTTAGAGGTCACCTGATAAGTGACCAAATTACAACATACTCTCTATTCTACAGTTAGAGGTCACCTGACAGATGACCTTGATAATCTCTGTTCTACATTGAGAGGTCACCTAACAAATGACCTTGATACCCTCTATTCTTTAATCTATGTTGAAGAGTCAGTTGACGAATGACCTAGTTACTCTTTTCTATAGTTAGAGGTCACCTTATAGATGACCTTATTAATCTCTGTACTATTTTGAGAGGTCACCTGAAGGATGACCTTGATACTCTGTATCCTACATTTAGGATTATTATATTACATCACTTTTGTTACTGCAAAATCATACTTCAGGAGTTGTTAAAATCTGTACTAACGTCCTGATGACAATTGCATAGCAGTTGAAACGTGTCAATATTTGTTTATTCAAGAGAATAAACATACGCAAGTGTTTTATGTTTTCACTGAGGATTGAATTTTACTTTTGAAGAGACCAGAAGTGATTTTGAACAGAGGAGTGAAAAGATACAAATCGGAAAAACTTCTGTTACTATGGTTACAGGATCCATTGTAGAACAAAAGGTAAATAAATGTGACATTGACTTAAAGAGTGATCTTGAAAATAAAATCATTTTGAAAAGACCTTTCAGATATCTTGTAGGGTAAAGCATCAAGTTTTGATATAATAATAAGACTTTAAGCTATGTAGAAAAATTACTCAGTTTTAATTCAAAAACCAAATTTGCCTATGAATTTTGAGGAAGACAGGATCCTCTAGAAGGATTTCAAGTTCTTCATAACTTGCTGTTATGTTTTGACCTTGGAGCAATGCAGCCTTAATTACTTTTGTTGCTATTCTGTCTTGTGATATTGTTATACAGATATGATAACTAATTTATAACCTGTTAACACCATCCCTTGATTCTGACCTAGTACACAGCCTAAACAAATTAGTTGACAAGAAGTCATGTCATACAAAATGAGGTCATACAACATCAAAATTGATAAAGTGCAATCATTAATGCAGGCCGATGTCCTTGTGAACCTGACAAACAGTCGTTTGAGGCTGAACACAGGGATGCTTTCCAGGGCTTTTCTGAATGCTGCAGGTGATGACCTACAGGTAGAGTGTGATACCTTTGCTGGGGGTCTCAATTGTGGAGACATCGCTGTCACTGAAGGATACTCTTTGCCTTGCAAGATGGTGTACCATACTACATTACCTAATTACACAACAAGGGAAAAAGACTCCCACTTAAAGGTAACAACCTATCTGTGTTTTATCTAATGTAAAATTTTGTCTTTATTACCTGTGAGTAACAAGTATATTCTTGACATGTCTGTATAGGAACATCTTGTCAGCAATGTTGGGTACACAAACGTTATTGAGAATCTGTATGATTGATCCTTACATCAGACTCTTGGTCCCAATTTAATGTAAAGTCATTAGGTCAAAGGTCAATATAACAAAGCAGCAGATTTTGATGTGAATAAACACTATTGTTCCTTACACTGAGAATTAAATGCCATTTAGTGTCATACAATCAACTCAACCCAGGGATTATGACAACACAGGCAAAAGGTGAATTCTTTAGTTAATAATGTAAAGAGTTGTGCTGTTCTGTTCTCTAGGTCCTGACCTTGGTAATTCAGCAATGCTTGATGCAGTTAGAAGATGAGAAATTCCAGAGTATTGCTTTTCCCTGTTTTGGCTCTGGTCAGCATGGATATCCAGACGACCTTGCTGCAGCGACTTTTCTTCAGACTGTGGATTGTTACTGTCAAGACAATAGGTCAACCTGTATTAGGGATATCTCTTTAGTCATATACCCTGGAGGGTTAGATAAATGGAGGGAGGTCTGGCAGGCAAGTGTACCAGAGTAATGATAAAGTCTTTGTGATAAAGAGACAGGTTTTACTGCAAATGAGAGAAAAACTCGCAAATTCCTTCAACGAAACTGACTGTCAGATGTTGTTAAATTAAATTTTTGTATCAGTTTTTTATTGATTTGGTAAACAAATTATTTGGAATTGATCTTTACTTTCAGACATTTGTCAAAGAACTAAATGATTTAAAAAGAAGACATGCTCAAGACTCTGATGCTGAAATGAAGACTAAACCAGTATATGTACTACCTAATCAGGGAGCTAGACCAAAGGTAATGGTGAGATTTGACCCACAGCAGAAGAAAGGAACCGTAGATTCTCCACAGATACCAGCAACACCAGCTCGAGGAACAAAAGAATGGTTTAAAATGAAGTACACAGAGGATATATGCACTCCTAAATATTGGCTTCACCACAAGGGGGGTACCCATGTAAAAAAGCTAAAACTATCACTAGAAGTTTCTATGAAAAAGTCTTATGTTCTAAAAGAGGTCGATCGCCATACAAGAAATGCTGTAGTCAGACTAGTGACTGAAACATGGGAGAAGGACAAGGTTGGAGCTGGCAAAGATGCTAGAGGCTTAGATGAACTAAGCTATAGTAAGATTGAGGTGAAAGATGTTCTCAGAGTGGAAAACTTGGATCTGTACGAAAAATATGCAATAGAACGACAGAGAATTTTTTCCAAGGCTTGGAAGAAAGGTGGCTGTCTGACATCAGTGCAGGACAGTCAAGGGTCAGGGGGTCAGGTTCATACTTATACCAAAATGAACTCTTGTTTAAAAAATGAGCTATTTCCAGAGATTAATGAACATTATTTGTTCCATGGAACAAAGGAAAACATCATCGAGAAAGTGTTGTCACAGGGACTAGATAATCGGATGGCAGGAGATAATGCTATGTTTGGTGCAGGTGTATATGCTGCTGAGAGCTCCACAAAAGCTGACCAATATACCGGTGGGTATAAGAGTACTTTAAAAAAAATCATTATTTTCCTAAATTTACATAAATGTCCTACCTGAGGTGAATTTAGTAAATAATGGCAAGAAAAAAAAGAAAGCGTGGTAAACAAAAATTGCATAATTCTCAAAAACCAGCTGGGCCCGTATTCATGAAACCATTCTCATGGTCAAGCATAGATTTTGTGCTAAAGCAAACTTTTTCATAATTCACCTAAATAATATAAAATAATACAAATGTCAAATATAAACATTGAATATAACTTTGGCTTGAAGTCCTTTAAAAAAATTTTTTTTTAATTTTTGGCAAAATCAGCCTTATTTATTAATTTTTAAGCTAAACAAGACATAAGGCTTCAGAACAAACTTCATGCTTGAGCATGAGACCAGTTTCATGAATACGGGCCCAGGTTTGTATTCCTTTCAGGCCAGATTTCTTCAATATATCATGGAATATTATCTATATTTCAACTTATTAAGGCCCCTAACATCACCAAGGAGTCCTGAGACAAAACTGCTGTAAGATGACATTTGATATATTTGCTTGTACTCTATCAATTTAGAACAGACAAGGAGGTATTCCTTTTGATTAAGCTGTCAATGTATCCAGGCTTATACAGTTTATGAAATAAAGGTTTTTCTTTCTCATAGTCTATCTGTTAAAAGATGTACAGATTTTTTGCAAATTTGCAAGTTAGGATTGGGTTTTTTTTAAATCTATATCTGGGTACCTGATATTTCTGGCCTAAGCCTGTGCAGGTAATAAGTCCTTAATCCACTGTTATAATAAATGCTTTACTGTTATCATTACCCCAGCAATAAGCCCACGGTTGTACTTAGTCGGAGGTTAGGTGTTAATTCCTCGAGTTATTGCTGAAAATATATACCTTGGTAGTAATAGTGGTACAGTATATGAATATAAATTGTGTCGTACAACAAAGATTTATCTCTATACTGTATCTTTTGGATTCATAGTTTTACCTTCACCTCACACCTAATTTATTGAATCTGTTGTAATAGCAGTAATGATTCTAGGCTTGATCTACATGCATACATTTCATACATGATTGATGAATACTGATTTTGCCTTTTGTCCACCTGGCTATAAAAATTTTCAAGATTTGTTAACTCAATATAACTATAAAACATTGAACAATTTCTTGGATGATAAGATGTCAAACTGCCTACTAAAATTTCCAATATCATCATGATTATCGTTATGTTTCATTTTTGTTTCTAAGGCCACCATCATCTGATGGTTGGATGATCAAACTGCCCTTGGTCTGGTGTCCCTTCTAGTTGTGCATTAATTGTCCCATATTAGGACTCATCTGAGTAACAAAATGGCTGACAGCTGCAGGCAGCCTTCTTGGATTTTGACAGTAATAGTTTGTTATCTCTGTTTCTTGAAAAGTACTGGATGGATCAATCTCAAATTCCATGCGTAGGTTCCTCTTGGTCTCTCGTTTTGCATTGTCTGTTTTTTAGACTGATCTGGAAGATAAAATGGCCAACAGGCAGCCATCTTTGATTTGATAGTAATAGATTGATATCACTATTTCTTTAGAAATATTGGATCTTTCTAAAATTATAATGTCGCTTTGCTTTAGTCTTTAGTTGTGTTTTTTATTTTTGGACTGATCAGAAAGACAAAGTGCTGAAAGGCAACTATCTTGGATTTGACAATTAACGATTACCGTCGCTATTTTCTCAACAGGGATTTTGAAATTGAATTTTAATAAAATGCAGTGTAATCAAAAGTTGTTTAATGATAAATGAAGTTTGAATATTTAGATGAATATATAGTTGAGAGTAGAGTTGATGATGATGAAGTCCAGTCCTTGTTCGAAGTAATTTTATCTATTGATACATGTATCTATAAACAATATATAGTATGTACACATTATATACAATAGCCATGCCTTTATTATATCAGAGTTCAGGTATAGAGTTGTATAATCTCAGGCAAAGCCATAGAGAGCGTTCATCCCACCAGTGGCCTCTGTCCTGTTTGCTCGCCTTGCTTCTCATCTAGCAGACCAAGAGAGGTCTTTTTATACAAAATATTTGATACATGGGTAAAATGTGGCTTGTAAAAATCTGGTTGTAAGATGATGCCCTTGTGGCTTTTTGAGTGATCTTACATGACCAATGATATGTACTTTGACAGTATGACCAGACATTGCTGCAGGCATTTGAGAGTTAGCCGAATGACCGTGAAAATTTCAAAAAAGATTTCAACTTATTTATAGTTCATAAGAGCAAGCTTTTAAAGAACAAACCAATGTTTGGTGCCAAGATTCTTCTGGAATCTCCTTTTCATTTTGAAAATCATCTCATCTTTGATAAACATTAAAAAAAACACTGGCACTCATTATGGAACAGCTTTCTATTTACCTATGTGGTCAATTGTATTGTGTTGTTTGAAATATATAATGGTATATTTAAATATATGAACTGAAACCTTTTCCTATGTATCTTTAAAGATTACAAAGACAGAAGGACATCATCTCCAAAGAAAATGTTTCTGGTGAAAATGTGCCTAGGGGAGGTACATGTATCCAACACAGCTTCCAAGTACAGGCGACCTCCATGTAAAAAGTGTGTTAAAGACGACTGCGCACACAAACATTTCTACGACAGTGTAGTAGGAGATGGAAAATGGATTTTTCGGGAATTTGTTCTGTATGATCCACGCCAAAGTTACCCAGAATTCATGATCACATATGTCAGAAAATGATTTCAATATTAACGATAATCCTAACACATGGACAGTTCTTCACTCAAAAACAGGGCAATTTAAACAAAAAGTTTTTATCTTAGGAAATAAGATGGCCACAATTAAATAAACAGATTAATCTTATAGTTTTTATACACCACCGGAGGCGGTCGTATATTGGCGTCATCTTTTTCGTCTGTCCGTCTGTACGTACATCCATTTCTTGTGAACGCAACTCTTCCTTAACTAATCATCAGATTTTCATGAAACTTGCTCAATGTCACTACTACCATGAGTAGATGTGCATGAAGGGGCGAATTTTTGGTTCGTTGATTTTTGTAAGATTTATGCCGTTTTCAACTTTGTATCTGTAGCTTTCTCATAGTGGAGCCTTGTGAACGCAACTCCTCCTAAACTAATCATCAGATTTTCATGAAGCTTGCTCAATGTCACTACTACAATGGGTGGATGTGCTGGAAGAGTCAATTTTACGTTTTTTCTTGATCTTTATATTTTGTGGCAGTGTATATTGTGTCTGTGGCACTCTTGTTTATATATGTACTACCTCCCAAAGTTTATAGGAATAAATACATAATGTCAAGGACTCTGGTATATTACTAGAATTCATGATTTGGGTACATTTACACTACCTCTAACATATATAATCATCTACCTTTGAAGATCATTGTTCGTATTATTTTGATATTCAATACTTTGTGATTTTATAGTACATAGTTTAATATGAATTTTACAGCTGTGCTACAAAAAGTAAGGTTTTATGGTATAGATTATATTGCAGTAGTGCTGAGAAGAAAAATTGTATGTTGCACTAGCTTTACAGACCTTTTGTTATGATATCTTTGGATATATTCAATATACTCATGCTATTTTTGTAAACTATTATTTGTGTAAATGAAGACTTTGTGTAAGTAAAATATATATTGATCTGGTTCTTGTTAAGTTTTCTTTCTCAAGCTCCCAATAACAGCCAGCTTGTGTATTGGTGAAACATATTTCAAAGTTAGCAATGTGAATGGGAAAATTTGTATTTCTAGAAGATTAAAACTAATATACAAATGCCAGTTGTCTGGTTCATGAGACTGTCACCAGTTTGACATCAGGTTAAAAGGAGGTGGACAATATGACTGCAAACCATCTTTTTGTTAGAGACATCAACATGTTAGTCTGTTTCACTGTAGCTTGATCTGTCATTTTATAGTTTTTAAAATCTGAAATCCAAGAACCTGGTAGCTTTTCTGACCTATTATTACACATGTTGAATATTCTGAAACTGAAAGGAAAGAAGATTGGATTTCAAATGTTCTAGTCCTCATTCTCAGAAAATACTTTTGAATGTTTTTAAAATTTTGATTTTACAGTGTAAGAAGATTTTATGGACAGGTTTCACAGATTCCATTAAGCATATTTTGTTTAAATATCAATTAGATTATGACATGCTAAGAATTTAGATTTAAGTAATCAGGGTTAATAACAGCCTGTCGGCAGTCATGGTCACTTTGAGCCATAAAAACTTCTTTGTTGATAGCTAAAAGTGTTGGAGAAGAAACTTTTCAGTAAAATGTTTAAAAGTTCGAACAATAAATTATTTTTTTTTTAAATAAAAATTTTTCTTGCTTAAATGTGAAGAAAGATTTTTTCACTGTATTATTGCGTAACTTTTAGACCGATAGAGAACAGATGAAAGCAGATATCATAGGACTTCAATGTTAAAACGTTGATCTTAGAATGCAAATATGAACTTTGGAATGTTGTACATTAACAAACCTTTATTTCCTTCATCTGAGTCTAACAAAGTCTGTGATTTTCAAACTACTTAATAAAACAAACAAAAAAATGTTATTCTCTTTGCTAAAGGTCAATTCCTTGTTTTGCCTCAGGGATAGTCAAATATTCCTATATTTCTCTTGCAAAATTGTAATAGAACAAATCATTTGACAGAATCCAACATATTTTTATTTACATAAATACAAAGTACATTCAGACAACTCCTTCTTGTCCTAACTGATCAGTGAATGATGAAAAGCACTTAAATTGTCTGGTTTCCAGTTCACCATTATTTGAATATCACACTAGTTTTTATTCTGTATCTGGTCTGAAAGGTGACTGCCATGTATTGAATACCTCTCCCCATTTTTTTCGTTCTGGAAAATAAAAATTAAAACAATGTTTAGATATACCAACTACAACAATAATAGCAGATTCTGTTACCACTAATGCCAATTAGCTGACATTACCATTAATATTTTCTCATTTTTAGGATTTCAGCTTAACAAGCATTTTACATGTACTAAAAATTACAAAATTAGCTATCAAAATTTATCTGTTTTATTTCTCCCTTGTAAAAATATAAATGACATGTGAAACAATATGTCTGGAGATGAAATATCTAGTCAATCTCTGATACACCTGCAGGACAAATTAGGTGTGAATTAGATATTTAGGAAAGTCATATAGTGTAGACGTGAATTTGGTCAATCTCTGATACACCCGCAGGACAAATTACGTAGGTGTGAATTAGATATTTAGGAAAGTCATATTGTGTAGACATGAATTGATAAATTGTGATCAAATAAACTAAATTATCCTGCTTATTTGATTTGTAAGAGGCAGTTAGATTCGGGACCTGATTTTTTCTTTCACACTAAAATCTGATTGGGTGTAAAACTTATATCTTTTACACACAGTACGAATGAGGAGACACATACACCATGTGAATACAATTAACCTTATTTAATTGGGAAATGTAAACATGAAGACTTCTTACCAATAGCTGGGAAATCATCTGGATGTGTTCGAACATATTCTTCCAACTGATACATGCGTACTTTGTCCATTTCTTCCAACTTTGAAAGGCCTAAATGTCCTAATGCACCAACAATCAATCCACATGCTAGATTTCTGGGGTGACCTTTAAAAAAAGATTTCAAAATTTAAAAAGCCATTTGCTTTTCAACAAAGTTATGATATTGTTTTACAACAGACATTATAAAAGCAAATTAAAACAACTGATTACATTGACTCTCAACATTGACAGTCAAACCACGTTATGAATTCTAACTATGTCGGACTTAAAGACAATCAATTAGGTGTTCAGAAAATGGTTATTTCTCAAAATGCATAGATGAACAAATTTGTGGGGGTTATTTTATGTAAAAGAAAGTCTAGGATAACTCTCTGAAATGGGGAAAAACACTTCAGGGGGGGGCCCCCATCTCCAGATTGTACTGAACTTAGGGCCAATGATTTTCTGTTTCAAATTTGTACCAATTCCGTTTCAGATTTTCATGAATTCCATTTTTTAAACCAGTTTCATGAGATCAAACACAAAAACATAGCAGATTGTCAGCAAAAACTTTAATAATTGGATAATTGAAATTTTCCTGATGAACAATTGAACTCATGAACTGTCTGGGAATAAGATATCTCAGACTAGTTTTCTGAATAGAATACTCAGCCAGAGTACACATTTTCAAGAAATCTTAAACAAATTCATCCCTAGATTCTGTAGATTTGACGACAGATGTGACAGTGGTTTGTTTAAGCTTTGTTTGACTAGAGCCAGCCAACTTTTTTCTCTCTGCATGTTTTTTAGATATTATATGATCCTTGACCATGTCAGCTCTAGTAAAATCAATGCTGTGCTGTCAAAATTTGCAAAATAAAATGTCTTCGTCTTCATAGAGGTTGTCTAGGAATTGTGATGCCCTATATTTCACATTGGCTTTTTTAATAGGATCAAGACTACATTTTTTCACACCCGAAATGCTTGGCATATCGCCACCGTCAGCCATGATGTGTACATGCACTAACCATGTGACTTTGGTTACCAACGTAAATCAGTCCTGTGCGGGATGTTGTAAATGTTTCTGAACCACGGTTCAAGTGGTTCAAACAATTTACTTGTTTATGCCATGTATTCATGAAAATGAGCACAGGAATTGGGATTGGAATAAAAAGCATACAGAATTTCAGTCGAATTCAATACAAATATATGGGATATTTTCAAAAACCAAAATTCTGTTTCACCAATTCCGCAATGGCAGAAAAAAATTGGCTCTACTGAACATTTCCACAAAAACAAAAACAAAACTGTTGTTAACTGACTGAGTGCATGGCTAGGCAAAGTTTGGTGATTCTTTTTAAAAAGATCAGTTGCAAACTGAGCTAATGACAATATTCATCTATGGACAAGCTGACTCCAGTTACCTTCCAACATCTTTGCCTGAGGTTTAATAACTTGGAACATACAAAACAGGTCAAGGTCACTCATTTGAATATACTTGATAGCTTTTTCTATGATGCTACTGGCATAATACCATGACCCTGGGCCTTTTAGCTATTGAAATGAAGTCCAAAATGTAAAAATTTGTTTACAACGGACGACATACAACGCACAACGCCAGACAAAAGTTGATCGCACAGATTTGAAATCAATATAAACATAGGGGTACTAATAATGTTTATAATGATCTCGAATCTATTTTTCTTTATCATATTATCGGTATCACTCCTATAACAAAAATCATTTATGGACCCTTGTGACCTACCAACCTGGCCAAAAAGGAACTCTTTCTACTGATTAGTGAAAGTTATTGTAAAGTCATGCAAAAAAAAATAATGGAGAACTTAATTCCTGTGCCTTGTCAAAAACTCAGCTGAGTGATTGGAACCTAACTTACACTAGCTACAGCTTTAAGTTACAGAGGTATCGCTGCTCGCGTTTTACTACACATAAGTTACATCATTTACCTCGATGTAATGGTACTCCTGATAAATAGTTCCATACCATAGAACCACTGAAGCCTCCTATGAAAAACAATAAATCGTTAAACATCTTGATTGTGGTTTTACAGTTCCAACAAGCCGTAAAACGTGAAGGACACTGTAGAACGGAAATGACTACTGCGCATGCGTCATATAGGGCAAAACATCCGTTTTCCTTTAGCACGTGAAAGTAAAACGACGACCTCATATATTTGTTGTAAATGCAATTTATGGACGTAAATGTGAACGATTCAACGGTTGTAGGATGGAAGATGGTGGCGTTAGACAAGTGGCAAAGATTTCTTTAGCGTCGGCTAGATCTTGTCTTTCGAAAAAAAGATACGGCCGAGCATTCGCCAACTTTCTGTTGTTCCTGAAACTTGTTCCAGAAAATCACGATGATGTACTTGAAGATTTTATCATGACCATGAGACTTTGGACTGAAAACTTAGAGAGAGAAGGCAGAATTGAAGATTTGTTCAAGTGTTTCGATCAAGCTTGTGAGATCCTTCCTGACAATGAGTCAATATTAAACAACATAGGTGCCCAATTATTTAGGTTGGTTATGATATACAGATTAGTAGTAATCATATAATTTATTCGATCATCTCCGTCTAATCATAGATAAGATGCTGAGAGAACAGGTACCAGATGTCATTTAAAAATTCTCTTTTAAAATGCTTCAGTTTGTGTCATACATAGTCAATAAATGGATAGGAAAATGATGAAACTGCATCAGATTGCCCAGTTGGCTTGTAGATCAGATCAATCAATCATACAAGTCGATGAGGCATGTGTTTCTTTGATTGCAGTTTAAGGTAATTTTGTTATTATCCCACCATCATCAGATAATTGGTTCTTCAAGTCACATTTGGTTGTGGTTAGTTGTCTGTCTCCAGTCCACATGTTGGTCTTTAAGCAGATCGAGTTGTGCACCGTCTCATCTAAAGAACATAATATGATGACTTATATGCAGTCATCTTACATTTGTACAATGAAGGTTTGTTATTGCTATAAAAGTACTGGCAGGATCTTTCTCAATTATTATATGTAGATATGGACAGAAGAAAGAAAGGAAAAGTTCCATCTTTCAAAAAACAAATAAAGACCAAACAGCGATAGATTCCAAGATCTCTCTGGGATCTCTTTATTCAAGATTGTCCACAAAATTCCCACATCCAGTCAAGTAATTTGACATATTTATGATGTCGGGGACATAAAATACAGTATTATACATCCCTGTTGTTGTGTCCTGCAGGACATTTTTCCAGCAAATTTTGAGTGTTATTACAATAAAGATTGATGATTCAACAAATCAGAGTGAAAGTTGAATAACAGTTAGTCTCAATTATAAGGCTTAGTATTTGAAATCAATTGAAAAATTGTATATATCCCACAAAATAAAACCACTATATAACACTCCCTGACAAAAGACAATATAATGACATGTATTATTTATACAAACACTGCACAACACTCAAAGGCAAAAGACATGATAAGTATCATTAAAACACTGTGCCCTTGTCAAGTCAGTTTCATATTAAATTTTGGATGATGTCAAATTATCTTGCAATGAGTATGCAGGAGGGAATAAAGGGAGGTTCATTGGTAAGGTAGATATATAATACTTATCATTGTCAGCACTGGCTGCTTCTTTGCTTGAGAGATTTCGATCAAACTGTAAATGCTTAGGATCATTATCGTTTGGACAAGTTTGAATTTCAGGATTGCCAAGTCAAAGTCATGGTCACTATTGTTAAAAAATCTTTGTCAGTGTCTTAGCAACTTCATTCTTTTGAGCAATTTTGTTCGAACGTTTAGATCAGGACCACAAAGTCACCAATAAGTTTGAGATTTAGCACTGTCAGGTCAAGGTCATCATCACTGTTTTTAGAAAGATTTTGTCAGCAATCTAGTAGTTTTGTTTCAAATAAAGGACCATACATACATCAGATTTGGATTTTCCTTTGAGTTCTAGGTAACAGGACTATTTGAAAATGATTAGAATAAGTACACATCTTTGTTGAATGAAACGATGGCTGTGTCACCGCCTAATATTGAGTGATCAGTGGATTTGGGGGTAGAACTTTATCTTGCATCAAAAGTGATTGGGGCAAAACAGGAAGGTTTCAATCACTGTATAATCAAATGGTGTTAATGTTTGTGTTTTTATCATTGCTGCAAGATATAGATATAAGTCTGTGATAAGGGTACATTTGGTACATATTCAGCAATTCTTGGTTTGTAATTTAATTACCTGCATGATATGCAATGACCACACATTCAATATTGGTTGTATGAGAAAAAAAGATTCAATATCTTTCTAAAGCAGAAGGTAAAGGGAATTTTTTCATATACAAGGTGAAACAAAGTTTGTGTATAATCGTTTTATGTAATATTATATATATTACTATTAACATTCATTGTTGTTCAAACCATATTTTTCAGATTGTTTAATGTACAGGTTAGTTTGTTGTGTGAGTTAAAGGAAAAGCTTACTCTTCTCTTTAATAAGCAATCAATACAAACGAAAGAAAAACATGTCCATTGAACTTGTTTATTTTCAGACTTGGGTATGCAGAAGAAGCTGTCTTGTACATAAGAAAGTCACTACATCTGAACCCAGAGTATCTAGCTGCAAGAGAAAATCTGGAAAATATATGTAGCCACCTTGTTGAAAGATGGCATTTCCGCATGCTTAATGATGTTCGAAGGAATTGTGCATACAGGTCTGCTATCCAGACAGCTGTCCAATCTGGCTATCATACCGTTCTGGATATAGGCACAGGTTCAGGAATCCTCAGGTAATATTCTATATATTTATCAACATTTACTTAGAAAGAATTGTAGGACTTTCAGGTGGTAATTATCAGTCTTTACCTGGCATTGCAATCTTGGTATAAATAGAGATGAAATAGAAATGTTCTGTAACAAGCCCACCTACTTTTTGAGTAAAATTCTTGTATTTGACCAGTGGTTAGAACATGTTTAACATACAGTATGAAATTATAATTATTATTGCCTGGACTGATGTTTTTTGTTTTTTTTGTTTTTTTTTGTTCTTGTTTTTTTTTTTCGTAAAACTTCTTACAGATGGAGGAAATGGTAAATTATGCAGTACTTCAAGCACATTGACCTACCTTTTGCCCACTTTTGTCTAAAGATGACCTATATTTCTGTTCTTTTCTATTTCCAGTCTGTTTGCTGTAGAATCTGGAGCAGGCGATGTGACAGCTTGTGAAAAATCGAAGACAATGTTTGAAATAGCACAGGATGTACTTCGGGAAAATTCTGTTCTCCATAAAGTACGTCTGGTGCGTGAATTATCTACAGACCTTACAATGCCCAACGATCTACCAGGGAGGTAATTACTTAAGATTTACTTATATATATATATATATATATATAACAGTAATATTTCTATCTAGCTGTTGATTGAGTATCCATGATATATATGTTCATTGCTGATAAAATAAGTCATGTTCTTTAAACAACTTGGTCTGATGAAATATAAAACCAGTATACAAATTTGTTTTTGTCTTGCAGCATGCTTAGGCAATTGACTTTGATCGTTGTTGGGTTATAATTATATTCGATGATGCAAACTATGACACATTTTTATATACATACGTACCGGACAAACTTTGATTTTGAAAGTCACCGCTCTACACACAATGCAAAAAGCACTTAGATTAAATTACCACTAAATCAAGTACATTTACTGTATATGCCTATGGTTATTTGAAGATAAAATCTATCTGTATAATAAGTTGAGTTTTGAACTCGATCACAAAGTATGATTCTGTAGTTCAGGAGAATATGTTTGGTTTCAGAGTATCACTGGTGGTGACAGAAACATTTGATGCTGCTTTGTTTGGAGAACATATCATATCTACACTTCAACATGCCTGGAAGGACCTTCTCATGCCTCCAACATCTAGACTGGTGAGGACAATAAGTTAAGGGAGATAACTCCAATTTGAATAACAATTCATATGACCCGAAGGGCCAGGATGACCTATAGCCTTCGTGTTTGTTCTGTCGTTGTGAATTTTAAGGGCTAACAAGTATGTTAAAATGAATGACCTTGACCCACTTTCAAGGTCACGGGCATCAAATGTGTTGAAATCTTTAATCTTCTTTTCAATAGCCAAAAGGCCCAGGGTGTTGATATTTGGCCTGTATCGTGCTGGGATGAAGGGCTACCATGTTTGTTTTCATGAATGACCTTGATCTTTGTTACTCAATAAAAAAGAACAACATACAGAATTAAATTTTATCAAATTTCATGTTACAAGTATTCTGACACATGTAAAGGAAAAAGTAGTGCAGCAACATTTTTATACTTTAATCAACTTTCTAACATCGAACCTTTCAAATAATCATCATCAGGAAAAAAAGTTTAATACTGGATTTTTTTTACTTCTCATTGGAGTATATCCTTAATTGGCATTACCATAATTGTATATATCTATTTGTATTTATGTAACAAGTTTTCTTAATTTTGAACTTATTAAGCAAGAGGATGATCACACATATTCACATAGCTGCATTTCAGCACATCCTGCAGTTAAAGCACAATATTTGCTTATGTGAAGCTGCAGGAAATTCATTTCCTTGACCCACAATCCATATATATATATATAAATGGACTCTGGGTCAGAAACATGTGGCAAATGTCTCTGATATTATCTGTAATTTAGAGATTTTGTCTAACATTTTGTTTGTTGGTGTAGTTTATTCATATGTTGAAGGTTGTTTACTAGTAGATATTATTAGATTGATTGCAAAACATGTTTTGTGAAGATGATAAGGAAATTTAATGTTGATCTGTTCAGCGTTCCAAAGTTATACCAAGTGGAGCAACTCTATACATATGTGCAGTAGAATCTGAAGCTATTCGTACACAAAACAGGTATGTACCCTTCTGTTAATACATACATCTGTCATGCAGAACATAATGTTTTCTGTAGTGTGTCATAGTAGTTAAGGATATGCTACATACTATATGCATTTTCTGCACCTGTATTTTAGTTGTAACAATTTAAGCTCATCTGGCCTGAAGGACCGATGGAGTTTTTGGCATACCGAGGTAGGTTCCCCCTTGTTCCCATGTTGTGCCAGTCTAATTTCGGGACTTATCAGAAAAAGAAAATGGTGTACCGACTGCCATCTTGGATTTTGACTTTGAAAGTTTGTTATCGCAATTTCTTGAGAACCACAGCATAGATCTTTCTCAAATTTCATGGGTATGTTTCCCTTGATTCCTAATTGTTTGATTTTGGTATCCAACAGAAAAAGAAAATGGTGATCAGGAGGACATCTTGGATTTTGAATTGAAAAGTTTGTTATCGCTATTTCTTGATAAATGCTTCTGAAGATTTTTCTCAGATTTCATGCATAGGTTCCTTTTGGTCCCTTTTTATGCCTGTTTGAGTTTAGGACTGATAAGAAAAACAAAATGGCTGACAGGCAGCCATCTTGGATTTTGCCTAGTAAAGATTTCTCTCAGATTTCATACTTAGATTCCCCTTGGGCTCTTTTTGTGCCCGTTTGAAATTGGAGGAAACAAAATGGCTTTCAGGTGACCATTTTGGATTTTGTAGTTAATAATCATCATTGCTATATGCTACAAAAGAATTTTGTAATTTCTTATCAATAAGAACAAAACAGAGAAGAGAAAAGAAGGGAAAAGATGAAACTTCCAAAGAGCAAATAAAGATCAAACAATGGTGGCCAACAAGATCTTTCATGGATCTCTTCTTTAAAATCCTACCCCACTATGCAAATTATTAGGAATTATTAAATTTTGCCCAAACTTGGTTTGAAGCATTCTTTTTTAATAGTGGTTGGTCTCAGCTCTCTTGGGCAGGAGGGACGAGGTCCAATAGGAGAAAAAGAGCAAATTCTGGAAAATCCTGCTCCGCCCATAGGAAAGATTTTGTCCAAAGTTTTGTATGGGTCTTGGGGCCCCTGGGTTGGAAGGTGTGGGACCCCATTTTGGAAATAGGGTAAATTCTTTAAAATCCTACATTTCCTGTATGAATGATTTGGTCTTAAGTATCATTGACCCCTTAAGGACAGAGGGTTGGGTTCCAAAAAAGATGTGTTTTGTGTTGTGTTCTTGGAGATTTTGAATTCTCTTTTTCTGTAGATTTCATGAAGCAATTTTAGTCAAGCAAAGTCAGATGAGAGATACAAGCCGTATGGGTCTCTTGTTTCCATGAATATTATAAACGTGTTATATTGTACATGTATGACATTAGCAAATGATTATTTGGTGCATCTTTTGTTCAGTCTTGTGGATTGGTGGGTGTTAGACATTGCAGGTTAACTTTTAGTCCCTGTGGTTTGCCTTAACCTGCATGGCACATTTTAATTCATTCGCATAGTGATACAGTTCAGAATAAATTTTCAGACATACAAAATTAATTGAATTATTGGACTGGTGCCCCTCCCCAGTTTGATTCTGACATTTCTTTCAATCAGTTTTGATTCTCCTCGGTTTTCAAAATTTAGGCTCTTACCATCACTGACAAGTTCTAGAAGGACAAGACAGCTGTATGATGCAGTTTAATTCCATGTTTATTTATTCCTGTATCTAATTGTATAAGGTGCTTTTCACTTGTGTGTTATTTGTACAATCTTAGCAACATACAAAACACTGACCATCTTTAAGCATATTTCATATATTTCAATTTATAGTACATATAAAAGGATACAGACAATGCTAGCTGGACCTGTCTGTCATGTTCTATTTACCTGGCAGATTCCTGTATCCAGGATTACACAAACTAGACATGGGAGGTGTGGGGATAGTATGTACTACTGGTACTGTAGCTGACGAACCCTACACCACAGAGAACCTGACTCGTCTTCGCCGGGGATACAAGATGTTATCAGAACCTTCCCTTCTCACCTGTATCAACTTCAATGATCCATTGGTGAGTTTCAATGATATTCTGGTACAATGATAACACTAATTACAGCACTGAGACAATACAATAAAGCAAAAACATTACTATCTAAAGACGTGCTATCCTTAAAATTATATCTAGGTTCTTTGATTTTACTGTTGTATTTGAAAAAGATAATATATAAACATTTGTATCTGTCTAATTTTCTTGCTTTGAAGGAGCTGGATATAATAGCCAATGGCATTGAATGGCAGGCAACTCTACCCATTACAACTATTGGAAAGCTAGATGCCATTGTGTTTTGGTTTGACCTTCACCTTGACGATGAGATCTCCATAACAACTAACCCATCAATGGAGACCTGTTGGGAACAGGCGGTATTTCCTGTACTGCCCTCTCATTTTCATCAAAGCTGCTGTGGGATGCTTCATGGTAGATATTATTAATTGTCTAACTATTTGTAAAACATTTGATGTCTATATACGTTCCTTCATTTGAGTATAAAAATATGTAAAATTAAAGACTTTTGACAATTTCTGTCATTTGTAAATTTATTTTTGAAAGGTGAAATGAAATTCAAATTTCTGATAATGAATAATTTTCTAGGTTTTAATTTCTAAACATTTTATGATTTAAACCATCTTTTATAAATTAATTCAGTCAATTGTTATTAATATATTTGTAGTTCAAACTCCCAAAGGGCATTCTTGTTTTTAATATATTTCAGACACACAACATGGGTTTATAATCAGGGATGGAGACTCACTTCATGTAAAGTTCAGTCTAGGAGAAGATTGTTTATGGTTGGTTTCCTGTCACTGCTGCCATGACAGCGATGATTCAGCACCCTACATGCCTCTGGCAGATTTTATCTGTCCACCACAGGTCACTGAACAATATCTATTGGAAAGGACAGAAATAGACAAACTCAACAATCTCTATTACAATAAAATGTTCTGTCAGGCCATAGATAAACATTTATCACAGTTAGATTGTGCTGATAGCCTAAGAATCCTTGACTTCTCTGGAGGGTTATCTCCCCTTTGTTTACAAATGTTAAAGGATAGTGATCATCATTGCGTTGTTATAGCAAGGGAGGGACTACATGATGTCATATGGAAGTTGATGTCTGTGAATGATATCGACCGTGATAGACTGCAGCTTGTGGAACCTTCGAACCTGTCAGAGGTCGAGGGAGATTGTCAGCTAATATTGTGTGATATCATAGAACAGTGTGGCATCCTCAAACAGCAAGTCCTGGAGGACATCGCACTTCTCAGGTAAGTCAAGTTGGTTAACCTCAAGGGTAGGTAATACTAGTACGTCTTTAGTAGGTTATGTTAATACATATCACAGGTAGGTCAAGGTAATACACTCTGTGTTACACACCAAAGGTTCGTCAAGCATGTAAACATCAAATGTCAAGTATGTATAGTGATGGGAATCGGAACAGAAATTTACAATTGATTATCTGGAGGAGTACTATAAACGATTAATCGATCAATCGAAATCTTCCAGGATATTGGTACAGCTCATTATCATCCGCCATATTGACAACATGCTCTTTCGTACTTATGTTTAAAAGTTGAAATCTAAAGTTTTCTTGATTTATGAATATACAATGTACTTTCCTTTTCTAAAAACAAATGAAATCCAAATTTTGATTTACTAGTGTAGATTTGTGTCAGTTTTTTTTATTATAAATACTGAATGAAAACTGCGAAACATATGCCAAATACTGGTTACTTCTAGTACTGATACACTAGGCTCGATACAATACGTTGGTTTGGTACATCCCCATCCTGGACCAGGAGGTTATTAACCTTTTTTTTTTTTTTTGATTAATCGAGCTTACAAAAACTTAAGTCGAGCGCTTGATTTTTGGTTGTAGTCGAGCAATTTTTGACTTTTTTCGACTATCGGAACACCACTAAGTATATACACATCAAAGGTCAACCTAGTATATGTTTGAGGTGAGGCTTGGACACATGTAAGTTCAAGCTTTTACATAGGTCAAGCCAGTACACATCACAGTAAGGTCAAGTCAGTGCACATCATAGGAAGGTCAAGCCAGTACACATCACAGTACACATCACAGTAAGGTCAAGTCAGTACACATATCAGATAGGTCAAGCCAGTACACATCACAGTAAGGTCAAGTCAGTGCACATCACAGGAAGGTCAAGCCAGTACACATCACAGTAAGGTCAAGTCAGTACACATATCAGATAGGTCAAGGCAGTACACATCACAGTAAGGTCAAGTCAGTGCACATCACAGGAAGGTCAAGCCAGTACACATCACAGTAAGGTCAAGTCAGTACACATATCAGATAGGTCAAGCCAGTACACATCACAGTAAGGTCAAGCCAGTGCACAAGGCAGATAGGTCAAGCCAGTACACATCTATGGTAACAATCCAATATTTTTGACAATAGCAATAGTTAAACTTCTAATTTATGATTTGTATATACCTGTACACTAGAAAATTTGAAGATGCCAAGAAGTTTTGCTTTTGTTATAAATATCAAAGAAACCTGACATATATGCAATATATAAAATCGTAAGTGGCACCTCTCTTTTCCTCTAACACAGAGCCACCTGTCTTTCTGCTGGGGGAATCATTGTTCCTGGCCGTGTCACTATTCACGGTCTGTGTGTAGAGTCGGAAATGCTTCACGGGGATAGTGCTGTCATCAACGAACGTACACTGGGGTACAACATTGCCAAGTATATGAACAATTTCCAGGTATTCAAAAAAGCTTTCATGTTCTATAAAGGTTGGAATAATGAAAATAATGGAGCGATTTTATTTAAATTTTGTTTGAAAGCACCTTATTTTGATTGATATCTACTAGTCTCATACAAAAGTAATATGGTAATGTGGACCATGCTGTGGCTCTGACTTATGGTCATGTAAATATCATGCGAAAATGTCAATTATTGTTCTCTTTATGTGCTTTTGAGTATATCTGCAGTAAGGGCATATTCAATACCATGATTAGTATAAAGTGAAAGATTTGGATATGGACCTCGGTTTTCCATACCAGGAAATGACTTTTCTTTATATGTGTTGAATATTTTTTGATGATCTGTCAAATTCGTTTAAATGAATAACCTTGACACTTTAAATTCACAAGGTCAGATGTGTAAGAAATGAAAATACCAAGAGTCATGATAACATAAAAATAAGGTTTACATTTGGAATAATCAGAAAAGTTGTCACATAATTCTTGCAAATTTTTCATTCATAATCTGCAAAACAGATAGGTGACTGGCCCATGGGACTTCTTTAGATTGCTCCCAGGGTGTCTCCCATTAAATACTGGTTGAACCGTTGTTTTGGTTCCCCAAATAATTATTTCTCCGGTAGATAACTACTAAACCATTAAAGATTCCTTCATGAAAGGTGCTGATAAAGTACAGTGCTTTGTCATTAACGCATTGCAACCTTGCATCAAGGATAAGTGGTAATATTTCCGATAATATCTTGTCCAGTAGATACTTTTTAAACTGTTAAGATATCTGAAAGTTGCTGTAGATCTTTATCACCCTCTGAAAAAGTGCAGGGCTTCATATTTTGATAATTACGACCTAAAGGTCAATGGTCAAATGAAGTGCTAACTTTTCCAACAGGCAGTAATTTTCAAATTGTTTAAGATATCTTAATTAATTAAGAAAGTACTAATTTTACCAGTGATTAAGAACAGTACTTTTTAATATCTATCCTTGCACATCCAACTTAATATGAAAGCAGCAAATATGCATAATTGCTTAAAAGGGGAGGCATATATTTTTGTTCACTGAAATTAAACAAATCAGTTTGCTGTGATTGACATGTCCATTTCCTTTCATAACTAGAAAGAATTAAATTACCCTTTTGACTTTCTAAGAGAAGATCACTGTCACATTCTACTTGGTTTTTCTTTCAGATGACTAAACACGTTGATATAGATTTATCAACCTTATCACATGTCAGGCTCTCTGACCCATTTGTCTTGATGCAATTTGACCTCAATGAACGCCTGAGTAGCGATGAGCCTCCATCCTTTCTGGAGCAAACCCAGGAAGTGAAGGTCACCATGACAGACGTAGGTCACCTGACTGCTGTAGTGTACTGGTTTGAATTTGAAATGGCAGAGGGTCTGAGGTTCACAACACTTGATGGAACGTCCCATTGGAAGCAAGCTGCTGTTATGTTAAAGTCTTCTACAGAATTTACAATGGGACAAACAGTGGACTTAAATGTTTGTTTGAAAAATAGTTGTATCAGTATCAAAATTGACAAACAATTCAATGATGCTACTCCTTGAACTGAAGCATGTTCATGTATTTGGCCACTTTACAAGACAGTCAATGAATTGTATAAATGGTGAATCTTATCATTAATACAAAATGTCCTAATTCAAACAGCATCACAGAATTGGCAAACCTGTAGTTCAGGGATAGCTAGCAAAGCATTTACCAGTAATACTGTAAGGTATGAATACTCCCATGCTCCTTACACAGCAGTATCAGCATTTGACAATCATCTGTATACAACCATGTCAACGGTGACTTTGAACGCTGGAAACAAAAACATGTAAGGGGTATTGACATAGTTGGCCACAAGTTTGATTGAATATTTTAGTAAGTGGAGTTGCTAGCGACAATAATTCTATTTAAAGTGATGCATAACACTAGTACCCTATTTTCACAGGACATATGTAAGTGATAGAACAAGCAGCGAGTTCGGTGAAAAAACAAAGCATTTGAAAAAAAAAATAAGGGGGTTCTGTTTAAGAACCTATAGGATACACACTACAAGACTAGAATTGTACTTGCAAAATATTGATACTTTGAAACTCAACACAAAACTGAATAAATTTAAATATTTATTTGATATCATCAAATGAACATAAAATATAGACAACTAGCGCAAGTCATCACACAAACGGGTAACAAATTTATTATACTAGTATTCATTGCTGAATCACAAATACAGATCACGGCTGCATCCAAATGTCCATTACAGTCTTACAGCATTTCTGGTAAATTATGGGTGTTCATTTATGCAAAATATACTTCTATGTAGCTAGTATAAACATGCATGATAACGTGTTTCCATATATTCTACCTGTCTGAAGTAAAATTTTGAACCATTCTGTATGATACATCATTAAAATTTTGTTACAAATCTAATAAAACTTAATATTTGAATATTGACAATGGGTAAAGTGATCCCAGTACAATCAATGTGTTCGACTGTTTTCATCTACCCGGTTGAAATAGTCTCTCGAAATACGGAAAGTATTCCACAGTAAATGAATAAACCTAAACGGACAAAACATTTTAAATTTCAAATACAACAAAATTTGGATACATTTCTTTCTCCGTGATCTAAATTTGAAACAATTTTGCTCTTAAATATTCTTGAGCAGTCGGTTTGTTTTTATAAACACTTGAAAATTCTATACTAGTGATTTTCATTGACTACATTTCAGACAAGCATGAATACCTGGATTTGTATGTGCGAAATAATCTAGCTCTAAACAGCTTTGATTTTAATATGCGTTGGTTAATTTCAACTGTTACTTGAAATCAGGTTTGGCTGTACAATATGAACACAAAATAGCATCAGCACAAACACACAACAATGTTCTAGATCCTCCAGCCCATACTTATCTGGTGGTCATACTATCTCTAGCTAATCAGGACAAATTTTCCTCCAGTAAAACGACCAACTTCCAGCTGGGAACAAGCGTGGACATTTTACAGACATTATCTGTATATATTCTTACCATAACGAACTACACAAAGTGCATCAATATAACAATAATTTTACTACTGTTTTGTGTTCCTTATTTATCACATACATTAGGTGGATGTTATGATGCACTTAAATCAATTATCAAATCTTAAAAACTTTAGTTTAAAAATTTGAGTATGCCAAGTTTGTTGACATAAATGTACAGTAAGGGATCTTGTCATACAAGATTTATGAAATAAGCAAGAATTTTTCGTTTTATCTAGCCTATGCTGGAAAAAAATAAACAAAAAACATGAAAAGTTTCATTGATCTTGTATACAAAATGTAAATAAAGTCCGGAGTAAATTTATCACATCAACTTAAGAACAGCATTTTATGAGACTTTATCCAATTTGATGATTTTCTCAATACATTTTATTTTCATGATCTCATAATATGAAGTTATGATAATGACATTGCAAATGAGACAATGGGCACCTTCCAGTAACAGCACTGCTAGATGTTATTACATGTGTGTTAACACAATCTATTACACTGTTTACAGATTGATATATTCTGGTTTCTGCTTTAAGTAAGATCACCAACAGGCTTTTGTTTGAGCTAACAGACCCTGGATGATATACAAGTATGTTGTTACAATAGGTTTTGCACTTTTAGTAAAAGAACTAAAAAGACCTAACAGCAAATTTGATCCAATTATGGAAAAACAATTTCCCCATAAATTCACAACAATACTACCTACGAACACATTTTTTGGAACTTCATGAATGTGCATAATTACCCTTATTCATGCATCTACCTGTGGATCACCGAACCTTGGGTGCTATTATGGTAGAATGCAGTAACCTTTAATTATAAAACCTCCATTAAATCTTGGGTGCTAATATGGTAGAATTCTGTAACCTTTAATTATAAAACCTCCATTAAATCTTGGGTGCTAATATGGTATAATTCTGTAACCTTTAATTATAAAACCTCCATTAAATCTTGGGTGCTAATATGGAAGAATTCTGTAACCTTTAATTATAAAACCTCCATTAAATCTTGGGTGCTAATAGGTAGAATTCTGTAACCTTTAATTATAAAACCTCCATCCCATATATTAATGTCTGGAAATTGCCTTCACTTGAAAGTCTAATTCTCAGACTTATTAAAACGAGATAAATTGGATAATTACTTATAAATATACATCACACTAGTTGTCTCCTTCCATGCTACATTGACATAAATAAAACATATATACATAATGTATACAAATTTTGGATACAGACTATGTTATCACAGTTTATCTCCACTAACATCTCTATAACAAACTCACACAATCCCCAACAAATCCTGAGCACACTGTGGTTAGTAGCCTAAAAAACAGTTATAACAGTTTTGGGATGTTTCTATATATATATATATATATGGCATCATCGACTGTTTTACTGATCATGTCCAAATAAGGACAGTATGTTACATATGCTTCTTGGTATAAATAAGTTGATACAGCTGAGGCAGATAAAGTGTTGGTTTAACTAAATGGTGAATCATACTTTTAATCTGCAGTTTTCACAAATCACAACGCATGATGTTTTTCTTCCTTCAGGTTAAGAAAATTTTGGCAAACCAAGTGTTCAGACCAGTAAAATACCCATGTTTTACAGAAACATATATCAACTTTTTTTCTCAATTTCCACACACACATTTACACTATGATCAGCTCTGTTCACACACAACCTTACAGATATAAACAAACAACATGACAAAATACATTATACACGTCTTAATGAATCAATTTACTTCGTGCAGTTTCTTCTAAAATTCCAAGTGAATGAGAATGATGAACAAGAATCAAAATTGCAGATAAAAGCATCCTGCACTCTCAAACTTTATCTTGTTTAGTTGAATGTAACCATTCAGGAGGGCAACATCCTACATTTAAAAATATGTAAATATTAACTCCATCAGACTTCACACAACAAGCAAGGATTACAGTTAGAGGATCGCATTCTACTTGTATTGTAGGTTGAAGCAGTGTGATAAGATTTTGTTAAATTAACATGAACTCCTCACTCCATTTTTACCATCATTCTCATCATCACCATCATCATCACCATCATCATCATCATCATCATCATCATCATCTTCTGGGATTTTCTTGTTTTTAATTTCATTGCTGTCTTTGGTTTTTTTTGTGTTTTGACTTTTGTTCATTTTTAGTTCTGTAGTTTCCTGTTTTTCCTCGTTTACAATTTTCTTCTTGTTTTCACCAGTTTCATTCTGATTTGTTTGCACAAAGTTTTCAGAAGTGGCCTCCCCCTTTGTTTCATCGGTGCAGGTAGAATGTTTTCTGTTATTTTCCTCATTCAAAACAGCTTTTATCTGGGACAGCAAACCATTATCCATGTCCTCGACAGCCCACAAACCTGTAGAAATTTCATCAATTCTAATGAAATACTGTTTATGTGAAATTTGTATAATTCATTAAATAGATCTTCAGAAAAAATTGAATTCTGAATTCTTCAGAGCATCTTTAATTTCAAGAAGGGTTTAAATCTGAATTTTTCAAATAACATAAATAATTAATGATATAAACATCTTTTATAAGAACAATGTACTCAAAAGATATCACCAGGGTATCTTCGGAATTAAATATAATCTCCTGAGTAGATACAGATCTATGATATAAATTCATTATGAACCTTGACTGAATCACTTTTAACGGACATACCATTTAATTAATTAGACTTACATGTTGATTATGGTCACGGAAAATTTTTTGACATCACCCAAATATTTTACGTTTCATTTTTGATAAAAATGATTCATTCTCTTCACTCTCTGACTCATATTCCCCTGATGCTTCTTCTTTAGCATCAGCCCCTGAAACGAAAAATTCTCGAATCAGGATATCTGACTTTAAGACTTCAGTTCATTATCACACTTTCTCTTTGACCATAATCAACACTTATCATACAATCTTTCTCATGACTCTGACTTAATTCAATCACAAAGACCATTTTAACTAATACTTTTGATTAGAACATAAATTAATTTGTGAGATTGAAATTTTGATGAGCAATATAATCTACACAATAGAACACTGATAAATTGTGATACCATGTTTGTATTTGAAGGCATTTAAATCAATTCTATACATTCAAAAGTTAACAACTAATCTCACCAATATCTGTATCTACAACTCCGTTTATAGTGCCATTCACCCCCTTCTCTGTTTCAGCGAAAGCCAATAGTAGAGCTCTCTGTTTTTCTGTTAAAGATCTGTAAACAACAATATGAAAGCAAGGTCATATTCCAGTGAAGACTTCAGAGATAGTTATTTCAAAATAGCATCCTGATAACACATTTCCAGGTGTTGGATCTCATTCCAACATCATTATACTCTGTAAGTTTTGATAACAATCACTGATTTCTGTCACAAAGTGTCATAGATTTAAGATATTCTTTATTGTTGTCAAATTTAAATGTTGGTCAAATGATTCATTGTCATAGAAATTACATCCTCGATATTCCAGGTGTTATGATAAATTTCTCTCTCTGATAACCTCCTTTGGTACTTGTATTCTGTAGATAACTATAATGGTAAACCTCCTTGGGTACTTGTAATTTGTATAACACCTTCTCAACCTTCTCGGATGCTTGTATTTGGAAGTTAACCTACTTGTATATTTAGATAGCCTACCTGGGTACTTGTATTTTCAAATGGATGTAGTGATCACCCCGTCCATGGCTGTTAACACGAGCGGCACCCTTTCCTGTCATTCTGATCCTGCTATGGGAATGGCTCCCATCAGGTATCTAAGTAGAACAAAACGAAACATGTGTATCACAGAAAAGTTCAAATGATTAGATAACTTACCATACATCAGCAAAAACCAGGGCACTTTCTGATTTTTTTAATTTGTAGTCTAACAAAGTCTTTCAATTCTTAAATCAATAATTTTCCTTCACACATTTACTGGGTTTATCCTTCGGCAACAATGATCCTGAAAATTTTTCCATATTAACATTATTAGACATTCTTTTTTCCCTGATCCTTTTTTCTCTGTAATTGAAAAAAACATGACTGAGACGTCGCCCAATATTACATAACGGTTATCTATGAGATATCAATGAATTCATACTACACATGATGTTGTTGTGTTCTGTTGTGTTTTTGTAAAGTATTAATGTACTTACTTTTAGAAGTATGTCTTCATACACACCAGGAATTTTCATGGTGCCTCCCAACACAGCTTGGGAAAGACTTATATTGATGTCACTGTGGATATCTGCCCCTTCACGTCTGAACTCTCGACTTCTAGCAACCTATTACAGAAATAAATCTGACACAGTGAAGATAATAACAAGAGATTTCACAGGGATATTGACGCCCTCTATATATTTATCCTTAAAAGTTGTAATCTTTTTCTCCATTCATCTCTTCCCTTCTTTGTTTAAACTCATTATCATAGGAAATTTGAAAATTCATCTACGAAAAAGTGAATGACATTTTTACTGTCCAATCCAAGATGTTCACCTGCTGACCATTTTGTTTAACTGAACAGTCCCAAGGGGCACAACTAGGGACTAAGAGGAACCAATCAAGTTCTTCAGCAGCAAAAATGATAAATTATGACTATCAAAAACAAAGATGACCCCCTGTCTGTCTTGTTGCTGTTTTGATAAATTCCAAAATAAAACAATGTTCAATTAGGGACCAAAGGGAACTACCTATAAAATTTGAAAATTATTCATCCAGTAATTGTTTAAGGACACAATGAATGACCGACATTGGGCATGGGATAATTTGAACAGCCCACCCTCTGCTGACTGTGTTCTAAATATGCATCATTGTATAACAGCCTGCATTTGAAATCGAGACTTTTAAGAAGTGATCACATGTTTTTTATCATAGTAATAAATATATCTCGTGAAGCAAAGAACTGGAATAAATTCAAGATTCCACAGCATGGAATGGAAAATCACTCCAGCTTGGTAGACTGGTCTTTTATAGTGTCCAAACCAGCATCAGTTTACCAATATATATCATTTCTGTTGTTGGGTGTTAGCATTACCAAATTTAATTGTAGTCCAATCTTACACAGATTGGTTTTCTTTTAATGCATACAGAGAAACATTACTTCCTTTTCTAGTTAACAAAACTCTGATGATATATATCTATATGTGATACTGATGGCATAAGTGAACAAGTTAATTCTAATAACAATCAAATTTTTATCAATAGCACTGTCTAATTCAAATATTGACATACAGCTAATGGATATTGGGTTGTTCACAGAACCTACCTTAAATGTTATAAACACCTCCTGCTGGCCTACCGGCATTCTCACTGTCTGACCATCCTCAACACCTGTCACAATTTAAATTTTCACATTGAAATTGATCTCTCTCTGCTTAATTATGATAATTAAATCTAAAAATGATAATTCAAACTATGTACAGATGTTACATGATTTGATATACAGCATTTGTAATAAGGTACTGCAACCTTATACCTAAATAAAAACTCCTATTAAAGTCACTCCTATTCATCATGCTTTATAATTCATGAAACAACATTATTTCACACTATGTAACACAGGAGTTAAGCTCTGACAAGATGTAGAAGTTATCGTTCATTAATGAAGTCCAATCCTTAAGAATCTGCAGTTGATACAGTAAACCTTTAAAAGAAGCATATCACTGACCAAAGTACTCAATTAAGTCTGTATTACCTACCTGCAGGAACAGGAACAATTACTTTCTTTCGCAGTACAATCTTTCCTTTGCCGTGACAATCAAAACAAGGCTTGCTTATAACTGTTCGCTTGCCCATACAGCGTCGACACGTTGACCTCATGATGAAGGGACCCGTGTTTATTGTTTCCTGCCACACAAATGATATTTCCACAATTAACAATGAGTTTTTAAAGGACCTAACCATAAAATTGCGTTATCATTATAGTAAATAAATGCTACTGATCAACATTGACACTCGCAAAGCATTCAAAGAAAGAAGTCAGTCACAGAAAGTTCAAAATCTTTGGCAGCAGAACTAGTCCATCATACGAATAAAAAGTAATTTTATCAAAACTCAGACTGGTTTTATAGTGAAACAATTAAAAGGGGATACCCTACCATTCCAGTGCCGTTACACTGAGTACAGCTTTCAATCTTAGAGCCAGGTTCAGCCTTGCGACCATTACACCTCGGACAAGTGTCTGTGACATTCAAGTGTATTTGTTTATTACAGCCCCGCACAGCTTCTAGGAATGTTAGGTCCATAAGTACCTTCAAAAATCAAAATCATACAGCTACATTCAACATTAAATTCATAGTCAAGACAGTGTTTAACATCAACAAATTATATCTATAATCAGAATTAACTGAAATGTAAAATTAAGTTGAAATGCTGGGCAGGTGAGACTGCAATCCAGGAAAGTAAATTGTAGGGACACTTGTCATAAGAATGAAACATAAACGATACCCTACAAGTGTTGAAAAGGAAAAGCAGATGAACAAGCAGCTATCGTACAATTGTCATTACGATCAGCCTGTAATGATGTGAAGTATTTGTCAGATGATGTCAAGTAAGATATTCACAAACCTCTGATGCTGGTGCAAATCCATATTTAGATTCTTCATAGTCATTGTTTCCACTAAAGCCTTTTCCAAAAATGTCACCAAATATATTACGAAAGAGTTCTTCAGGATTAGTTCCGGAAAAATCTGAAGAGAAACATAGTTCACACAAAAGTTTTAGAAATTGAAACATAAGAGATCTTCAAACATCTGATACTGCGGACTACGGTCTACAACTAAATATATACCTAATATTTACTATTATTGTCAACAGGTTGACAAATGTGATGCAGTTTCTTTTTGTTTTTGTTATGCAGAAGCGTCATAAATAATACGATACGTTTTGACAGAAGTAAGAACGTATCAATAAAAGATGAGTATGTAGTTTTAATTCATTTTATTTCATTTCTATTGCCTGGTAATGACACATATCTTCTTACAACAAGCCTAACCTAGACATCTGAACTTTGGATAAGGAAATCACTTAAAAAGTAAGAACTTTGGTGAGAAAGCATTAAATCAAGACACAACAAGTACAAATATATACCCTATAGAAAAACAGTTTTCTATTTATGACCAATTTTAACCATTGCCTTGTTGGAGCACTCCGATCAAAGACATTCAGACATTTTTAAACATTTCTTTGATGGTAACAGAACTTTCTGTTCTCAATCTAGATGTGGTAGTTTAGAAAACTTACCTTGGAAGCCCCCTTGTCCAAACCCTGCTCCCGGATGTGCTCCACCACCTCCTGCACTACCCGTAGTCCCAAATGCATCATATTGCCTCTTTTTGCCTTCATCACTTAAAACCTGTTTGAAATTACAAATTTTTAAAGATTGATTCCAGCATACAAATAACACTTTTTACTGTCACAATACTACAATATTCTTCATCACTGACCTTAACTATAGACTTATCAAATCAATGAAGTGGAAAATGGATGCAAAATACTTCAGGGATATCATTACAATCAATGTGTTTCAATGGGTTGAAACTGTCATTAACTACCATCTTTACCTCATGTACACTGGGGTGTCAACTGAATCAGACTGTTGTGTTGCATTTCATCTTAGATACATATTCTGGAAGACTACATCTTTTCAATTCATTCTAAATATGATCATTTGGCCAATGTTAAGCATATGGAGTTCAACAAATGTCTAAAATTTACCTCGTATGCTTCAGATACCTCCTGAAACTTGGCTGCAGCATTAGTGTCATTTTTGTTCACATCTGGATGATATTTCTTGGCAAGCTAGAAACAGATGACACATAATTTACCTTTTTTTTTTTTTAATTTTCCAAAGGTTGGTGAAGAAACAATAAAACAAGCTGATTTTTCTTGGTTATAAACCTATGAATCAACTCAACTAACAACTAGCTAGCCATGAAAACCATCAGTCAACTTGGCTTTCATTCCTTATTTTAAATTTAGCTGGATAACCTTTTTATAACATTTTCATTGACACCAAATAAATTACAAATAAATTATCCAAAATGATTTAAACAAAAATACACCATAGTATCCACCCGAAGACAAATGAAATTTCATTTCAAGGTAACATGATTAGTCTGTAAATTACACCAACTTTTAACTGACAACTTTGGTCTAGTGTCCCATTCAAACTGAAACAAGAACTGTCCCTTACTTGATAATATGCTTTTTTAATTTGTTTAGCATCAGCATTCTTCGGCACACCAAGCACATCATAAAAATTTTTCTTCAACAACTGCGTACTTGTATGGAAGGGTCGAACTGATGCATACCCAATGACTGGAAAGAAAAAGGAATTGAAAAAAAATCATGTCACCATATGTGAATCAGATCATAACAAGAAGTTGAAACCATCAACAACAGTGAATGCGAGACCTTAAAATCATGAATATATATTCAGTCACAAGTTGTTAAAGGATTCATGTATGAAAAACCCTGATTCCTGTGCATCAGCATTTTGATCCCAGCATTCTGATATCATTCCCTCAGTGGCCTCTCAAATGAGATTCAGTTAAATTTATGTATGACATATCAGGGCTGACATAGGTACAGAATTTTGGCTACAGTTACCCAAATTTAATGCACTACTTGTACCTAGGTACTTGACATTATTTGACCCAACATAAATCACATATCAGTTGAGCAGGACAAATAACTCAGGAGATATGATAAAATCAATGCTATGAACTATGCTTCATAATGACATGGACAGTATAATTCAAATTGTATCACATAACAATATACCATTGTATTTGGCTACGAATGTTGTGTCTTAACAACACGAATCTTAAAACATGCGTAACAAGAAGTGACTGCATTCAGACAGCCTCCTTAGTAAATGTTTTAGTTACACAGATTCCACATGGACGAGTCTTAGGATATCAATAAAATTTGGTATTGAGAAAACAAAATTACAATGCTAGTTGATAACTATTGCATGTGAACATATTACGAACAGATAAATGTACTACTTCTCATTTTTTTTCTATTGAAACAGAAATATATTCCTATCCATCTGCATGTGCAAATCTGTCAGCTCTCTAGATACTTCTTGAGGGATTTTAATCAAACTTTCCACACTTATGTAGGACCATAATATTGCAGAAGGCTTTGAGTTTCAAAGTTGTTTCAAATCAAGGTCACTATTACCACTTTCCAGAAAATTCTTGTTGGTGTTCCATTCCTTGAAGGATATATTCAAACTTTACATGCTCAGAAACAATCTGAATAATAAGGATGAATGGCCATGTCAAGGTCATAGCTTCATTCCTTGAGGAGTTTCAATCAATTCAAATAATACTTGCTAGAGGGTGATGCATTATCATTAAATAGATCACACTTGCCATCATAGTTGTTCCTCAAGGCTCCTTTATTTAACCTAATTCACAACTTTTTAGTCATTATTGAAAACAGGTAATTCAGAAGGGACTGGCTTGTGGTTCAATTCAAATATTTAGGATGATCACATAGCACTGGTTCTATGCCTACCATACTGCTGTTTTGCAGACCATCTCTTTGAGATTGCCATTCATTATTAGTATTGGTATTTCTTCTAATTCATTTGATTTACATTCTAATTTTAATAAGCGATGGAAATTTCAAATAATCAATTTTCATTTGACTAACGATACGATGAGCTGGTGTTTGCGACAACAATGAGCAATTTCAAACAGTTAACCTTGCTAAAAGTGTGTAGTTACAAGCGTATGCGCATCATGTTTTCACGGCATTGATGAAGAAATATTGTGGGTATGTGCAACAGTTACCAATACACGTGATTGTGCTCAACTGTCATCGTTAAATCATGGGTAGTTTAAACGACATAGAAATGGAAAGACTATTCTGATGAAATGACTGAGCCAGGCCGGCCAGGAGACATTTCAGTGATCAAGAATCAATTCAATCTCAGCGTTCCGCTTCGGAAGGAGTTAAGATGTCCGGGGTTAAAACACCAATTTGCTCCCGATTTATTTTGCAACGAGAAGACCTACGACATTTCAGGAGTTATCGCGGCTTGACAGACGAGCACGTGTTTCAAGGACACTACTGGTTGTTCATGACGTAATGAAGAATTTTACCATCGATGTCGATACGATGACCCGGGTACTTTGTCAGCAGCAAAACATGATGTCCTCTTGGCGACGAAACATCACTGCCGTATTTCTTCTGTGGATTATAAGATGTTAAAACACTCTTGTTGCAGTTCTTCTGCGTCAGACCGCAACATGCTCGCCTAATGGCAGCCATTTTCTTTTTCTTGTAGGACCCGAAAGGTGTTACTGTTCCGTTGTGAAAGTATATCTTATATCATATCTCCTCCTTGAACGAATCATTTCGTACATAAATGAATTTTGATACATGTTTCTACTTTTCCTGAAAACAGTTTGAAATCCCTCTCTGAAAGAGAATTTAATAAAAGATGAATTCTGATTTCGAAAACAAGATTAAGGGACATTCGTGCCTCAATCATACATAGGAAATCTCGCGTTATTTCCTTGACCGGAAACTTCAAAATCAGCTGGAAGTCATCTGCCACTTCCTACTTTCCGTTCCCACCAAGAACTGTCAAACATATTTTGAGGAAGGTATAGCTGATTAGGTCTTTTATATACTTGATAGTGAAACAAAACATAGTACATATCGATCATTAACTGTCAATGTGTTTGGTTTTCGCTGACTTATCCGTCAAAATAGGTTTGGACCCGCCCCCTCACTGTCAAGTTCCAAGTGCAATTATTAACAACATAATTTTGAGGTTGTGAACCAAAAGGGCTCTGGTACGGTAAGATGCAGTAAATAAGGAGATCTGCTATATTAACTTGCATATATTTGCATGCCCATATACACTCTTCTATCTTTTGATTATTCAAGCCGAAATTGTATTACGAAAAGGCAAAAGTATGAAAAGAACAAAGAAGCAGACCTCTACAGAAGTGTTTTGTATCGAACATTTATTTGTAGGTTTCATTGCTTTATTTGGAGTGTAGTAAGATATCCTAATGCAAGCAATATCTTACACAGTTATTTGCTTATAATTGATTGCTTTATTGATTTAGATGGAGAAGTATCATGTTTACGTCTGTAGTCCAAGATATGTAGTAAAGTATCATGACCTCTGACATATTTTAATTTTCAAAACAATTTGTTATATACAGTCAGCTGTGATCTCTCACAATAAAGCTAGTCAGACACTGAAGCTCTGCTATGTCTGGATATTATGGTTATTATATTACTTTTCATGAAAGCATTGCATATATTCAGTTCTGTTATGATATTCTATTAAATGAAGGTGAGAAATTTATGCTCTCTGGTAATGAGATGGACAGTTAATTTTGATTTCAGTTAAAATCTTATTTTGAATTATAGCAATCTTGTAATTTTTAACAGGTAAAGCTGGAAATATGGCGTGGCGTTTCAAGACTTCAAAGTATAAAAATGCAGCCGCTAAATTTCCAAAGCGAGAGGTATGTTATCATAAGGGAGTGAAAGTACAATTGTAATAGCTCTAATTCAATGTTTAATTTGACATCAATTGTTCTCATGAAAATCAAAGAGAAATGGCCAGCTCAAAATGTGGAGATTTGCTGGTACATGTACATGTGTATAAAAAGGTCATCCTTGGTTAGCAAGAGTAGTCTGTTGAAAAGCTGTAATATTGGACTTAAAACCTGTTAAATAAATAGATATGTACCAGGGTAGATATTTGTTAAACAGATATAAGCACAGAAAGAGCATTCAACAGCTATAAACACACACAGTATGTTCTTCTATGGAAAAAATATACAAACGGTTTCCAGACAAATAGATCACACCATGTATATTATGGTCTTATATAAGTAGTTGATTGAAAGGAACAAATAAGCTGCTAGTTGCTAACTGGAGGCATATTCACTCTGTACCAATTAGCAGAAGAAAATATTTGAACCTAACACAATTAATAATTTCATTGCATTCCAATTATTTTTATGTACTACATTCATTGGTCCTACTTTTTTGTTTGGTTGCATAAATAGCTGTATAAATAATCTAAAATCCCAATCTTTATCAAGGGAGACAAATCATGTTGATGGTAGATCTGTAACAGAAAGTTGAAACATACAGGTGTAATCACTTTACTGAATAGTATTTCCAGTAGAGAAAATAGATGAAACTTTTGAATAAGGAATGTTGTTTATTTTACAGGAATGGATACCAGAGTTATCCGTAGGAAATTTGATGCATTCCTGCGGCAATCATATCAAAGCCAGTGGCGCCTTCATGGCTTTCAACACTATAAATACAGGTATTGTAGTAAACACTCTGTTGATGAATTAATTTCACAAGATAGGATGTGCTGTTTTTCAGCTTTTCTTTTTATCAAAAGTAAATTGGGCAGATCTGTTGAATATTTTTCAGAAAACCTGGTCTGATTTCGCGTTGCTAAATATTTTGCAAAATATATACCAGGCAGTCGTTTTCTTTAGACATAAACAGTTATTATTGCCAGAAGAACAATGGAAGAGAGACAAACTTGCAGATTTTATCTTAATGTTATTTGTTGCCGCTGTGTAGGGATCAAATCACTTTCAGAAGTACTGATGAAACTCTGTCAGTAAAACTAATTAGTACCAATCAAAACAATGAAGTTCTTATTAGCAAATCATGGCAAAGAAATTCAAACAGAGGCTGCATTGATCAAGTGGTGAGGGTCTCTGACCGTCTTTATCACTAACCTGCTACCTCTGGGAACTCCAGCCTTCTTCCATCCTGGCTGTCACTAAATGACCCTGGCTGTTAAAAGTAAAATGATGATAAACCAAACCAAAATTCAGACATTTAAACATCGGTTTGAGAAAATGTAGGTCTATTCCTGTTACTATTGTCTTCACTCATTGGTGGTATCTTATTTTTCAAAGCTAGAGCTGAAGGTCTGAAAAAAGGGCTATGTGTAATAATCCATGTATACAATATGTTCATAGCATCAATATATTATATAATTTTTATCTATAGACACATAATTCAGGATTGTTGTCTTTTTCAGGTGGTGGTAGTTTAGGTATACTGCCTGTAAGTACATCAGGACGACTGTCGAATGGTTTGCCACAACTTCCAGCGCATGGTGGTCAGTGATAGCTGTGTGTGATTCTGTATGGTTGTATGTGGGGCCTCTAAGATCAGTTATATGTGGTGATATATTGTGATAGATTTCATGATAACTACATTCATTTATCGTTAGTTTGTATAATTCATATCTATATTGGAGTTAGCGGAGTTTGTTATTGGTCCTGTTTTAAATAAACACTGCCAATAGTAATACTGTTAAATACAGTAATACAGTAACATCATTACCATTATCATCTTAACCCAGAAATACACTTTTATCCATATATTTATGGTTTTAATTTTCTCTCTTTGCTTTCAATAATTTGTTAAAGTTAAAATTCTCAAAGGAGTTAATTTAATCATTATTATTTGGTTTGGAAGAATTTTTGACCTGTCCCCATCTCCTGTCACTAATTCCCACGATTTCAGAGGTCAACACGCAAGAGTTCTAAGATACGAACCGCTGTTTCATTATCTGATCAAAATGTCAACAATATTGGGTTGTTATTTTATTTTAATCAAATTAGTTAGAAAATAGAATTCTATATGTGTCCATGAACTTTTCAAACCACCAATCAAAATGCAACGTTACATCGAAACAAAGACCTGATATTAAATTATTGTGCATCGCTTCAATTCACTTGTACTCTACTGATAATATCAAAATATAAAGTTCAATTACAGTCTGTAGATATCTACAAGGTGTATATTATCTGTTCACCAAAGACTGTAGTTATTGACAAATACAGCAAAAAATTCTATCACAGGATGGTGTGAACATCATTTCTTGAAATCAGTCTTACTAAGAATCAATATCACCCCGCCTCCTTTTTCTTCTGCAAGCGTTTTTGATAAGAGAATTCTAATGCCTTGTACTTGGTACACTATGTATTGTGAATTAATACTGTGTAATATTGATATATCACCTTCATGTAACTTGGTGTTGTAATGATATTTCATTGCTTTTGCTGTTAAATTCTCTTTTGCATGGGAAATACACACTTAACATAGTTTCTTTAAATTCTAGACTTCCTAAATTTTCTTTAAATTCAAGACTTCTCTAAATTTTCTTTAAATTCAAGACTTCCTAAATTTTCTTTAAATTCAAGACTTCTCTAAATTTTCTTTAAATTCTAGACTTCCTAAATTTTCCCAAACAATAGCAATAACTAACCTAGACTTCAAATGTTTCAAGATTTAAAAAATGTTTCTTCTAAGTACACCTGAAAGCCTAAAAGGATGATACTGTGAAAGGTTCTTAATAAAGAAGACCCTTTACCATACAATTCTTTAAGATCATGTAAGTGGAGCAAAATTCATTCTACAGGTTATTTGAAAACATCTTCCAAATAACTTTTTAACTTCAGTAGACATTACCAGTGAGCCTTGTTTGAAACATTGTAGTTCTGACGTAAAATCATTTAAAATCCTAGTAAATGTAAACTTTGTTTTGATATTTTTATTATTATTATTTTTTTCTGTTTTTTTTTTCTCACTTGTCTGGATGTATATATATTTCTAATTATACACACTTATCTAACAATATGATGGGAAAACAGCCTGTATACATAAGGTGTTTACACCAGACACTTCCTACATGTCGCCAGAATACTTGACGTTCATTGATGAGACAACATGTAGAAATAGGAGGAGTCAAAGAGATGAAAACCTGTAACCATCCAACCAACCGACCAATCAAATACTTCCTTACATTTATGTTAAACCTTATTGTGATCCAGCTGGTTAGCTCTAATTCAAACACGTTATAGGGTCAAACAAACACTAACCAGGAATGGTTTTATTTTGTGAGAGTTTTTCTGTGTCACCATTATCTACTAGTTGGATGTTGAGTGCAGTGTCTCACCTTATTATATTTATTTACATGTGTTTTTATATAACTTTGAAATCTCACCACTGAGCCACCTTTGTGAGTGTATCACTCTGCTATAGGTGTAATACTCTGTTAGCCTGATTTATGTTGTGTAGAAATGATGCAGTGGGGGGAGGGGTGCTATGATTTCATTTGAAAGACTTTTGGTTTTTTTTGGGACTCAGATATTTGAATCAATCTTTTCCTGTGGGACTCAATCATATTTTGAGAACCAACTATATCTCTTAGTATCTCTTTGGACTCATCAAAATTTTGAAACTGGTGTTCTGGGCTTGCCTAAATAAATCCTACAAAAATTACTGTACTATTTTCTGATATATATTTCATCATATTTGTTCTAAGATTTATTTACTTTGAGTGTGCATACTTTTTAGACATGTTAGACTTTACTAAAGTTTTCTCAAAAACCAGAAAGATTGATAGCTAGGAATGTTAGACAATATATGCAAGTGTGCTTTATATTTGCATGTATGTATTTCTGGTTTGTATTTGTAAAATGCATAATTCTCCACTGATACTGTATTTAAGGTCTGCTTTTATAGTAAACAGTTACTTGTTCTGTTTCTTCAGGTTTTTGAAAACTATTTATAGTGTAAAATGATCAGAATAAATATCAACATGTTTAATCTTCCATGAATACTTTGATAGACAATATGTAATCATGAGTATGCGAAAAATGTTCAGTGATGTTCAGCATGGAAAAGTTAAATTTTCTGTAGACTAAGATTATATTGTTTTATCATCCACTGTGATGAACCTCTCTATCTATCACTTTACAGTTTACACATAGATTTAATGATAAAATGTTGTGGAGATTCCTGTACTTTTATTTTACTGTTATATTCCAGATTACATAACAGATTTTGAGTTTTCTCCCTTTGATGACTACGTTTTAGCGACAGGATCTAATGATACAAATGTGAGTGTAAATTGTTGTTACAAGTTGTTTAGTTTCACTCTGTTGTGATAACACAGAATAAACAATAACTTACGTTTAAATTTTCTCACTTGAGACTAAAATGAATGAATTTACTGATTTACCAAATCATTCATGCTTAATTATGCTAGAACAATGAACTGTTTCTGGCTTTGTGAATTAGCTAAGTAAATTTTCATCCATTTTTTATGTCTAATTGACCATTTTGGGGTTTCTTTTGGCTTAAACAGTTTCTAGTTCTTATACAAGGATATTTGGTCATACTTGAATTCCTGCCAGTGGATAAGAATAAATACATACATTTGTAAACCTCGTCAGGGTCTTGACCTTTTGACCTTTTCTACTTTCAAAGACGAACTTTAAAACCTTTATCCTTTGTCTAATATAACAGTAGCTTACCATATGACCTTCTCCTTCTCCATCATAACCTTTAACCTTTACATAGCATTTTGATCTACACGTAGATAAAGGTTTGATAATAATTTTGCAGTCTTCAGGATTTGATGATATAATTATTATGACCTTGTAAAGCACTTGATATTTGACACCTTAATAGAGAGATATGACCTTTCTCAACTTTAACCTGTGACCTATATCAACAGATAAAGGTATGGGTGTTGCCGAAGCAGGAAGACATTTATACGAGTGCCTTATCTGACATTAATGCCTCCATGTCATTTCCCAATGAGAAGCGAGTGGAAAATGTGACATGGAACCCTGTAGCTGATGGAGTGCTTGCTGCGACTGTTTTTGATACAGTTAAAGTGTATGATGTGGAAAGGGGAGATAACAAATATGGTAATGCCAGCACAACAACATCGCTATCTTTTAGGTGCGGTGGTCTTAGTGATCAGTAAGAATTATAGATTTACAAAATTATTTGACGGTGAAATAATTATATAATAGCAATATATATATATGCTGAAGTAGTTAAAGACATGTAATGCAAAGTAACATTAATTCTGTAAACACATATAATACCATCGTATCCATACAAAGATAGTGGCTATTTAGTTAGCTCAAGGTATTCCCAAATCTATATAATATACATGGACATAGGTAGGGCATATTCTCTTCTGCAATATCACAAAATTTTAGTGAAGCATTTTCATTTTAATTTCCTTTTAAATTTTTTTAATTGATATTAAAGAAATAGGGTTCTGGTACCAAGTTAAGGATATTGATACAACTCTGTCTACCTAAGTGATATTGATTTGACAATATTTTTTTTTTTAGCTTTTGGTTGCCATGGTGACCAGATACAGAGTGTGAGTTGGCGGGGGAGTGGCACAACCCTTGTTACTTCCTGTAAAGACAAGAACCTCCGAATACTGGACCCACGCTCTGGAGGAAAAGTTCTGGTACATACAATGTGTTTTTTTCAAGTTTATCTTTTTGTAGAATAGCCCTAGATTTTTGTAATCGTTCATGGGGTTAAATTGGAAAAATTGTTATAAGGCCTTTTTAATATTACATTAGTCCAGAAAAAAATTAAGTATTGTGTAGTAAGATGAAATGAATGACAACAATGCAGTCTCCATAAAACTGTTGGATACATTCTGTTAAATACTATCGCGTTCTACTTCATGATACATGTATCAGAATTATATACCTGGCCATTTCCTGTACATCAATGTCTCTTAAAATCATCCCTTTCTGCTTCACTAGGCAGACTTTGAGAATACATTTACTGTACACCAGTGTCTCTTAAAACCATCCTCTGTTCTGCTTCACTAGGCAGACTTTGAGAATACATTTACTGTACACCAGTGTCTCTTAAAATCATCCTCTGTTCTGCTTCACTAGGCAGACTTTGAGAATACATTTACTGTACACCAGTGTCTCTTAAAATCATCCTCTGTTCTGCTTCACTAGGCAGACTTTGAGAATACATTTACTGTACACCAGTGTCTCTTAAAATCATCCTCTGTTCTGCTTCACTAGGCAGACTTTGAGAATACATTTACTGTACACCAGTGTCTCTTAAAATCATCCTCTGTTCTGCTTCACTAGGCAGACTTTGAGAATACATTTACTGTACACCAGTGTCTCTTAAAATCATCCTCTGTTCTGCTTCACTAGGCAGACTTTGAGAATACATTTACTGTACACCAGTGTCTCTTAAAATCATCCTCTGTTCTGCTTCACTAGACAGACTTTGAGAATACATTTACTGTACACCAGTGTCTCTTAAAATCATCCTCTGTTCTGCTTCACTAGACAGACTTTGAGAATACATTTACTGTACACCAGTGTCTCTTAAAAATCATCCTCTGTTCTGCTTCACTAGACAGACTTCGAGAATACATTTACTGTGCACCAGCGTCTCTTAAAATCATCCTCTGTTCTGTTTCACTAGACAGACAGAGAATACTTTCACTTGAATATTCAGGATGCACTGTAGCTATCAAAACTGTATTTTTTCTACAGAGTTTTGCATTGAGTATTGATAAGAAAAGTGGTTACAAAGGAAAGAAAAAAATAATAAATAATGACGGTATGTATTTCTGTGCTTTCTGAACAGGAAGGTAAGGGACATGATGGGATTAAAGACTCACGGGTGCTGTGGCTTGGTGACAAAGATTTCCTTGTGTCCACAGGGTTCAACAGAGTAAGTTCTGAAGATTTTTTGTTTAGTAAAAATAGAACTCTTTATATACAGAAGATGATGCAATCTTTCTTCAACTAAAAAATATAAGACTGATGAAAATTTGCAGTAGTAGTCTCTTTTTCCATTTACAAATGATGCAGAGAATATGTACTAGTGTTATGATTACCTACAAAGAGATATTGGTTTAAACAATAAGATATTTACCATTTTTATGTTACTCAGTTCCATCATTCCAGAATTGTTCATAAGAATTCTTGAATATAGAAACAAGTTTTCCTCCAGTGATATACTTGCACTATATGTTAGTAACTGTATCATGGCTATATACCGAGACCTTGTCCTTTCATCGGTATCAAACCTTTCCAGACATAACCTCCTTTCTTTAACGTTACTTTATGTTATTATCTTAACTTTAGGACAGACGTCGTGAGGTTCGCCTTTGGGACAGTCGAAGCTTTGGATCCTCTCTACATTGTATAGATGTAGGAAATTCTACAGGGTGAATATTATTATCAGTTATTAATATCACACTTTTTTGTCATGTTTAGATATAAAGGCCAGGCCAGAGTAGTTTTAAACAATAAAACACATAACTTTAACTTGGAATTAAAAAATGGAAACAATATTTACATGGAAAGCCAGAGCAGTTGATCGTGAATACAAACACGAAAATAGTTCTTCCAAGATAATTTTTGCAAATAGCTTTTTGAAACCATGTCAAGTTGTTGAGCTGACCATTATTTTTAAAAAAAAAAGGCCAATTGTTTTATTAGAACTGAATATGGTCACTGTAAAGTTAAATACTAATGATATGGTTGTTAGGAGTCACTTCGGGTAGATGAACATTTCTACATATTATATGTATTTTTTTCAGGACCATAATGCCTTTTTATGACAGAGATACAAGTATGCTGTTTTTTATTGGAAAGGTAAGAGTTTTTGTTGTTTCCTCTTTCAAAGCATTAATTTACACTCGGATAAACATTCCTAAAGGTCAGATATTTTTATTATTTTATTAATATTTCTTTTTATCTTGCAACTAGAAATGATTTTTTTTCCAGACTTATAACGGAAAATAAGGTGGTGACATTATAAGAAACAGTCATTTGACATGTAATAAAATTTATTTTTTTTCAGGGTGACAATCAGATAAAGTATTGTGAACTCACAGACAAAAGTCCATTCATCAATGAGAGTAAGTTTATCATATACAGCAGGTGAAGTTTTTATTGACTGTCATTTACACCTGTAGTCTTTTCATGATGAAATTTCAATGTCGGTCACAAGAAGATGAAGCAGAAAATACTTGTGATTTTGCTGTTTATATAGATAGTCTTCATTTATTTTAAAACGATTGGGAACCAAGTTTTTCTTACTTATATTAATCACTCTTGTTGGATTGAAACATATGAGGGGTCTTACTGTGGGAGGAAACTGGAGTACCTGGGGAAAATCCCTGTGGTTGGGCAGGTGACCCCATACCTTTTCATGCTTGTTCTGGGAATCGAACCCTGGATGTTTAGGTGAAAGGCAAATGTGTTACCACTGCGCCACCCGACCACCCTGTTTTGTTGTGTTGTATTTTTATGTCATAATTTACCTTCAGATAGAATAATATCACATACTCTATCTGAATATCTCCCCACCCACATACTGTGTCTGAATATCTCCCCACCCACATACTGTGTCTGAATATCTCCCCAACCACATACTATGTCTGAATATTTCCCCACCCACATACTATGTCTGAATATCTCCCCACCCACATACTATGTCTGAATATCTTCCCACCCACTCACTATGTCTGAATATCTCCCCACCCACATACTATGTCTGAATATCTCCCCACCCACATACTATGTCTGAATATCTCCCCACCCACATACTATGTCTGAATATCTTCCCACCCACTCACTATGTCTGAATATCTCCCCACCCACATATTATGTCTGAATATCCCCCACCCACATATTATGTCTGAATATCTCCCCACCCACATACTATGTCCGAATATCTCCCCACCCACTCACTATGTCTGAATATCTCCTCAACCACATACTATGTCTGAATATCTCCCTACCCACATACTATGTCTGAATATCTCCCCACCCACCCACTATGTCTGAATATCTCCCCACTCACATACTATATCTTAATATCTCCATAATTGCATGGTGAAATGACAAATATTATCATTAAAATCAATTATTTTAGACTTTATAGAGAGAACAGAACAAATTAAAGGTGCTGCAATGGTTCCTAAACGTCTGATGAATGTGATGGAGGGAGAAGTGAATCGCCTCCTCCTTCTGACCTCCTCAGCCATTATACCCACGCCTTATATAGTGCCAAGAAAGGTGAGTCTTTCCTTTTACCTTGATAAATAACCTAGAGAGTTACAATTTGTTCACATTTGTTAATATATCTATAATTAAACACAATTAGTTCACATTTGTTAATATTTCGATAATTAAACACAATTTGTCCCCATTTGTTAATATTTCTATAATTAAACACAATTTGTCCACATTTGTTAATATTTCTATAATTAAACACAATTTGTCCCCATTTGTTAATATTTCTATAATTAAACACAATTTGTCCACATTTGTTAATATTTCTATAATTAAACACAATTTGTCCCCATTTGTTAATATTTCGATAATTAAACACAATTTGTCTCCATTTGTTAATATTTCGATAATTAAACACAATTTGTCCCCATTTGTTAATATTTCGATAATTAAACACAATTTGTCCCCATTTGTTAATATTTCGATAATTAAACACAATTTGTCCACGTTTGTTGATATTTCTATAATTAAACACAATTTGTCCACATTTGTTAATGTTTCTGTAATTGTTGTTAACCATACTGTAACAATTCAGTATTAAGGGACTGTCCGCTCAACTCACATTCATAGAAGCTTTTCAAGCCAATATTAGACATGTATGAAGAAGATACGATAATGTTGAGAATGAACAGCCAGAACCAAGTTAGATATTTAACCCCTAGCTTTGCTGTCTAAAACTGCTTTCGTTTAAAAAGGGTTCCAAATTGCAATGTTTGCTATTATGAAAGGATTCGTCACTCCAGCAGTAACAAGTCACCATGCAACCCACTGTTGGAATTGAAAACAGTGTTAATTCTCACTAATGTACATGGCATTAGGCAATACATCATGATAACCTGCTTGCATTGCTAACAGTACATACAATGGCATACTTCCTTTTGTCTTGCTGATGTAGTCAGTGTGTGATGTCATCAATTTCCGTTATCTTTCTTGATGCACTAGGACCTGACTAAATAATAGTGGATGACAAGATAACTCCGTTGTCTAGAAATTCTATTTTTTATTCAGACATCATAGGTTTTAATTGTGGTATGTAACCTGTAAGAATTTGCCCAGTTTGTGAAAAAAAGTTGTGTGCAGTATAGTCACAAGCAGTGGATATTAGTTGGCCAATGGTTTACAATTCCGCCCGTGTTTCTAGAGGAAGGGTTTTCATTTTAGTCTTATATTTACAGTCTTAGGTCTATCACTAGTGTTAAGTTATTGTTTCAGTCCTACAAAGACTACCATGAAGATCTGTTTCCCGACACTTCCTCAGGGGAGCCAACTCTGTCCTCCTCATCCTGGTTCAGCGGACAGAATGGTCAAGTAGGTATACATATGATCTGAAGTTCTGTAATACATACATCTCTAATTTGTATGAGAGTTAAGGGTATGTATGCTACATCAGCTTTACTGTCGACAAATTCAATGATATGTGTTTCCAATATATGGAGACTTTGTTTCTTTTTCAAGTATATCCATGCATTTCATATTCTGCGCTTTCTATATATACCCGAAACTCATATGTACATTGGATGATATTTTAACATATAGATTTTTGTGTTCATATTGTTACTATTCTGCTCGACCAATACTTTTAGTATTGGTGGCAGAAAGGTCATTCATCCTGTGTATTTATACTGAAATTCTACTCTTCAGTATAAATTTAGCATCAAGTTCTCTGAAAAAGTCTCAAATCTGATCCAAATTCTACAACACAAAGTTCGTATCATAATCACTCACATGTCATAATTTGATTTAGAAAGAATACAGGTATATGTTGTTAGCTGTGGTATTGTCCTACTAAATAATGATTGGCGTGCTCTACTTAGTCATTTTAGTGGTTCAGAATTAAACTTTACAACGATAGTATTGATGTATTTCATTGCCTCTACTTTCAAATGACCTGGTATCATACCACATGTCACCAAGGTCTAAGTATTCTGAATATATTTCACTGTAACATATTCCCTTCAGTCATCCAACTTTTTACAAACATTAACGAGTGATTATTAGTGAGTATAGATGTTATTCAATAGTGATCATTGTAATTACATTTAGCTCATTAATTCAATGTATTGTACTGAACAGTACTATTTAAGAGTCGGTTAAGAGAATTTCATTGTCTTTTCAGATAAAGCTGATGACCTTGAATCCATCTCGAAGGTCAGATCCTGTGTCTACTCCAGGTCACTTATTCTTAGGAAATCAAGCTGATACTGTTGTCAATGGTAACACCAGCAGGGAGACAACTCCAATTCAGAAGGTAGACTCAGAGACTTTTTTTGTACACCTTTTGTTGAAGTTCTGATTCATCCATTTTGAGTGATTTCATTGACTTTTGATTCATGATTTAAGTTTGAAATCTGGTTTCACTAACCCTGAAAAGCTTCTTTATTTACAAATACATTTGTACAGCAGTCCTGACTTCTTGTTACTTACAGCCTGTGATAAGTAAACCAGAACCTGCATCCACCCAAGAAATCATATCGCCTCCATCTGTCAACCAGGTGTCATCTACACAGGCTACAAACATTCCTGACGAACCAGAAGATATACCTGACAGCCAATCAGGAGATAGCACTGCACAGACTATGAATCAAACAGACGAAGAAAAGGAGGTGATACAACATTCCTCAGTTGAAGACATTCCTCCAGTATCTACTCCAACTGCTACTTCAGCCAAGAGGCCAGTGAAAGTAGTTCAAATCAAAACACCAGCCAAGGTTTTCTCAGGTACGTTATCACAATGTCTACCTACTCCTATACATAACATATGCACTCACTCATCAAAACACCAGCCAAGGTTTTCTCATTATAGTTAACACATGGTTAACCCTTTCTAATACACAACATACATACCCTCTCTTTGTTTTTCCATAATTAGCTTCAGGGTCTCATGCAAACATCTTGATAAATTATCGTAATTAAGAGATTCATTTGTTGGGGAAAATATCTCAATATTGTATTCCAATTAACTATATTGGCATCACTTAATTAGGTCGTTATCAGTATTTTCAATTAATCTTACAAAAGTAATAACTAATTAGTTGAAGAAATAGGATTGATAAAAACAGAGTTATAGAAACAAGAGCATTAGTCCATAGAGTTTAAAAAAGGTAACTAAAAAAAGAGGGCCTAAAAAGGTAACTACATCATCGCTGTGATTCACTATAGACCTGACTCCATGTGTTTATGATATACAACATTAACTACAACCCTCCTGAATTTGATTAATTTTTACTTTCCTAACAGTTGGTATATGATGTGCTTTGGGGTACTTAAGGTTACACACTAAGAATATCATAATAACTGTTAGGTTTATTTTACTGTGATATGTTACAGCTGTCCAGTTGTCAAAATTTTATTTTACCATGATATGTTACAGCTGTCCAGTTGTCAAAATTTTATTTTACCATGATATGTTACAGCTGTCCAGTTGTCAAAATTTTATTTTACCATGATATGTTACAGCTGTCCAGTTGTCAAAATTTTATTTTACCAGCTGTCCAGTTGTCAAAATTTTATTTTTGATATGTTACAGCTGTCCAGTTGTCAAAATTTTATTTTACCATGATATGTTACAGCTGTCCAGTTGTCAAAAATTTTATTTTACCAGTTGTCAAAATTTTATTTTACCATGATATGTTACAGCTGTCCAGTTGTCAAAATTTTATTTTACCATGATACGTTATAGCTGTCCAGTTGTCAAAATTTTATTTTACCTTGATACGTTACAGCTGGCCGGTTGTCCAAATTCAAGTACCTGAAGGGTCGCACAGAACACAAAGATAAACACATAGTCAACATCAGGAAGCTTTCTACAACCATTCCGGGGGAGAGTGACATGTTTGCCGTCAACAGAACCAGATGTGTCATACCAATAGAGGGCGCTGGTGGTCTACTTCAAGTACTCGAGGTAAAATGTTATACACAGAAAATTACTTAATAGTAAAGTTATACAAATGGTAAATGTTGAAGCTCAGTAATAAGTTTATTGCAGACAACCTTTATGATATAAAGTGTGCCAAAACAAAAGAATTGAATTTACTGTAGGTAAAATTTGTAAAAAAGATTTTCATCCCAAGACCATAAGTTTGCTACATACAAACTTTGTTAAAGAGATAGATTGTTATTTTACTGTTGAAGTTTTGCAATGTTTGTGGAGATTAAAATATCAATTCAAACCATAGTCCCTTAGAACAACTTCATTTCAATAATTTCTAAATAATTAAAAACAATATTTAGGGCTAAACCCTGATACTGTTGGTGATCTCAATTAAAGTACACCACCTTCATTAGATATTCAAAAGAATGGAACACTGGTGAGATGAAGTAACTGTATGTATATATTGGCAGTTCTCAAGGCTTGGTCGCCTCCAGGACACAGGTGTACCAGTACTACAGCACAAGAGTAAGGTCCTGGACTATGTGTGGGATCCTTTTGATGATGGTCGCCTTGTCGTGGGTAAGTATGTACAGGAATGATGATAGGTGACATGTAGTGGGTAAGTGTGTACAGGAATGATGACAGGTGACTTGTAGTGGGTAGGTGTGTACAGGAATGATGATAAGTGACTTGTAGTAGGTATGTGTATACAGGAATGATAACAGGTGACTTGTAGTGGGTAAGTGTGTACAGGAATGATGATAGGTGACTTGTCATGGGTAAGTAGGTACAGGAATGATAACAGGTGACTTGTAGTGGGTAAGTGTGTACAGGAATGATAACAGGTGACTTGTAGTGGGTAAGTGTGTACAGAAATGATGATAAGTGACTTGTAGTGGGTAGGTGTGTACAGGAATGATGATAAGTGACTTGTAGTAGGTATGTGTATACAGGAATGATAACAGGTGACTTGTAGTGGGTAGGTGTGTACAGGAATGATGATAGGTGACTTGTCATGGGTAGGTGTGTACAGGAATGATGATAGGTGACTTGTCATGGGTAGGTGTGTACAGGAATGATGATAGGTGACTTGTCATGGGTAGGTGTGTACAGGAATGATGATAGGTGACTTGTCATGGGTAGGTGTGTACAGGAATGATGATAGGTGACTTGTAGTGGGTAGGTGTGTACAGGAATGATGATAGGTGACTTGTAGTGGGTAGGTGTGTACAGGAATGATGATAGGTGACTTGTAGTGGGTAGGTGTGTACAGGAATGATGATAGGTGACTTGTAGTGGGTAGGTGTGTACAGGAATGATGATAGGTGACTTGTAGTGGGTAGGTGTGTACAGGAATGATGATAGGTGACTTGTCATGGGTAGGTGTGTACAGGAATGATGATAGGTGACTTGTAGTGGGTAGGTGTGTACAGGAATGATGATAGGTGACTTGTAGTGGGTAGGTGTGTACAGACAGGAATGATGATAGGTGACTTGTAGTGGGTAGGTGTGTACAGGAATGATGATAGGTGACTTGTAGTGGGTAGGTGTGTACAGGAATGATGATAGGTGACTTGTAGTGGGTAGGTGTGTACAGGAATGATGATAGGTGACTTGTAGTGGGTAGGTGTGTACAGGAATGATGATAGGTGACTTGTAGTGGGTAGGTGTGTACAGGAATGATGATAGGGTATGGGTAGGTGTGTACAGGAATGATGATAGGTGACTTGTAGTGGGTAGGTGTGTACAGGAATGATGATAGGTGACTTGTAGTGGGTAGGTGTGTACAGGAATGATGATAGGTGACTTGTAGTGGGTAGGTGTGTACAGGAATGATGATAGGTGACTTGTAGTGGGTAGGTGTGTACAGGAATGATGATAGGTGACTTGTAGTGGGTAGGTGTGTACAGGAATGATGATAGGTGACTTGTAGTGGGTAGGTGTGTACAGGAATGATGATAGGTGACTTGTAGTGGGTAGGTGTGTACAGGAATGATGATAGGTGACTTGTCATGGGTAGGTGTGTACAGGAATGATGATAGGTGACTTGTAGTGGGTAGGTGTGTACAGGAATGATGATAGGTGACTTGTAGTGGGTAGGTGTGTACAGGAATGATGATAGGTGACTTGTAGTGGGTAGGTGTGTACAGGAATGATGATAGGTGACTTGTAGTGGGTAGGTGTGTACAGGAATGATGATAGGTGACTTGTCATGGGTAGGTGTGTACAGGAATGATGATAGGTGACTTGTAGTGGGTAGGTGTGTACAGGAATGATGATAGGTGACTTGTAGTGGGTAGGTGTGTACAGGAATGATGATAGGTGACTTGTAGTGGGTAAGTGTGTACAGGAATGATGATAGGTGACTTGTAGTGGGTAGGTGTGTACAGGAATGATGATAGGTGACTTGTAGTGGGTAGGTGTGTACAGGAATGATGATAGGTGACTTGTAGTGGGTAGGTGTGTACAGGAATGATGATAGGTGACTTGTAGTGGGTAGGTGTGTACAGGAATGATGATAGGTGACTTGTAGGTGTGTGGGTAGGTGTGTACAGGAATGATGATAGGTGACTTGTAGTGGGTAGGTGTGTACAGGAATGATGATAGGTGACTTGTAGTGGGTAGGTGTGTACAGGAATGATGATAGGTGACTTGTAGTGGGTAGGTGTGTACAGGAATGATGATAGGTGACTTGTAGTGGGTAGGTGTGTACAGGAATGATGATAGGTGACTTGTAGTGGGTGTGTGTAGGTGTGTACAGGAATGATGATAGGTGACTTGTAGTGGGTAGGTGTGTACAGGAATGATGATAGGTGACTTGCCATGGGTAGGTGTGTACAGGAATGATGATAGGTGACTTGTAGTAGGTATGTGTGTACAGGAATGATGATAGGTGACTTGTCATGGGTAGGTGTGTACAGGAATGATGATAGGTGACTTGTCATGGGTAGGTGTGTACAGGAATGATGATAGGTGACTTGTAGTGGGTAGGTGTGTACAGGAATGATGATAGGTGACTTGTAGTGGGTAGGTGTGTACAGGAATGATGATAGGTGACTTGTCATGTGTAGGTGTGTACAGGAATGATGATAGGTGACTTGACATGGGTAGGTGTGTACAGGAATGATGATAGGTGACTTGTAGTGGGTAGGTGTGTACAGGAATGATGATAGGTGACTTGTAGTGGGTAGGTGTGTACAGGAATGATGATAGGTGACTTGTAGTGGGTAGGTGTGTACAGGAATGATGATAGGTGACTTGTTGGGTAGGTGTGTAGGTGACTTGTAGTGGGTAGGTGTGTACAGGAATGATGGACTTGTAGTGGGTAGGTGTGTACAGGAATGATGATAGGTGACTTGTATGGGTAGGTGTAGTGGGTAGGTGTGTACAGGAATGATGATAGGTGACTTGTCATGGGTAGGTGTGTACAGGAATGATGATAGGTGACTTGTAGTGGGTAGGTGTGTACAGGAATGATGATAGGTGACTTGTCATGGGTAGGTGTGTACAGGAATGATGATAGGTGACTTGTAGTGGGTAGGTGTGTACAGGAATGATGACAGGTGACTTGTAGTGGGTAAGTGTGTACAGGAATGATGATAGGTGACTTGTCATGGGTAGGTGTGTACAGGAATGATGACAGGTGACTTGTAGTGGGTACATGATAACAAAGAATGAGATCTCGACAAGGGTATTGACAAGTTTTACAGAGGTGTAGACCAGTAACTTTCTCAGTATATAGTAAACACCTTTACTAGACTTTTCTCTAGGTCTTTAGCTACCAACTACACTGTATCACTGAACACACAACAGAATTTAATTTTGTCCTGTCTATCACTGCAAAATTATGGTGTACATGAAAACACAGTGTAGAGAAGTGAGGTGGGTAATATTGAAATGGGTTCCATGTACCAATGTGTGTGTCTGGTTTAGGAAGAATTGTGCAGTTGATATCCATAAATCTATAAGAAATATCACTCTCGATATATTTGCATAAGTGATAAAGTTTACAAACACTGCATGCTGCAGATGCTAAATTTGATGGTAGTTTATCTGAAAATTAGCTTAAGAGAGATAGTATTGATATTGATGTCTTTGAGATTGATGTCTTTGATATTGATGTCTTTGATATTGATGTCTTTGATATTGATGTCTTTGAGATTGATGTCTTTGATATTGATGTCTTTGATATTGATGTCTTTGATATTGATGTCTTTGAGATTGATGTCTTTGATATTGATGTCTTTGATATTGATGTCTTTGAGATTGATGTCTTTGATATTGATGTCTTTGATATTGATGTCTTTGATATTGATGTCTTTGATATTGATGTCTTTGATATTGATGTCTTTGAGATTGTAGTATCTTAAGTTGTAATCAAAACATTTTAGGTCAGAAACAAAAAAACAAATTGCATTATCATTTAATTTACATTATTTCTTTTCAGCATGTGATGATGCAAAAATTTGGGTGTGGAATATTCCTGAAGGAGGCCTTACAGAAACATTGACCGAGGCCTCTCAGTGTCTACAAGGTAGATAAGAGCACATTCTGATATATAGCATATTGCATGACTTAGCCATTTGATGTATAATGTAAAAAAGAAGTGTTGAAGAATTTTCTATTGAAGCGAACCTGTGATGAGCTAGAGTGAAAAATTTGTGAGGGGTTTCTTCAATCACATATGAAAAGGATACAAATCTCAATTAATTTTATCACATGATGAATTATTTTGACAAATATTGCAGTAAACATTCTTTTGATTGTCCCACTTTAGGTCCACTTGTCTACAGCCTGTATTGTGACGTTTCTGTGTATGATGCATTTTCATGATCAAATCCAGTCCTGTTGTCACAATATTCTGTATTACATGAGGTTGTATGTAAAATTCTCTCATTTCTACCTGCGTAATATTAGTCAGTCCAGGGGACATAACTCATGATCAAATCATTTGATTTAGTACTTTGCATGGAAGGTTTTAATTCTTTGTGCAGGTCACATGGAAAAGATCTACTTTGTGCGGTTCCATCCACTGGCTAAGGACATCTTGGTGTCCGCATCGTATGACATGTCTGTCCGCATCTGGGACCTATCCACTGGAACTGAGGTACTCCAGGTTGAGGAACATCCAGACCAGGTCAGTAAGGACACCATCACCCATTCTATGCTACAGATCGACCTTAGTCAGGTCAACGCCCTTTCTACACTACAGATTAACCTTAGTCAGGCCAACACCCACATCTCATCACCACATATCCAATTCAATTAGGTCAACATCTATCCCTTAACTACAGATCTAACTTAATCAGGTTAACACCCATTTTATCACCACCCATCAAATTAAAAATTCAACAGCCATCCCATCACCACATATTTAACTCAAACAGGTCAACAGCCATCCCATCACAACAGATCTTACACAAACAGGTCAACACCCATCCCATCACCAGAAATTTAACGTAAACAAGTGTTTTTTAGGTGTAAATAATGCTGACAAATGCTCTATACTTTTTTAGAGGTAAATAATGCTGACAAATGCTCTATACTTTTTCTCTGAAACACGAATCCCATCTAATTCATAATATTGTGGGATTGTTTTGTCACTAGGTATTCAGTGCTGCCTGGAGCCCTGATGGTAAATATCTATCTACTGTTTGTAAAGATGGGAAACTGAGAATATTCAACCCCAGGAAATATCAGTCCCCACTCATGGTAAGGCATGATACTGTAAGATTTTGTGTATGCATTGTACACATAATTTTGCAGTAACAGTTTTGCAACAGTATGAAGTTATGTAATCTGATGATCAAAATTACTTAAACTGTAGTTTTTCAATGTAATGATGAACTTAAATATTCACTTTGAAATAGTTAAAAGATTTGAAAATTGCCTTTACTGTGTGAATATTTCTGTGTAAGTATTGGAAGTTACTGATATTGTCTTCAATGTTCTAATGATATCCTTGTCATAATTTTTTTTTTCAGTATTTTATGTTAGGTTGTAATTATTTGAATTCTATATTTGTTTTTGAAATCAAGACATCAATCAGTTATTGATTTATTGATATATAACTATTTTAATAGGTTTTAGTAAAATCTGGCAAACGAGCAAGATGTTGTCTTGGTAGATGACTTAAATGTAAGAGATATTGGTATTCATTAAGTTACGGTTAGAAAATGTAACTGATATGTTTCAGTTACAATTTTAAGCATGTAAAATTTGTTTAAGTGAAATTTGATGAAGTTCTTTAATATTCATTTTTTCATTAAATGGAACACAGGAAACATGTGTTAAAAATATAATTTTGTTCTAAGGCTTATGAGTCCTAGAAATCACAGTATAACAGTTAGTTAACCTAGACATGTATACTTTTTATTACAGGAAGGTCCTGGACCTGTGGGGTCCCGTGGTGCCAGGGTGATCTGGGTACTAGATGGACAGTATCTCCTAGTCACAGGATTCTCATCGTAAGTGTTGTGTGGGTACTAGATGGACAGTATAGTCACAGGATTGTCTGTGTAAGTGTTGTGTGGGTACTAGATGGACGGTATAGTCACAGGATTGTCTGTGTAAGTGTTGTGTGGGTACTAGATGGACAGTATAGTCACAGGATTGTCTGTGTAAGTGTTGTGTGGGTACTAGATGGACGGTATACGGTATAGTCACAGGATTGTCTGTATAAGTGTTGTGTAGGTACTAGATGGACGGTATAGTCACAGGATTGTCTGTGTAAGTGTTGTGTGGGTACTAGATGGACAGTATAGTCACAGGATTGTCTGTGTAAGTGTTGTGTGGGTACTAGATGGACGGTATACGGTATAGTCACAGGATTGTCTGTGTAAGTGTTGTGTGGGTACTAGATGGAAAGTATAGTCACAGGATTGTCTGTGTAAGTGTTATGTGGGTACTAGATGGACGGTATAGTCACAGGATTGTCTGTGTAAGTGTTGTGTGGGTACTAGATGGATGGTATAGTCACGGGATTGTCTGTGTAAGTGTTGTGTGGGTACTAGATGGACAGTATAGTCACAGGATTGTCTGTGTAAGTGTTGTGTGGGTACTAGATGGACAGTATAGTCACAGGATTGTCTGTGTAAGTGTTGTGTGGGTACTAGATGGACAGTATAGTCACAGGATTGTCTGTGTAAGTGTTGTGTGGGTACTAGATGGACAGTATAGTCACAGGATTGTCTGTGTAAGTGTTGTGTGGGTACTAGATGGACGGTATAGTCACAGGATTGTCTGTGTAAGTGTTGTGTGGGTACTAGATAGATGGTATAGTCTCGGGATTGTCTGTGTAAGTGTTGTGTGGGTACTAGATGGACAGTATAGTCACAGGATTGTCTGTGTAAGTGTTGTGTGGGTACTAGATGGACGGTATAGTCACAGGATTGTCTGTGTAAGTGTTGTGTGGGTACTAGATGGACAGTATAGTCACAGGATTGTCTCTGTAAGTGTTGTGTGGGTAATAAATGGACAGTATAGTCACAGGATTCTCTGTGTTGTATTTCTGTTCTTTGTAGTATTTCTAGGCTGTATTTTTGTGTCTGTGTTTTGTTAAAATTTGCAGATTATTTTTCTTTGGAAATTAGAAAATATTGCTACCTTAACCAAGAAACGATGATGTTAATAAAGTGCATTTTTACTTGACCAGTAAAAATGAGAGGTGTTTATCACTGTACGACACAGCTGATCTGGCCACACCCCTCGAGACTGTTAAGGTGAATGCAGCCCCACCTATACTGGTGCCTTACTATGATGAGGATAGCCACACAGTATTCCTGTCCAGTCGGGTATGTTATCCTGTTTGAGTTTTCCTGTATGTTTAATTGCCCATACCTTAAGTACCAGACCAACTACAGATAAAACAACATTACTATTCCCCACTCATATCTGGAATATATCTATTTGTACTCAGGTGACACAGGGCAAAACAACATTACTATTCCCCACTCATATCTGGAATATATCTATTTGTACTCAGGTGACACAGGGCAAAACAACATTACTATTCCCCACTCATATCTGGAATATATCTATTTGTACTCAGGTGACACAGGGCAAAACAACATTACTATTCCCCACTCATATCTGGTATATATCTATCTGTACTCAGGTGACACAGGGCAAAACAACATTACTATTCCCCACTCATATCTGGTATATATCTATTTGTACTCAGGTGACACAGGGCAAAACAACATTACTATTCCCCACTCATATCTGGTATATATTTATTTGTAGTCAGGTGACACAGGGCAAAACATTCCAATATTGCAGGAAAGTTTTGTCAACTACAGGAAGTAAACAAGAAATAGCTCCACAATAACATCATATTTTTATTACAAGTTTGTGAGATATTTTAAATATTTCCATTATCATTCAGATTTTATTTTCTAGTTTATACAATATAAATTCACAAAATTAAATAAACTTAGAACAAACACAAAAGCAGATTTTCTACACACCAAACTGTACATTAATTGAAATGTAAAAATCAATTTTGTTGTTTAGGCCAAATAGGGAAGACACACCGGTAATGTGTATTTTTGATAAAGAGAAAATATGTACATTGTCTAGTGATATCTTTACCTTATATAAATTAGAATATGATGTGTAGGGGAATTTGATGTGTCTTGTATGTTGCATTTCAAGAGTTTCATTATGTTGAAATTTTTCATGGAAAATTAAAAACATGCATGTCTTCAAAAAAATTGAATTACATTGTCAAACACAATTCATCTATTTCTATAAACACAGGGTGAGAACCAGCTGTATGCATTTGAAGTGTCTGAAGAGGAGCCTTATCTTAGCCCACTGTCTAGCTTTGTTGGGGAGGGTCTACATCAAGCCTTCTCATTCCTCCCAAAAATTACCTGTAATCCAAAGGAGGTGGAGTTTGCACGTGCATGGCGACTGACCTCAACTTCTGTTGAACCTGTATCCTTCACCGTCCCCAGGGTCAAGGTAGGTCAGGGTCAAATGGGGTCAAGGTAGAATACAGGTAAAGATAGGTCATATGTCAAAATAGACTAAAGTTCATTGTAAGTTCAAGATCAAGATAAATCACATGTCAAGGTCAAAGAAAAGGTCAATTATAAGGTTAATTACAAGGAATGTCTTTTCCCCAGCGGTCAGGATCAATATATTTAGTGAAAGGAGTATTGTTATTTAGGCATTGTGTGGATGTTATAGTACTTGGCTATTCTTGTCATTTGAGAAAAATTGTGACTTCAAAGATGGATAACCAGAGAAAAGTTTGTCTGTTAATTAAAATACATTATTTCCAGATGGAGTATTTCCAGGACGACTTATTTCCGGACACTCAAGTGACGTGGGAGCCAACCATGACTAGTGCTGAATGGATATCAGGGCTAAACAACCAGCCTAGAACCATTAGTGTACAGCCCGCGGGAATGAAAAAATGTACGATATTCTCTCATATTTATATAACATGGATTTATTTTTATTACTCTATAATGAAAATGATAATAAGATTTAATTTTTGATTTTTGTGTTCATAGTCATCCTGGAACCCATAACAAATGCTGGTGAAAGTATATAATGCTTTCAGACATTTCAAGGCTTCAAACCATTCTCAAGTTTTTTCATGTACAGAAGAGATATTTATTATTGCTAAATTGTATGTCCATAGGTATTAGTAGGTACGGAGCCTGTTAACTGACATGCTCCATACTTATTTTATTTCGTTTTTTCGAAATAATATTTCGTTTAAACGAATTATTATTTCGAAAAAACGAAATAAAATATTGTTTCGATAAAATGAATTATTATTTCGAAAAAACGAATTAATATTTCGAAAAAACGGAATAATATTTCGAAAAAACGAAATAATATTTCTAATAAACGAATTGATATTTTGTTTAAACAAAATAAAATAAGTATGGAGCATGTCAGTTAACGGGCTCCGTAAGTAGGCATGTTTATACGTTGAAGTTGTTGCAATAAGAAACAAAATGGCTGTTACCAGAGGCCAGTGATCGTACATGAAGTGATATGATTTATTGAGGGGTCCTGGTGATTATTTTATCTTTCTGTAACAGTGAGTGAAGCCCCAGTGGAGGCCCCTAAAACAAGTAAATATGACAGCTATAATCCTGACACCTACAAAACAGATGAACAGAAGAAAGAAGAGGTTAGTCACGTCTTATTGTATTTGTAGAGAAAGCCCAGCAGATAAAACTTGATGTAGGCGAAAAACACTAGCATGAAATGAAAACCTGAATACTTTCTATTGAACTGATTAAGAACTAGCTGTATAGTATCAGAACAACATGCAATCAAAGGAATACACCCATGTCACTCTGAAGATGTAGAACGCAGATAAATTCATGAATGACAATCATTATAGTATCAGCCATATATAGGAATGTGGGAGATGCATATAGAATGGATATTCTATACCCAAGGTTTAAATTAGTATATTGTAACTGTCATCCTCTCCTCACTGTAGACAAACCACAAAAATGAAATTTAACAAATAAAACTTCAGATTTAAAATTGTGTATACAGTCATGTGATATCGAAGGAATCTTTTTTTCTTTTAAATGATGTCTTAGGTCTCATTACGAGAGACAGTACTTAAACAAGTTTTCATTTAATGTAGAGTCCCACAAGTTATGTGAGCATGTGTTCTACACATACAGAAATGAGAGGAAAAGTCTTAGCTGTATATTGTACATATACATTTAAACTTCTATTAATCAAACTTTTATGTTTTGAATTTCTCAATAAATCAAACTAACTCACCCCTTTATGAATTAAAGTTTAATAATCTAACACCACTTTGTATAAAAGGTTTCTCACAGATTGTGAGCTATATGACAACACAGTCATTGACACCTAAAAACGTTTACCTGTACAGTACAGGTATTTTTTACCCCGCTGCAAAAATTTCACACATTTCTATAAAGAATGCGTCCTGACAATAGGATTACGATTGTCAGCTTTGTTTGCAAAAAATGATCATGCTGTCATAAGGATGTAATATTTGTTTTTGTTTCATACGAGGTTTATAAAAATTATCGCGATTTTTTTTCTTTCAGTTCAGATAACAAGATTCTTCATAAAATATTAAAATATTATACTAACTTGTGTCTGTTACTGTGATGCAATTAAGGTTTGGTTATACAGTATAATACATTATCTCTATATGACAACACAGTCATTGACACTTTATGATTCAAACAAAACATTTATAAACTTTTGATATTTAACATATGTTTACAGCTACTGAGTGCGATGACAAACAAACTGTCGGTACAAGGAGACCCCTTACCACAGGACCTGGCAGAGGGGGTCGACTCGGACGAATGGGTAGGTAGTCCTACACCCGTAATACATGTTTAATTACTGCAAAAGTAGTCTTGGCTTAAAGAAGGCAAAGTTAATTCATAGCACCACTAGGTCTCAAGTCATTTAGGGTAACTTGTAAATGGAGAATGTTAAATCTGAGTCAGCATTTATAAAATCTGTGAAGAAGAACAGGAATATATTTAATGTTTTATTTAATCTTTTGGGAATGTTTAAGTTTGTAATCTCACAGAAAATGAAATTCTCAAGTTAACTGTGAAAAAGTTCATCTCAGTATCAATTTAAGCCACTTTTATTTCAAACAGGAGGATGAATGAAAACTTGTGATCTCATGGTGAGGAAGTATTACAACACAAAAGAGTTTGTCACCAAAGGGAGGAAATCCATTCTTCTGTGTAAACTTGTTAATTCAGGATTCTTCATTTTCTGGATAGTGACAAAAGTCCAGAGAAGTGCTAGAGATCAGCAAAAGTTTTGGAGATTCTTTTTCTTTTTCTCTACTGATCTACTCTATTTTAAAAGTGAAAAGTGCAATTGTTTTTCATTGTCTGTTCTCATGTCTTTTTATGTAACCAAATCATACATCACTAAAAATCTGAAAATGAACTAAGCCAAAAATAATATGAATATTTGAATAAGGCGATTTTCATTCTTGAACCAAAGACAATTGTTGAAGATAGTATTTCTTTTTAGACAACACTTGTAGTTGAAACTGGTTTAGTTGTAAGATAAAATCATGTTCCAAGCACATAAGGTTTTCTGAAAATACACAACATTTTACAAAGTGTGTGTGGAGATCATAGAAAAAAATTGTTTAGAATAACAGAGGAATAAGATTGGAAAACTGAAGATATTTTTCGACCCACACCTCTGAAAATAAAAAAAAAAAGATAACCTTTATTTATTTTACAACAATTGCAAAATAAACTATCTGCCTATACTAATCACCCTTGTTGGCCCGGGTGTAGGCATGTACCCAGGGAAATCCCACATGGTTGTGCAGGTGACCCAATACCTTTTTGCATCTATTCTGGCAATTGAACCCTTGACTAGATGAAAGGCAAGTAGTGAGTTACCATTGTGCCACATGACCACCCTCTGAAATCCAATCTCCAGCAGAAATTTCAAAGGTTCAAATTCAATTTTCATGTCCCTTTGTTCATTGGTATTAATGACTCTTTATTTCAAGCCTGTTTAATAAGAAGTGGGTGAGGGAGGGTCACAGTGGTATGCCAGGTGGAAAACACTACACAATTGGTGGTGTTGGGACTTACTTTACCAGACTTAGTATATTGTACTAAAAAAATGTAGACACTATTAAATCAGTCAATAAAGATTGCTACACAGAGAAAACTAAAATGTTTTTATTTGAAAAGAAGAAAGAAAATTGTATCTTACATGTCAGTCAATGATATCCACACTAGTACTTCCAGCATTGCAAGAAAACTTGTGACATTCAGACTGGGGTTCTCTGAAATTAATCTCATTATTCTAACATCCGTTCTGTTGTGCATGGGCATAAACCTTCTTTCACCTTGTCTTCAATAATAATGTTTTATGAACTGGCTCCATTAACTTTAATTTCATCAGTTTTTACATTGTATGCAAGAATTATAATCCCTTGGTTAATACAGGAATGAGGACAATGAAACCCCTAACAATTTCAGTCTTAAGCTTTATACCCTAGATTGAAATTGCATTGTTTATTTTTACATCACAGTAGAAATCATAATCGGGGATATGCTCCGACTTTAAGCTGGCCTTTATAAACAAGTGGTCTTTATACACAGGTTTTCTTGTTACGTATATAGCCTTGTTGATATATTTTTTTGTTACAGTAAACATGTATTATTTATAAGTCTTGTATTGTTTCTGTTTGTCATTTATAATGATGTGATACTTACATGTATGTTTACATATACACACCTTTGTGTTTGATGGCGTCACTTCAATTATGACGACGTCAAATTTTCATTTCAAAAATAAGAATTGAAGAGCCCTTTGTAAGGTGAAAGCTGCTTATTGATATGTTTGTCATTAATTTGTTTTTTACGTCTATATTCTTATGTATATTTCATAACAAATGATTAACAATGAATGGACTTTATTACTGATTGGTGACAAGGCGAGATGTGTGGTGTGTTGTGACTTCAAACTTCATTATCTCAAATTTGACTGGATCATAAAAAAGTTATTTAAGGTAATAATTAAGAAATTAAAGACAATTTTGCAAAAACTGAATAAACATTTCTAGTTATATGAGGTCTTCAAATCTTCAGAGTTTTAGATATCAAAGTTTGACGATCTGAAAACATCATTCTGTTTACACAAAGGAAGCACAATAGTTGCAAATAGTGCTCACAAAAAGTAAGCTTTCACATGGTAGAATTATATTTATTTTCCTAGTTTTCTATGGAATAACAGGTTTTATTTCACTGTAAAATGTCAGGGGAAGGGCAGGAGTGGGGGAGGGGAGGGGAGTAGGGGCTGGGGGCGGGGTTGGTATGACATGTTGCCAAAAACAAAGGACAGAAGTCTTACCAAATAAACATGACTATAATGATGTTGATGTTTCCCTTTAAAAATTTTTATTTTTACTCGAAAGTGCTTTAACCTGTTTTCTCGAAAGTGCTTTAACTTGTTTTTTTACGCGAAATGTAAGAACACTTTTCAAACCATTCATAGACAAAAATTAAAGTGTAAAAATGTCACCATATTTAAGTGATAGAAATCCCAGATGTGTGTACAATGTATATATTTTTTACCAAAACGGACAGCTATTTAAGATGACCGGGTTTAGTATTGTTTTTTACAAATGCTTCTGTAGCTGATAACGAGATAACTGTGACCACTGTCCACTCTGGTCAGTTTGATCCCTTAGGGGAACTGTTGATAAGTAAAGCCCCAAAATATTTCAACATTGTACCTGACCATCGGCATTAAAATCACAGGTCAGGTTTGATTTCATGTAACACGAAAATATACCACAAACCTGTGCTTTAATGTGTAGTAAATATAGGCCCATGACTTTGATCTTATGACAATAATAAGTGTGATGTGTGCATGCATGCACCTCTTAGTTGAAAATATTTGTGTTAAAAAATTTAGGCTATAGTAAACAAATAACCATTTACATAAACAACTTTGAAGAAAGCAACCATTTTATGGAGCACTTCTGGGTTATTAATGAAAATTTCCAGGTCTTAAAAAAATTGGTTCTTGTCAATATAATGGCATGAATTGTTATAGTTATTTTGTTTTTCGTTTTGCATTTTTATTATTTTTTTTCTATGCATGTAATTCTCAGCACTTAGGAGTTGGTCTGGAATACTTCGTGGTATTACTTTTATTATATTTTTAAAATTCCATGGTACAGATATTTGTAAGATTCCATGGTACAAATAGTTGTAAGATCCCATGGTACAGATGTTTGTAAGATTCCATGGTACAGATATTTGTAAGATTTCATGGTACAGATATTTGTAAGATTCCATGGTACAGATATTTGTAAGATTCCATGGTACAGATGTTTGTAAGATTCCATGGTACAGATATTTGTAAGATCTCATGGTACAGATATTTGTAAGATCCCATGGTACAGATATTTGTAAGATTTCATGGTACAGATATTTGTAAGATTTCATGGTACAGATATTTGTAAGATTCCATGGTACAGATGTTTGTAAGATCCCATGGTACAGATATTTGTAAGATTTCATGGTACAGACATTTGTAAGATTTCATGGTACAGATATTTGTAAGATTTCATGGTACAGATATTTGTAAGATTTCATGGTACAGATATTTGTAAGATTTCATGGTACAGACATTTGTAAGATTTCATTGTACAGATATTTGTAAGATTCCATGGTACAGATATTTGTAGGATTCCATGGTACAGATATTTGTAAGATTTCATGGTACAGACATTTGTAAGATTCCATGGCACAGATATTTGTAAGATTTCATGGTACAGACATTTGTAAGATTTCATGGTACAGACATTTGTAAGATTTCATGGTACAAGATTCCATGGTACAGATATTTGTAAGATCCCATGGTACAGATATCTGTAAGATTTCATGGTACAAGATTCCATGGTACAGATATCTGTAAGATTTCATGGTACAGATGTTATGTTAAGATTTCTATACCATGATAACATTGTCTCCCTAAAAGGAATATTCCAAATTACCTTGAAAAATAAAAGTTGTACTTGATTTCCAAATTAAATAGAGACGATTTGAGGCAGATATTACTTAAGTTTGACAACATGAGGATATTTTTATTTACTTCTCATTTGTTTACAGTAGTGACTAAACAACAAAGTGAACAGAATCATTAAGTATATACATGTGTACACAATATATAAAGCAAGCGACAACTTGAAGATTTTAGGACCTGGTCCATTCTTTGAATCTGTGTTTTGCATCTAACTGAATACTCCTTTATTTTGCTTTAGACTGAGCTTAAAGCTGAGGAAAATTATTTTTGTTTTTATAACCAAAGTTAATGCAGTCAAATGTAGTTATGTCCGACATGTGGCTGCATGATTTTAATATAGAGTATAAAGTGAATTTCGAACACAAGTGATGGTTTTTGAACAAATACACCATTCCTGGTATCAATGTTATCTGTATAAATTTATACTGGTTTGTTGTAATTCAGCATTGAACCTTGTTTTGAGTACTTGTCCATGGAAGTGAAGCAATAAAAACTAAAAATAGCCACAGATTATTTCCTCTGTGATGTATTGTTAGTAGAGTGATTTCATAATACAAGCATTTGACTTTGGAAATCATGGTAAAAATGACTAAAAACCATTGTTTGGTTATAAGTTGTGTTTATTATGTATATATGAAACAAACACTATATAATACTAGGTCTGGGCCTGTATTCATGAAAACATTCTCTCACGTTCATTGCGCGAAATCTCTGCTTAACCTAACCTTCTTTAAAACTCACTTAAAATCATGTTTTAGTAACCTAAACATTGAACATGATATCTCACTTTCGCTCTTTTTGAAATTCCTTCAAATTATTGCAAAAATATTCATTCAGATATCAGATATATGACCAAATTTTTTTTTTAGTGCGAGAACAAATTGTGTATTCGAGCTTGAATTTTTCTTCATGGCTTTTGGTCGTGATCATTACGGCCTTGTTGGTGTTTACATGGTTTGTGAATGATATCATAATGTATGCTGGACTTTTGTACATATTATTTACAGTGTACCAGGACTATTTAAATTAAAAGGGCGATGATTGATATACCATCATTGCATGTAATATCTAAATCAGCCTTGTTTTTGTTATTATTGCGTGTATAATACAATGGCCACCTGTCTATAAAGACCACTTTTCTCTGCTCCCTTAAGTGGCCTTTATAGACAGGTTTGACTTGTGAATAGAAGTATAAGTCTCTTTGAAAAATAAAAAAATAGCATCACACCGTTAAAATCAATTACACATCTCTTCATCTCAGCATGTTAATACAGAGTTGTTTTTAACAAACTTTAAAATCATATATATATACATACATATAAATAATTTTTTTTTTTTTAAACTTTATTTATTTTATAACAATTGCGAAAAAGTTATGTCAACTTATACTAATCACTCTTGTTGGTCCGGATGTAAGCACGCGAGGGATCTTATTGTGGGAGGAAACTGGAATACCCGGAGAAAACCCACGTGGTCGGGCAGGTGACCCCTTACCTTTTTACGTCCGTTCCAGGAATCGAGCCCCGGTCGGCTAGGTGAAAGGCGAGTTCGTTACCACTGCGCCACCCGACCACCTATATATATTCATGAGGATCAAATTTTCATTAAAAAAATTTTTTAAGAACAATTTGCTTCATAGATAGATAAAACTCAATAAATTCACTTATGCTTATTTTAACAGTTCATGGACAAATGAATTCAAATGAGTACCCACAAAATCAGTGAAAATAAATCCCCCACTAAAATGAATGATTTTACAGGATCTTGTATGTTAAAATTGGAACAAACAATAACAAGCAAAATTTTTTTAAGAGATGCTTGTTCAATCGGCTTGTAAATCAATTTGATTACATCTGATTCTCAAAGTTTCAGATAGAATCAAATATACAGCTGCAATGTCATATTCTATATTACTCTATATCACAGGATATGTTATCTGGTAGAAGTCGGGAATGATTCAATTCATCAATGAATTATTGGCAATTTCAGATTACAAATTAATGACAGAAATGAAGATGAACTGATTATGACAAAAGTGCAGAAAATTGGTAAATATTGCTACATGTCATCATGACTCAAATGAATTTTTCATATCTGATTTTGTGATGTACCGGTTCCTGAAACACGGAATGGTATGATTACCAGTACCTTTGTCTGTGAATGTTATAATGATATAATCCTTCAGCATTCAGAAAGTTACTGATATTTTGAAAAATTACAAAAAAATGGAGTTAGACCTAAAAATTGGTCATGAACAATTTGTCAAGAGCAACAGAATGTAATCTTGACCTTTGACCTATTATGCATCAATTCAAATTTGTCCAATTTAAGACTATAGTAAAAATACATATGCAGCTGTCAATATTTGTTGCAACTTGTGACAGAGAAGAAAAAATGACACCAACAAAGAACAAACTCTCTATGAAAACAACAAATTTTGTTAGTCATTTGTTTTTTTTAAGAGTTCACTATTAGCCAAGGAAGTTGCAGAACGCCTTTGTGATATTTCCTGTCCTTTTTTCAGTAGCCCGAACCTCTATGTCCGTGCCACTTATGTTGATCTCCAGAGTTACAGTGGCATCCAATCCACGTCCTCTACGTGATAATTCCACTCCCACAAACCCAAGGCAGATACAAGATTGCTCGTACACAAATTTGGGATCCCTGTCATCTGAAGCATAAAAGTCAAACCATGCCTGTGTCTGATCATCGTTTACTGGGTGGTAGTCTTTTCCCTCTTGGAATACCCCATATTGTACCAAATCACCTTTGGTGACATGTTTGTCAAATGCGTCATCCACGTAAATGTGGCTACCATGCTTTCTCATTTTATTCGGGTCATCAGCTTTTTGTATGAACTTCCTTTGGTGACCTATACCATATGTGTACTTACACACACGTGACCTGATTGCATCCCGTTCAAACCCATACATCACAGCACCTTTCAGAATGGCTAGTTGAGGGTCTGCAGGAATCAAAATTTTGTACTTGTGTTCAAATTTATCTTTGATGGCTTTCTGCATCAACAAAGCCTCGGCATAGCCCCCTACAACAAGAATGGTCCTCAAATCATGTAACTTGGGGTTCTCAACCAACAACTTCTCCACTTCACGAACAACATTTGTCGTAGATTTCTCAAAAAAGTCTTTAAAGATGGTTTTGTCAACTCTCATTTTATCACCTTTAAATTCCACCTTGTCCTTGAATACTGTATCATTGACTGCTTCCTGTAAATTACATCCGGTCATATTTTCATATTCTTCTACAAGAGTTAATGGAATGCGAAAGGTGATTTTTTCTGTCACTCCATTAGGATCATATGAACATTTCTTCCTTTCAAACTCATCAACAATAGCTTGCCAATCACCTGGAAAAGAATCCTGCAGATCACTTAGGACATCTTGACCACACAAGCGTTGCAGAAAGCGTGTGAACTCCTCATTGACCCTTTGGCCTCCCCAATAGCCCCCTGTGGGTTCATTGATCTCCTTCAAATAGCCATCCTCCAGTACTTCATGGGCTGTTATATCAATTGTTCCCCCTAAAAAATTTTTTGATAAAAATGCAATATAGTCATTCAACAAATCTATTTAAAAAAACAAGATGATTCTATGAATTACAGTCCCCTACTTACTCATCACCTCACCAAGGTGACGCCATAACTCAAGTATCATGTTCCAATAGCAAGTACAACAGGAGATAGAGCCAAAACTGTTTATTTGATGGAGGTCAAAGGTCAAACTGCAGGTCAGAGTGACCTATGTTTGATAAACTAAATACACACTGCCTTATCAAATTCAAAATTTTCAAATTCAAATTCTTTTATTGAACCTCAGATCATACATACATGACACATGAGGAGCAAGGATCAAAGGTAACCCATACTCAAATATGAAGTTCCAGTGTCAAGTAATGTAGACAATGCAGCTCAGACAAACTTTTTCTTTGATGTAGGTCAAAGGTCAAAATTTAGGTCATGGTGACCTACTTTTGATATATGAAACACTGCCTCATCAAAGTGAACAAATACTTGAATATGAAGTTCCAGTGACAAGTAATGCAGGCAATGCAGCTCATACAAACTTTAAGCCTTTTCTGTGGTGTAGGTCGAAAGACACAATGTAGGTCAGAGTGACCTACTTTCACTACCTGACATAAAGCCTCTCAAATGTGAACCTATACTTTATGTTTTATTTTTTGAAACACTGTTCAAAGAGTTCTCAAGTATTCTTTTTAGAAATAAAACAAGTTTGCACTTGAAATCTGTCCATGTAATTATAAATTATCACAGAATGTATACTTTTTCTTTACAATACATACAAATTACAAATAACCTATTTCTTTAATATACTTACAAATTATCTATTTCAGAAAAAAAGATACTTTTTAGTTTCCTGAGATGAAGGTATAACTTTGAATAAGTCAGATTTTCAATCAATATATACCTCCAAGGTCCATTATAAGATATTTGGTGCCTGCTTGGAATTTGGCTATAGAAGGGCCATCACCAGGTGCTCTAACAACACTGCTGGGCACCCTCCTACAATACAATGATGCTGCCTCTGGCTCCAGTGCCAAAGTTAACTGACTGTCCTCTATCCCAGCCTGTCATAAGAAAACAAGAATTGTACAACTGTTTCCTAACAACCCTGAGCATTTAGCACTTCCATTCATAGGGGTCAAAACATGATACCTGGCATTTACCAGTACCCTACCATGAAGTAATCTTTCTTTTAGGATAAAACATCAAATTTCATTTCTTCAGAAATTATATATATGTATTGATATTCATATATAGATACCAACATGTATATCTATTTACTTATTAATTCATGAGGCCACCAAGGTTGAAGATCACAGAGTTCAGCCCCTGAACAATAAGTTTTTCTCTCGTAGGACGGATTGCATGCATCACTTATTTCCATTCTATTGGAAAGATTATGTGTATGCATCACATTTAGAATTCATATTCATATTGCATATGAATTATCAATATATAAATAGTTGCACAAATCGATAAATTAATATATTTGAGATATCTCTACTAAGTTCCGGAACGACTGTCTATAATGTTTTATGACTGGTTTTTGCTATGTTCATATAGAGCCTGATCTATGAAGAAGCAGTGGCTAAAATGTATCATCCCACCAGGCGGAAATCTGTCTAGTTTAACAGGAAATAAAACCACTTATATCTATATAAACCTGGAAAGTGGGCAATCTTTGACAAATTCGTTTACAATCATTATTGAATCATTGTTTGTTTTTACCCATAAATAATCACCTTGTGTGCTGCCTCCCTCATAAACTGCTTGGCTTTAAGATTCCAGATCGCCGGAACGGTGAGTACCCAATGAATATCAGATGGACAGAACATACTCTGAGTATCCTTGAAATCCAGATCTTTTAGTAATTTATCCTTGAAGAACTCTATGACAGTTGAAAATACAATGATTGCTGGCAATTTCTTCCCGTTCTCGGACTCGAGCATCGTGTCTCTCGTAAGTTCATCCTGAAGTCATGAATATAATCATAAAAGCACAACTTAATCTCTTTTTGTTATGTTGAATCTTTACACCAAAAACCAGTAAAAGTATCGACATAGACCAAAACAAGAGCTGATAAGGCTCAGTTCGTAACCAATAAGAATATCTATTTGATTATTGATGATACTTTTATATCTTTCAGACAAACATTATCTATTGGATGAAAATTTGTCGTTTTACATCCTATGAACAGCAAGGGCCAGGGTCATTTATGGAAAAGCCAGGTTTGGGGGGTGGAGGGATCTGGGGTTTCCAGGGAAAAAACCACCAACTGCTGCCAGTACCTGACGACTGCCCTACATAGGCCTCAAACCAGTGACCAAGAGTCGGAGGACTAGTGATAAAATTTAGTCAGACGCCTTAACCACTTGGTCACCGCGGCCCCTTACCGAATAATATAAACATGTACAAATTTGCATTAATTGGGGACACTACTGCCTAAGCTTAATGATTCTGAAGATTTCAGTTTCCATATTGTCTGACTTCATCTGTGCACTGCAAATAAAAACAGAACTCCATATATCACAAAGAACAAAAAGTGGATAGCTTCAGAAGATGAAACCTTTTTTGGGTAATTACAAGATCTCTCACCTTCATTTCATGTAGCTTCATTTTGAAGTGCTTAAAGAAATAGCATTCATCTGCAACATTTTCATCATCTTGGAATTCACAGTTGGCTTCATAACCAAAACTTTTGAACTTTTTGTCCGCGTCCAGTAGGACACACGTAGGTGCTTTAGATGTCATTGAAGTTTTTGCTGCCCAGGTATTTAAGTGAATTTTGGGTCCTCCAGGGTTCTTGTACCACTCTCTTGTACAATATGCATATCCAGAATATGTAGTTCCGAAATCAATGGCTGCCACAATCAAATTTGATTTCTTGACACTCTAAAAATGAGTCAAAATAAAGTGAGGTATTATGCCATACAGGCCTAATATGTAAAGTTACCAGGAATAACAGATATGGAAATCAGACATGTACTAATGTCAGACAATATCTGCATGACAGTCACCATTCTGATGTCAATATTGTGGGCATAGAAACAGTGACAGATCGCGGTCAAAATGGCTGTTCCACTTGAGGATTACAATGTCTATTTATTTATTTTTTTTATTGAAATGAAGTGATATTCCACATAAAGAAAGCAACATATGAAAGAGGTGTAAATATTAATGGTGAACAGTCTGACGGCATTCACGGTCACTATAAATGACAGAGTTTTGCTGACAACACAAATATTACCAAATCGCACTTGCCAGCATCATATAATAATGTTTGCCACCAATTGTCAGTTCAAGTTTAAATATCAACAACATTACCTCTTTACCAAATAGAGAAAGTTTTTTCTGTCCAGTGGAAGATGTTGTGTCTGTTCCTTTTGTTGGTTGTGTTTGATCTTTTTGAATAACCTGCTGAAAAATTAATCGATTTCATCAGATTAGATCAAAAGAACTGACAGATCTATGCCACTTTTACACTTTCTGAAAATTGTATACAATGAATAAATTAATGTCATCAATCAGTCCTAATAGAGGATACAAACATTGCCACGTCTTTATAATTCGATAAAACACTCAAAGAAAGGCTTAATGAATATCAAATTATCAATGATTCATGTCATGCATTAAAAATGTACACACACAAACATATATATATATACATATAATAGAAAATGTTTCCGTATATATAGTAAAAGTTGTTTTTAGATTATTGGCATTTTCATAGCTTTACCAAAATTTGCAGCAAAAGGAACGTAAGCATGGTTCAGTCTATCAACTTTATTCTTGTTACTACTCCATCCTCAAATACAGAACTACCTTCACAAAAACATGCAAATTTGGAGCAAGAACAGAAAACAGCAAGAAAATACCAATAGATCAACATCATCATAATCCAAACTCAAAGTCAATAAAACTAGGAAATACCAATAGATCAACACATCGTAATCCAAACTCAAAGTCAATAAAACTAGGAAATACCAACAGATCAACATCATCGTAATCCAAACTCAAAGTCAATAAAACTAGGAAATACCAACAGATCAACACATCGTAATCCAAACTCAAAGTCAATAAAACTATATGAAATTTTTTTTATAAGATATGAACAAAGATTTTACAATACCAAAATCTTCACAATCAAGGCAACCGTTTGACATCACCAAGAATTTATTTAAGCCATTACATGTCTGATGGTAATTATGACAGGAATATTACATTACTGAATTCCATTAAAGACAAACACATCTGGGATGGAGATTCATTTGACAGTCTGATAGCATACAGCCTTAAGTGTTGAAAATATTACTAAAGAGTTCAATCATCCGTGCAGATAATATTATGTTGACTGGAACATTAATAAACACAGATGACAGTCTAAACTGCCTACGTTCATCTAAGGTGTGGTTTTAGTTCACCTTCAGCTGATGAGGCACACTACCATTAGTTAAATAGGCATGAACACAGTGGATTTTCTTTATTTCATCTAAATATATACAAGAGGTTTAAATCTAAGTTAAGAGAGAGAAAATAACATTTCTATAGTCATTAGGTGTGTTAGTAAGACGTAGATCAAATGCCCAATAAATTTGCCACAAATGACATGCTATAAATGAATCCCTACACTTATAAATATACGTACTTTCTTAAGAGATGTTTTGGAGGCCACTGCTGATGTCGAGGATGCTGCTGTCCTATCGCTGGACTGGACGGTACCTATCTGTGGTATGTGGTAAAATTATAAATACAATAAGTGCATGGGTCTAAATGGTCACCAGTCTAATCTGAATGGAATTTAAACTACAGAACCATAATTCTATATCAAATTGGTCCCATCTTATAACTCCTCTGAGATCTAACCAATATAAGGCTGCATACCATACCAAGTTTCATAAAAATCTGTTCATATTTACTTAAATTTCATTTTTGACAAGATTCATGGTAATAAGATTGCACTGGGCCATAACTCATTTTTCATTCAACCGATCCCATTTTCAATGTTGTTCATGTTTACTCAAGTTATCACACTCAAAAGGCTCATGGTAATAAAACTTCAAAGGGCCATCAATCTGCAAACTGAAATTGAATCAATCGCATTTGTTCAACTCATTCAGAACATGCATGTGACCTAGATTTGCACACCAAATGTTAATAAAGCTGGGGTTAGTACTTGAGTTCCAAAGCACCATATCATTTCCCCTTGGTCCTTCTCAAGTGTATATGTATATATAAATCAATAATGATATTTTTTCAGGTCAATATATTTTTTCTCTACACTTCAGAATTCTATTTTTAACTTACCTTTTTGGGGGAATTAGTTTTACTGGCTTTTGACTTTACAGGACTTCCTGTATTGCTACTTTTCTGTAAGTGTGATAGCAGAGCTTATTAAATCACAAATATCATCACAGATTAACTGGTAATATATCAAAATGTAAGATTATATGCTATTGATTTTTAATGTATACAAGAACTCGAAAATCCTATTAATGCCATAAACTTTTTAACTGGAAAGAAAAACAAAACAAAAACCAAAACAAAAATAAATAAATAAATAATAAATGAGTAAAGAAGGTAAACATTTATTAGTAAACTTAGTAAAGGATAATCATATTTCATCTTCCTGAGAGGAGTGTATACAAGTAGAACAAATATTTAAACATAATAATTATTTCGTCAAAAATTAATATTTTTAATAGTTTTAATATTGACAGAAAATGTTGAATGCATTCCAAATAAACTTACAGATATTCTTATAAAAAATATATTATTATCTATTGCAGACCTTCTTTTCTTGTACAATGATTTTTGTGGGTACTTGTATATCACACAAGGGAGACAATCCAAATAAACATCATGTGTCATTATATTTTCTTACAAACTTTTGAGTGACAGATATGTTAAAAATAATCACTTAAGTCTTTTGATTAATAATTCCATCAATTTTTGTGGTTCTGATCAGCAAATAAAAATAACTGTTTCTACACAAGTAGGTGCCATTTAACAATTATTTTCATTAATAAACATAAATTCCCAAAGGCAAAGTGGAAGGCAGTTCCCTAACATTTTTCAAAACTGTCTCTAGCATTCATTAGACTGCCTATTGATGATGTTTTTAGGTTTGTCTCTCTTTAGGTTAATATGCAAATGAGAAAACTGTTCTGTTACAGAATACCAAATCAAATTTTAGTAGTTTTAATAAGCAGTTCTTAGCTGTTTAAAGGCAAAATTATTTAAATGAGTTTGCAGTGAACTGTTATGGAATAATAACAATCTGTTTATACAAACATATACAAATGAGACTAATGAGGAACTTACCAGAGAATGCTAACAAGCAGCTGGTATAAAAATAGGCCTCACAAAATATGGAAATAGTGAACAGTTGAGGCATGTTACACATTTACAGTTACTGGTAGATTTTTTTATGTTTTTTTTTAGCCTTCTTTCTCCTGTTTCTAGCTACTTTTAAATAGTTGCCAACAGTGCAGTAAATCTGACTGGTCTTAACATTCAATGAACTACTTGTTGATGTTTGTTAGTGGGACTGCTTATGTTAAAAAACTGTCTAGATACGAACTGAAGGTTTTTTAGCAGTTCCTAGACTTAAACTGGTACAAATTGTTCTTAACTCTGTATGGTTTCACTTTCATCACACATTTGTTTTTTACAATGGAAGTAAAGGTTATATTTTAAACTTTTGAACATTAATCATTGCTGGTGTGTTGGAATTTGCACATAGATCCAGTGATATATATTGATTTTAGGATAATTGTGACATCTAAGATAATACTATAATATTTATAAATTTGCACATGAATGTAATATATTTCGGTTATGCATGTTTTAAACGGAAATTTCCACTTTAATAAATTTAGTGAAGATGCAGTAATATGTTGACCTGAATTGCATGATCTCATCAAAACATGACATTGTCTTGTCATAAGGAAGGAAATGTCTTATTAGTGATACAGCACGTGCACATTGTAATAGATTGCTGAGGATACCTGATATAGCATGTAAATACAAACATCAGTGTAATATACGTTAGACCAGTTTCTGAAACTTAAAGACATCGACAGAATCAAGCAAATGGGATTAACATATAAAGTTAATTTTAAATGTGATATATTGTATATGTTCATTAAGTACATGCACAAATATCACTACTGAAAGTAACTCAAAAGAAGGAGAAACGATTACATATACAATTTCCTCGAGTTCCCGAGTTCCTACCTTTCCAGCCTGGTTCCCCATGCCTTTTGCATTGAAGTCGATATTAGGACAACTTGCACCGATGATACAGCTTTGCAAACTACTTCACTGGATTTTCATCACTGTGTACTTTCTCACTTGACTGAAAGAAAACATTTAACAAAACTGAAAATGAAAACATTAGATGTGGTAATACTACTTTCGGTTCCCATATATATATAACGCTATTTCGTGTCACTGTGTTATAGTTAATAAACATGTACAAGGTCTGAGCCAGCATATCATAATTTCTGTAACTCATTAAATGATACCAACACCAATAACTTCAAACCAATAAGATAGTACAACTGCACAAGCTGAACCCGGAACATCAATTCTGTGATCCAAACACTCATTCACGATTAGATGAAAAAATATACACGTAACTGTCACGTGATTTGCTTGACTTCTAAAGGAATGACAACTCAGTTACTCGGTAAGATCGGAATGCGTAGCTATGTAAACATTGGAACAGTTCTATAAATTATGATAAACATTAATTACTTTTTATATAGATACATACAGTGTATGTTGTCTGTATTTCTAATCCATATGCAGTACAAACTTTTTAGTTCCTTTTCTAGATCGTAAATCAGGAATGAGACATGTGTGTACACGTCACAGCTAGGTACATACACATATACTAAAATGTAATATAAATAACATTTGTCACGTGACATAAGCATTCGCCCGATAGTCCGAGTGCGTGTTATTGCAGAGTCCCGATAATCCGAAAGTGTGTTACTCCGAAGACCCGATACTCCGCAGCCCCGATACTCAGAATGCGTATTCCTCAGAAGACTCGATACTCTGAAGATGTATTACTCCGAAGGCCCGATACTCCACAGGCCCTATACTCCGCAGGCCCGATACTCCGACTGCGTGTTATTGCAGAGTCCCTATAATCCGAAAGTGTGTTACTCCGAAGACCCGATACTCCGCAGCCCCGATACTCAGAATGCGTATTCCTCAGAAGACTCGATACTCTGAAGATGTATTACTCCGAAGGCCCGATACCCCACAGGCCCGATACTCCGAAGGCCCGATACTCCGCAGGCCCGATACTCCAAAGATCCGATACTCGAAAGGTCTGATACTCCACAGGCCCGATACTCCGCAGGCCCGATACTCCGAAGACCCGATACTCCGAAGGCCCGATGCTACGAAGGCCCGATGCTACGAAGACTCGATACTCTGAAGGTGTGTTACTTCAAAAGTCAAGTTCTCTAAACGTAACTCCTTATAAGAAGGATAATAAATCACGTCCTCTTTCACTAAGAAATCGTCTAGTATCGATTTCCTCGGAGTTTGGGACACGATGTGTTTTACTAATGCACGTTATGACAGAAGGCTACACTTGAAACTGTAACGAAGCATTCAGACTGATTTCTATCTTATTCACACGTAATACCAACAATGACAGACTGTGTGGTAGTTGGATTTTGGTCTGTGGTTGGAATCTCAACAAGAGATCACAGAAAGCTTTTGGCGCACACCATTCTTTGTTTGTCCTTTAAGAGTTGGATCTCTTCCTTTTTCCTCTGTTTTAAATAACATGAAATTTCAAAGGAAAATTAGGGATGATAATCTTTAACTGTTAAGATGCTAGCATGTCAGGCATTTTCTTTTTCTTTCCTTTTTTTCTGGTCAACCCAAAATCAAAACAGCGTATCTCTGGACAGAGGGGAACATACAAATGTATCATTTTTGAGAACGATAAATATTTCAAGAAAATTATAACAAATTCCAAATGGCCATGTTTTTGAGCTGTCCTAAGATCAAAAGGACACAACCTGGAATCAAGGGAAACCTACATATGAAATGGTAGAAAAAGTAATCTATGAACTAATAATGCTATTAATGACAACGCAGTGGCAGCAATTTATGAAATATCTGTTTCCATTTAAAGTATTTTCATCACTTTGATGTACCCATAAATGTGAATCCATGTTGAACTGTTCTATTCCGTTGTTTTCAATATCTAACGCGACGTGATGACAAGAAGTTAAACAATGGACACCTGTTGATACTAGTATTATGATAATATACGTGTGTCAAGGCTATATATCCTTAAGTACATAAATCATGGATCCTAAGATACGACGAAGTCTGTTTTTATCGTTGTCTGGTCTCGTTAAGGTAAACATTTTCCAGTTGGAGCTCTCTTGGAAATAATGTAACTCATTTTGACTTTAACTTATCTGTCTTACAAATACAGTCGAAACTCGTTATCTCGAAATATTTCGACTTATCCGAATGTCGACTCAAGTGATTTCGAGACAACGAGTTTCAACTGTACAAACCAAGTCGATGAAATTAGTAATTGCTGTTCTTTGCTTGGCGTTTAGTTTTAAATGAGTTTGTAATGTCATCAGATTAAATGTTTAGCTACCGTGTCCAAGTTATGTCATTTCAGTGTGATGGCACTGTAAACGTATCCATGAATGACACTACCATTCGTGGGAAATGTTTTTATATGATAATGACCGATGCAAACACTCGACTAGACGTTTAACAGTTAATCCTGTCCATATAGATGGTATTTACAGTTTTTACCTACTTGTATCATACATAGATATTTAATTTATTTTATAAAAATTTTGTAAAATGCATTCTCATTTTACCAGGTTTCTACATACCCTCAAAATACAAAACAAAATAATCAGATATGTATTTAAAACATACTTTTAATGCATAAATGTTCAGTAGCCAAAGTATCTAAAACGGGTGACCAGTAAAAACGATATATAAGAAAACTGACCAGTAGAAACGGTATCTACGAAGAGTGACCAGTAGAAACGGTACCTAAGAAGGGTGACCAGTAGAAACGGGTTCAAAGAAGGATGACCAGTAGAAACGGTATCTAAGAAGGGTGACCAGTAAAAACGGTACCTAAGAAATGTGACCAGTAGAAACGGTAACTAAGAAGGGTGACCAATAGAAATGGTATCTAAGAAGGCTAGTAGAAACTGTATCTAAGAAGGGTGACCAGTCGAAACGGTATGTAAGAAATTTGACCAGTAGAAACGGTAACTAAGAAGGATGACTAGTAGAAACAGTATCTAAGAAGAGTGACCATTAGAAACGGTATCTAAGAAATTTGACCAGTAGAAACGGGTTCAAAGAAGGATGACCAGTAAAAATGGTACCTAAGAAATGTGACCAGTAGAAACGGTAACTAAGAAGGGTGACCAATAGAAATGGTATATAAGAAGGGTGACCAGTAGAAACGGTATCTAAGAAGGGTGACCATTAGAAACGGTATCTAAGAAATTTGACCAGTAGAAACGGGTTCAAAGAAGGATGACCAGTAGAAACGGTATCTAAGAAGGGTGACCAGTAAAAACGGTACCTAAGAAATGTGACCAGTAGAAACGGTAACTAAGAAGGGTGACCAATAGAAACGGTAACTAAGAAGGGTGACCAATAGAAATGGTATCTAAGAAGGGTGACCAGTAGAAACGGTATCTAAGAAGGGTGACCAATAGAAATGGTATCTAAGAAATGTGACCAGTAGAAACGGTATCTAAGATGGGTGACTAGTAGAAACGGTTACTAAGAAGGGTTGACAAGTTGTCGGGGATGACATACGTCATCAAATGTTACTTGAAATCACAATGGTGATCTGGCTGCTGGACAAGACGTCCAGCCGACCAAACCTCAACGAATTTAACGTCGGAGAAGACACTCGACAAATCAAACGTCAAGTGTTTGGTTATTTCCACGTATATGTTGGTTACATAACTGTACATAGTCCATATGACTCAGAAGGATCTAGCAACGGTTTTATTGAAAACGAGAATATCAAAAATTAAAGTCTGAACGTCAGTCATATAAGGTCCTAAAAATCTATACTTTAACCTATTTTCAGAAAGAAAACTTGAAAAAAGGTGTTAAGATATTAGATTTAGATATGAAATAAAATCCATATCCTCTCTCGTTCATATGAATAACTTGCTCTCCGTGAAGGCTACTTTCTGTGTGTTCACAGAATTTTGAAAGAACACGCTTCTGTACCCGGAATTTGTCATTTGGAGTGTTTCTGGTTTTCCGTCACTCGGTCACAAAGTTCCTTGTTCATGACGGAAAGATTACCAAGTTTTCTCTTCTCTTGGATTTGATTTCGGATCCAGCGTCGGAAGATGGCAACCTTTGTAAAGACTGTAGGGTATTCCAGACACGACACGGCTCCCCACGACGTCGTTCCCAGGAGGACAAAGGACCCCTTTCTCTTACACACTAGCGGACCGCCAGAATCGCCCTTAGGAAGTAGATAAAGCATAGCGTTAGTATGCGCAGACAACATTGGAGAGTGGAGAGGAGATGAACAATATCCCACGTGCGCATTTATGTATATGTACACGTGCATTTAAAACAACACCGACCAACCAACGACAACGAAACACTAGTCCGATTTGTTATGACGTTAACGATAAAAACAGTTACTTAACGTTAACTTATTCACATACCTCGCAAGCGGCCGAATTTTTGTGAAAGGCACAAAGACTGGTGGTTTTTACGATGCCGTCCCAGAATTTCTTGGAATTACACTTGCTGTTGCTGATGATGTTGATGTTTGCTTCCTGAAGTCGCGTGGCGAGTTTCCCATAGTCTCCCACTGCGCATGTCAATAATAAGAACACAGGTAAATAAATGTATTTCATATGGAGATTATTTACATGTGCTTTGCACTGCAATTGCTCTGAAATTTTAACGCTTTTTTCTCCTTATGACAAGATATATAACTTATTTAACTTCTAACTTAATCACTTAAAAACACTCGTGAAACATTTATGATCTGTAACTCGTCCACTACCGTTTAATTCGGCTGATGACGAAGTGACGAACTAAACATACACACAACATAATTTTCAGTCCGAATTATTCTGATATTCTATCGATTTTTATATATTGGTTTGAATCGATAACATATAAAATATTATGATTGGAAAGTTAATTATTCCGTGAAAACACCATTCTAAACAAACCAAGCAAGTTGTTTACCTTCATTAGGGACTTGTTTCAGTTGATTGCACGGAGATGTCACTAAATAAAAGAAAAGTATAAGATATATTCATAAATTCACGTGTAAAATTATAATCTATCTGAATTGATGCTTGACAATTAGCCTATACGTCAAATATAGAGAGTATATATACACATCTTTTATATCAGATTGTCTGGCCGATGAAATTAAAAATGGCCCGGACATACTGTAATATGTAATCAATAGGTTCTCATTGAATTGAAAGACAGCTTTTGTAAACTATATCTAACTTTCAGCTTTCCAAAAAAGGGGAAAATCGATACGCACGTAACTGACAAACTGCTTGAACATCGAGCCCTCCAGACCAAACTGAAAAGTTTGGTGTTGGTCTGCGGGACTTGTTGGTGGGTGAGTGGTATGTCTCATAGTAGACAGGATGTAAGGATGGGTGAGTTGTGTCATAGTAAACAGGATGTGAGGATGGGTGAGTCTAAGTATAATAGTAGACAGGATGTAAGGATGGGTGAGTTGTGTCATAGTAGACAGGATGTAAGGATGGGTGAGTTGTAAGTATCATAGTAGACAGGATGTAAGGATGGGTGAGTTGTAAGTATCATAGTAGACAGGATGTAAGGGTAGGTGAGTTGTAAGTATCATAGTAGACAGGATGTAAGGATGGGTGAGTTGTGTCATAGTAGACAGGATGTAAGGATGGGTGAGTTGTAAGTATCATAGTAGACAGGATGTAAGGGTGAGTGAGTCTAAGTATCATAGTAGACAGGATGTAAGGGTGGGTGAGTTGTGTCATAGTAAACAGGATGTGAGGATGGGTGAGTCTAAGTATAATAGTAGACAGGATGTAAGGATGGGTGAGTTGTGTCATAGTAGACAGGATGTAAGGATGGGTGAGTTGTAAGTATCATAGTAGACAGGATGTAAGGATGGGTGAGTTGTAAGTATCATAGTAGACAGGATGTAAGGGTAGGTGAGTTGTAAGTATCATAGTAGACAGGATGTAAGGATGGGTGAGTTGTAAGTATCATAGTAGACAGGATGTAAGGGTGAGTGAGTCTAAGTATCATAGTAGACAGGATGTAAGGGTGGGTGAGTTGTAAGTATCGTAGTAGACAGGATGTAAGGGTGGGTGAGTTGTAAGTATCATAGTAGACAGGATGTAAGGATGGGTGAGTTGTGTCATAGTAGACAGGATGTAAGGATGGGTGAGTCATAAGTGTCATAGTAGACAGGATGTAAGGGTGGATGAGTCTTAAGTATCATAGTAGACAGGATAGATGGGTGGGTCGTAAGTGTCATAGTAGACAGGATGTAAGGGTGGGTGAGTTGTAAGTATCATAGTAGACAGGATGTAAGGGTGGGTGAGTCTAAGTATCATAGTAGACAGGATGTAAGGGTGGGTGAGTTGTAAGTATCGTAGTAGACAGGATGTAAGGGTGGGTGAGTTGTAAGTATCATAGTAGACAGGATGTAAGGGTGGGTGAGTTGTAAGTATCATAGTAGACAGGATGTAAGGGTAGGTGAGTTGTAAGTATCATAGTAGACAGGATGTAAGGGGTGGTGAGTCTAAGTATCATAGTAGACAGGATGTAAGGGTGGGTGAGTTGCAAGTATCATACGTACACTGGATGGGTGGATGAGCTGGCGTATTTCAAACTTTTTACCTTCTTACACGTGACAGTATAATCACGGACTCACATATTGATTCATCCAAGTCCTTGCTATAATAAACTATTTCGAATAGGATTGAAATAAATCATGTTAGACTTCTTTAAGACAATGCACCTGTGAAGTGCGGAAGTCTTAGATCGTGATAACCCCGGGACATTTTCTTTAAATGATTATCTAATGTCAACTTTCTTTATTAGATCACTTTAAAACTGACTTAAGTGGAATTGTTAGAACTTCTAACTGTGACAGCAGAAGACCTATCCCGGTATTTTCTTACCCTCTTTATCCTTCTTCTCCTCCTCCTCCTCCTCCTCTTGTGTTACCCCCCATCCCGTGATGTAACAGTCGTTGTGAGATAGCCTTTGTTTGAGTCTGGCCAGGGCGGGGATTGGCCTCACCCCCGGGGCATCGGTAGCGTTGGTTTTCAGGTGGAGTAAGGCGATGTCATATCCTCCCAGGAAATCGTCCTTATAAAGGGGATGCTACCAGAAAACAACAAAATGAAAGGGCTAGACAGACGTAGTGAGTATTTGCTGGGATTTAAATGTCATGAATTTCAATACTGATATCGTGAAATACAAAGTAAAGTTTGATATCTACAGCACGGACAAATTTCTTTGTCGAGACAACGAGATACTGACCAGTGACGTGTGCATCACTTCGATATACTGCTCTGTACCCTCTGGGATGTCACGGTTGTAATCTCCCAAAACTACTGTTATTCTGTCAGGCCTGGTCAGGAAAAAACAAAAACAAACAAAAAATACATATATTTATAATTCATATGTTTATAAGTCAAATCCTCTTCAAAACACGATACTCAAATAGCTTTTAATTACATACATGCGGAATTAAAAAAAAAATAGATATCTGATTCAGAATTGAAGCATTCTCGATATTTTTTTGTCAAATTCCTTTGGTCAAACATTCTTAATGTAGGTAATATAAGTACCTATACACAGCGAAATAACAACAAAATGTGATATCGAATAAATAAATAAATAAATTAATTAATTAAATGAATTAACTGATAGACTGATCCACACTTGACAAGTTTGTCGGAGCGAATAAGATGTTTCAAAAAGACTAATTGTCAGCTAACACAATGTGTCCCTGTGACAACAGGATCGCACTAAGATGAAAAAAGTCCACCTACATAATGTATTGTCGGTTCTATTTTTCTTTCTTTTTCAAATTATTATCTGTTAAGGTATTATGGTCCACCAGTACAAATGAGCTGTGCTAAAAGCTTGCGCCATAAGCTTATTCTAGTGACAAAATCAAACGTTTAACGAAAGTTTACGAAACAAAAATATGACACTTATTTGAAGACATAGTTTTAGTTATTACAGAGTATAATACAAAAATACCACCCATCGTACCAACTTCAGGGTGAAACCCAAATTGTACATCAGTTAAAATGTTATATCTCATCCGTACATCTAAAATGCGTTTATTTGATAGGGATTTAAAAGTTTACAAAGATAGCTAATTAAGCTGACACGTCTAAAATCATTAGGGTCATTGCGGTTGCCTTTCTTATGCACAGGAATAATTATGGCTGATGGCCAATTAGAAGGAAAGTTACCGGGTTCAAATATCAGTGCGAATACGTCATGTAGTTGCAGCTAACCATAGTTGTGGCCTGGTCAAAGTTCAGTTAGGGCAACGTGTAGGCCACAAAGTCGACCACAAAAATATAATGTAAGGTCATACGAACACCGAAACAGTCGACTCAATCTCTATTCCATCCCTCTCCTCCAACTCTCTACTTCACTTATAGATTTTTTCCATTCTACTCACTTTTTTTATCTTTTCTCGTCTTTTGGAATATTCGAATAGCCCAAAAGTCCGTTAAATAAATAAATTAAGTATCGTATATAAAATGTCTACTCACGTAAGTCCACGGACACAATGTGCCGCAGTGAGGACGGTATCGTATTCTATCAAAGTGCCTCCACACACGAAACCTTCCCTCGATACCAAAAGTCCAGCCTGCCAAGGCCATGAGGAACTCCGCGAGTCCCTGCCTCCAATAATCATACGCACGCTCGGCCTCTCCGTGGTGGCGCCTGCAAATATCAAACGATTCAGTTACTAACTTTGGTAAATTTTACCAGGAAGTTAAGCAGGTTTTGCAATTCATTAATATACCTGTTGATTTGTGACGTTCAGTCAATAAGCAAAATGAAAATGTTTTCGGATAACGGTTGAGGTGAGTAACTGTATTTCTAAAGCTATGTATTGACTCCTTCAACACTCTGAGAACTTCAGCAATATCCTATATTGCACTACAGAATGTCCCAAATAAAGGTTATTGTATCCATCGTGTGACAAAACAAAATCCTATATAGATTTTCCCCCGTTTCAATAGCTTAACATTTCGCTAGAATTTTGGTCGATTGAATGAATATATATAAAGAAAAAATAAAATTAATAAAAATCATAATGTTTGACGTTGCTGTCATGGTTACAAGAAGTAAATGTGAACATGTACATGTGAATTCGTCTATTTTTGCAATTAGTGTTGTAGTACGGGACTTCAGCCTGGAAATATTTGCAAGGTTTGTTACATACATACGAATACTGTTTCGTAGTGACCACATTTTTGTTATATAACAATACAAACTAAAAAAGAAATATCAAAATGTACTAACATGCTCTGTAAAGCGAAGCCCTCCCTTCTCATCTTGCTTGATCTCCATCAAAATTGTCATGAATCATTCACACTTTGTCACTGTTTTTCATTACGACACGACGTGCATATGACGCAGACTATTTAGATTTCAGAATATCGAGAGCAGCGCCACTTAAAAAAACAAAAACAAACAAATAAACAAAAAAGAAATGAAGTAGAATTGAAGCTTGTGTGAATGAAGTAAGTTTTACCTTGACAGCACGTCCACCTCAGGATAACAGCCCATGTTAATAAGTAGCAGGAAACCACATTAGGAATGGCAATAAACATTGCAAGTACTTAAAAATGTACTTTAAATGCTAAGATTATGTGTATATATATATATAACATCCAAAGTCATGACATGAAAATGGCGAACACCATGCTCTAACTCTGCGGGTTTTTATTTTTATTCCATGTGACCTTGTCTGGTTAGCCAGAGGTCAACAACAGCGTCACCAATCTTCCTCGGCATCAATGACAATAGAGTTCTCGATGGCTGACTTTGTCAATCTTAATAAGCTCGGTAAAAAGATTCCGTCAGATTTTCGATGACGATTAATACTTAAGGTGTGCACACCTGTGCTTGACCCCGAAAACAGAAAGGCTTGATGTCAGTCAGCTGGACTAAGTCATAGTACGGGCTAATAACTAGTCATTAATGGTACTTATACCATAGTTCAGTATTGATTTCGTTTTCCTTTTATCGTAGCTGTAGAAGATTTGAAATTCGACATAAACATTGGCCAAGTTTGAAACGTTTGACGATTTTTGTCATTAATGCAGCATATGAACTACAGAAGTCAAATCACAACTCGTAGCGTCTCGGCCTTTGGTAGATGTTTAGGATGTCAAAGCGCCATTATCACCACGACAAAATGGATAAATAACATTGCACAACGCTGCTCTTCGTGTGATGTCACGTATTTTGTGTTTTCCTAATCTAATTTTTCTCAAACATCTTTGCATGAACGTTGAAATCGGACACAGATATAAGAAAGCAACAGTGGTCTTGGTAAATACTGGCGAACTTGAGACAAGAACGTCGTCTAGTTTGACTTTTAGCGATGAGCAAATAGAAATACACCTAATATTCACTAAAAAGCAAAGCAAAGAAACAACCCTCCCCTCCCCCCACCCCCGCTAAAAAAAATCCCGCTTTTTAACCTTCTTAACAACAGTTTTTTTAATGAAACGCGGTACCAAAAAACAAAATTGACCTTAATCAGTCCTCAGGCTTCATTTAAATAAATAAGAAACATACTTCCCGCCAGCACGTGACGTGACGAATGGCATTTTCCCCAAATAATTTAATAACGGATAGAATAAAATCATAAATAATGCATTAATATACATCTTGCAGTTGTTTCGTTTCCCCTGGGACTTGTCAGTGATGCTAGGTTGCTTGGCAACATAAAGGATTCGGGGAAAAAAGCTAAATAAAAATCACAAGCCAACTGTTCATATTTGTTAATATTTGAATAAATCTGAAAAGACTATCTAAGTATGAGATATTACAGCTTGATTAACAGTTTTTTTCTACTTATTAAAAACCGATGGCCTCTAACCAGTCAATATTTGTCACTATCCCGATCCCTCTTGATCCAAGAAAAGCGGTTTACAGTTGATGTGTCTATATACAGCATTAGGAGACTATATACAGATCTATAGTCGTGTATGACTGGAAATCGAACAGATTTAACACTGTCATGTCTTATTTCTAAGGCGAAAAGGTAAAACAGGATCACTCCATGAATAACGCATGACTCTTGAAGGAGGAAGGCGTACCCCAATACGCTGAAAGGGAAAATTCGATGTTTTAGTCAATGAAAGAACAGGACCCAATACCACGTGTGCAAAAGAATGCTTAATATAATATGAACAGATTAGAACCAGGGTAACTACAGTGTGGAGAACATTCGAGTAATGTGTATTGAAATTCTAATCTTATTTCAGAACCTGCTCTAAATGTCGAAAATTGGCATGTTCTTAATTTGATATCCCAGTCGATTTAACATACGGCATAACTTCTTTCAGGCAATGGATGTGAGGGGGTTGGGTTTAGGTAGTACCAATATTGTATACCCGCCAATATACAATATACACGCATGATGACATTGTAGCTAAGGTGGTGCTTTTAAGATTGTTATCCTTTGAAAAAGTCTCCTTTCATTCTGATGAATGACTATATTAGATATTAGGACATATCGATTTGCACAGAGTATTACTGAAAGGAGGATGGGTTGAAGACGCGGGGTGGGTAGGGGATGCGGAGATCAGCAGGTTGCTCATTATCAATATTGCTCTACTTGATCGCGTCAGATTTAATCGGTTACATCATGTGGTAATAGGACCACACGGGTTCATCAAGTCTATATTTGGATAGAAGGTGTGTATCACAGCGTCACATGGTCCTTCTACGTGGTAAAAAACAGGTATATCACAGTGACACAAGGTCCCTTTGTGTGGTTTAGAATATGTCTGTCTCAGTGACACAAGGTCCCTTTGTGTGGTTTAGAATATGTCTGTCTCAGTGACACAAGGTCCCTTTGTGTGGTTTAGAATGTCTGTCTCAGTGACACAAGGTCCCTTTGTGTGGTTTAGAATATGTCTGTCTCAGTGACACAAGGTCCCTTTGTGTGGTTTAGAATGTCTGTCTCAGTGACACAAGGTCCCTTTGTGTGGTTTAGAATATGTCTGTCTCAGTGACACAAGGTCCCTTTGTGTGGTTTAGAATTTGTCTGTCTCAGTGACACAAGGTCCCTTTGTGTGGTTTAGAATATGTCTGTCTCAGTGACACAAGGTCCCTTTGTGTGGTTTAGAATATGTCTGTCTCAGTGACACAAGGTCCCTTTGTGTGGTTTAGAATATGTCTCTCAGTGACACAAGGTCCCTTTGTGTGGTTTAGAATATGTCTGTCTCAGTGACACAAGGTCCCTTTGTGTGGTTTAGAATATGTCTCTCAGTGACACAAGGTCCCTTTGTGTGGTTTAGAATATGTCTGTCTCAGTGACACAAGGTCCCTTGGTGTGGTTTAGAATATGTCTGTCTCAGTGACACAAGGTCCCTTTGTGTGGAATAGAATACTGGTATATTTTCTGTGGCACAAGGTCCCTTCTTGAGGTCAAGGTTGGGTCCATCTCATGGTCCCCTATCCTATTTCTGTGATAGAAGACTGTTGTTATATCAGTGTTTTTCAACAATTACAACCGTCAGAAATATGTACATCCTTGCAATTGTAAATATAAATTGTTGTTAAATCAGGAATTTTATCAAGACCATTTTACAGCTGTGTAGATAGTGTAAAAAATAAATTAATGGTTTAGTGTTTTTCAAGTATTTAAAAAAATAATAGATTCTCACAGTACTTGTTTAGATACAGTATTTTATTAATTATATATGTACAGCTATCATGTTAGAAGATTGACATGGGGGGGGGGGGGGGGGGGGGGGCAAGGCAATAATACTTTGAAAATCAGATGTCTAATAAAATCTACCGGCTTAATTGTGAAAATGGAAAATTTATTCAAGTCAAAATTTCAATTTTTAATGAAACTTGCAAAAATATTTATCCACAAAAATAAGTGGCTATACAGTATAACCGATATATGTATTTAAGGAGAATAATACCTGCATGATGTCAGTCCATCAATAGCAAATCATACTTCATAAATTACCGAAATTTAGTGTAACTTATTTGCGAGCTAATTTGGAAGGAAACTGAAGACAAAATATATCAAAGAAGAACAAAATTCTATATTTATATAAATTTTATTTCATATACATCAATCACATCATAATTAAACACAGTAAAACACATGTAAAGTCTGCTATAAATGTTTTCCTAATGGGCTCATATGAATGATTTTCATCACGAAAACATACCAGTTAACCTTGGAGACATCTGGATGCCAGACTGCCTGTGCTACACCAATACTATACTAGTTTAGTAATCCACTTTACAATGGCCAAGATATTAAAAACCTCCACTTGCAGCCTTTTGGACACGCTGCTGAAACCTTTGTTCTATGAGCTTGGCAACATCAACGTATCGTTCTACACAGTTACACATACATGACTCAGTACGACTGTCCAACTTGTCACGAGGCTTATCCACACAAGTGTCCCAACACAAATTGTTTAGTTTATGGATCTGCTGCTGTATTTTTGCTTTGCCAGCCTCTGCCTCTATAAATGCTTGCATTTCAGGATCCACTGCATTCTGGCCTCCTGCTCCAGCCCCGGGACCAGAAGAATTGAAACTCATCCCTGTCTTTTCTTGAAAACGTCGGACGTTCACTCCAATTGATCTAGGATAGCAATACAATGATATTAATGTTTGATACATGCATCTATTCATTGACATGTCTTTGAAAACAAATGGAAATATCAATATGTTAACAGAATCATATTCCGAACACAAAATTGATGAAAATAGGACAAAAATATTAGCAGAAGAAAAATCTAAATGGAGACTCCTGAATAAGTGCAAGGAATTCTAAAATCAGGTGTTCAGGAAGAGTAAGCATAGATTAATGATGAAATTAAAAATTTTTTACTGTGCTATGCCATATTACAATATCTATGATATTTTATGTACATTTTGGTTCATGCTCCCCAATCTTGTCCTGAGTATATTGGTAAATGGATATTTCTGAACCTAGAATTATCCACTTTAGCCAATTCATTCTAGCCTTTTCTGGCATGTGACAAAAAATTCTAAGTCCTAGAATGGTTCTTATAATAAATTCTGAGGAACTTTTAGAAGCAATTTGTAAAGAAAAAACAAGACCTTTTGGATGGTACCCAATGCTTATTCTAAACACGATCAGTGTTCACTGGAAGACTAAGATGTCCGACTCATGATCGGTTTATCCCAACCTTAGCCTTGTAATTGCCAGGTAGTTAACTGGTGCAAAATGTGTCCTCCTTGAGAACCAAGAGGTTACTACAGTAGTTTGCACCTTTGAGCGAGTATGAGACGGGACTCTTTTCAAATCTCCTTTCTAATTGTCATTGGTAGAGATATATGTCATTTACGTGTTATACATCTCTGTCATTACTCGGGTGCCCTTAATTATAATCTCTTTCTGGATTCCAAAGAGGAAGCCCAAAAGAGTATATAAATTAATGGTGACCATTCTTGAACGTTGTTGAAGAGAAATTGCATCATATCACTAACACTAGTACAGGAATCGGACCTTCTATTTGTGAAATATAGTTGTTGACTTATTTTCACGTTTGATCCATGATATTTAAGTAGTATAACAGCTATGAAATATTTCACATACAGCACGTCGACTCCTGTGGTAAGAGTAAACTTTTGTAGGCATATTTATATAATATACCATGACCATGTTAACCTTCATTTCATCAGTTTGTTGTCAATTTGTGGTAGTCGTCATATTCAGTTGATATAGAACACGGACATTCACCGCAGTATGACATTAATACTTACGATGTAAAAATAAGTCCAGAATCACATGAGAATTGTGAACTTAAACACAAGTTTGAACCGGCGTTGCAGATCTGAACCTCGTGTGTGTGTGTAGGTCTTTCACCGGAAATCAATATGTGTGCGTGCGCACTGTAACCTTTGAACTTAAACGTAAACATAATCAAAGGTCAACCACGTGGTGTTAGGTTCTCTTGGAACAAGAGGTCGTCAAGAAGGATGCGTCCCATGAAAAAGTCTCACGATAAATGAACATTTCAGAATAATGATGTAGCAGATTATTCCACTGAAGCATGCCAGTAGAAAAACTTTCTTTCGCGGAAGCGAAACGAAAGGCAAATGAAAGGATCGCAGAGTGGGTATCAGAGACGAAGGCTGCGGGAATTGTACGTCTGCAGGATAGATATGGGGACGTTTTCAAGAAGATGGACTGGCGCGCGGAACAGAGTCCGACGCCGAAAATGGGAACAAAACTTAAACCCATGACGATGCCTGTAAAATATGGTATTTATTCTACCACAGTACATACCCATCTTAAATTTTACATGGCGGTTTACATGGCGGGTGTCGTCGATGATAAAACATTTTCTATCTGTGAAAAATAATCTTTAGTAGAATAAAGAGCCTTGAATAACCAGAGACATATATACTACATGTGTTATGTCTCTGGAATAACCGACTGATAAGATTTAGTTTTATACCAAAGCAGAATTCAACCCTAAAGCCACATGATACTAATTACTACAACGTGTAATTGTATGTAATAGTTGTCTGCAAGTGTGATAATATCCTCATACGATGGAAGAATGATACTATACATATTAAAAACAAACAAACGAACAAAACATCAATTGCTAGAAACAAATCCAAACAATACTTGTTATTCATGAAAAAATGAGACAAATGATTGAAAAAACATATTTCTTTTTTCCACAAAAAGATATGCAACTATATATATATTGTTTTTCTGTTTTTTTAATTACTTTATTATTTTATCTTTATAGCTTTCAAAAAATCATCACTGAAGTCAAATTAAATGCTAGAAATTATGGGCATCTGAGTTTCATCCATCTTTAAGAAGAGAGTTTGAATGAGGAAGTTTAACATGAATCATGTTTTTATGTCCGACGCATACTCATGATTGAGCTATGAAAGTAGGGATATATTTCACTTTGTCTGATACTTCATATCAGCTAGAACATTTACTGTTACTAGCATGTGTGTTTATGGATATTTAGGTATTGTAAATTGTATGGCAGATAATAAAGAGTTCAAAGGTTATTGGCTATAAAACTGTTTTTAAAACATGTAGTAACTACAATAAGTTTTGAGTTTCATTGGCATTGATTCAAAATACAGTTATGCTCCTGACACGAAATTTTAACAATGAGTAACAACTCAGTTATTAAAGGGTTCAGAGCCCAGACGTTAGTTAATTGCACATTTCATTACGACTGATGTATACACCAAGTTTCATTATCCTAATTTAAATGTAAGCAATGTCATACAGACACTAAATTTTAACAAAGGGCAATAACTCTGTAAATAAAATGCTGTTGGCTGTAAATCTAGTACACAACACATCATCCTGGTGAAACTGATGAACATACTCAAGTTTCATGACTCTTGCTTAACTATGGAGCAAAAGAAATGAAGTTCAAACTATGGTGGATATCAAGATCCCTCTGGGATCTCTTGATAGAATCGTGTTGACATAAAATTCTTAAAAATTGCAGGAAAGTTGGTGAATATTTCACATAAGTATCTTGCAACCCCTCCCCCTAAAAATAAAACACAACAAAAATGTGTAGTTTAAGGATTTTTAGATTTTCAACTGTTTATATTTTATGCCATGTTTTATTTCAAATTCCACTTTCAAAAAGTAAACTCAATTGGTTATTTTGGTAATGTAATCACTTATATTACAGGAACAGGTTGCAAGATGAAAGAAGTGGTTCAGCCTACGCCTGAAATTCCTCCAAGCAGAATGGGCAGGCGCTCTCACAATCAAAGTAGGTGTAAAAGTAGAACAAAGAGTCGACAAACACCTGAAAGATGTCAGAGTAGCCGGCTGACATCGGAGAAGCAATCCGAGTCCAGGAAGCGGTACCGAGATAGTGCTTCTCTCATCTATGGTGATAACAGAAATAACATAAGTTCACGGATGGCCAGTGCATGTAGCGATGCCATGTCACTCATATTGGACGGCCTTCCAAGTGATTCATGTGATCAGAAAACTCAAATCAACACAGAATTCAATGAAAAAATAAAAGCAGAAATCAACTTTTTGAGTCTGAAACGCCCTACCTTCAACAGTAAAGCCAAAAGAGGATACAACTACCAATATAAGCCTGTACGCAAAGGTACAAAGAGTCCAGCATTTTGTGGGAAAAAAACTCAACCGCAGAAAAAGCGAATGAGTATTTTCCCAGCAAATTTTCAAAAGAGGAGGAGAACAATAAGATATGTGGAAAATGAAATTCCTTGTTGTGAAATAGATGAATGTGATGAAGTGATCTCTACAGATACGAGTAGTGGGACGTCTGTAATGGTGGGATCAGAAGCTATTCAGAACTCACCTTTGAGGACATCTGCCACACCTCCCAAAATCATCAATGCAAAACTGATGCCATCGTCTGCCAGGCGTAACAGTAATAGACCATTTACCCGTGCATCCAGTAGGAGATTTGAGAGGTCGAAAACTGGTTTGGCCCTCACAGTGATTACTGGTGTCAACCGTGTGGTAAGATTCATACAGAAAATCTCATAAATTCATCCAAATCATAATATGCCTCCGAATAATTGAATGACACAATGGTGAACAAGTTTATCAATAGGGACATTCTGAATATATGCATTCATTTTGTTTTTGCTGTATTATGAAAGATTTCCATCTAAAAGAAAATGAAATATTTCACACTATCCCAAATAAAAATATTAATATTATCTATCATATATTTCTATTAATGGTGTTTTTGGTTCAGATTAGTACCTCTGTTGTACAGCTGAGATACCAGATTTCATCTACATTGGTATTGCTGCTACCAGAAGAGTATATTTATTACAATCTATCTACTGGTTTCGTCCGAACATGTGGACTTCTTCAGGACTTCTGGTACCCAGGACTTGTTGCGATTGAATATTACCCTTTAGTTACCACTATTTCTCAATTGCCCTGTATACCTGGAGGTATCCAAGCTAGGGACCAAGGAACCTACAAGCACTATGAAAAGAACAGCGTTGGCTCTATACCCCTACGGATGTTAAACCTCTTTATCTAGAGCCCCTGCATCTCTAGCGGATCTGCCGGAGGAACCACCGAGTCCGCCATTTGGACCGTCTTTGCACTTATGAACATGAATGATAAGTCTGATGATTTCCGGTTTCAATTTCCAAATGTAAACAACCGTGAAGAAACTAATAATCAAGAACATAAACGGGTCCTGAAGAAGTCCACTTGTTCGGGCGAAACCGGTAGACAGATTGTAATAAATATACTCTTCTGGTACCCTGGACTTGTTGCGATTGAATATCACCCTTTTATGTATTCTTTTATTTATTATTATGTATTGTTATATTGTTATGTATTGATATTTATGTTACTTATTGTTACATATTCTTCGACTTCATTTTCTTAGAAATCCTCCAGCCTGTCCAGAAGACATTTATTGACAAAATCTGCATTCAGGAGGTCTGCTTACAATACCGATATCAGTAAAGACTCGACTCCAGACAGCAAAAAAAGGGGGGTAAGCTATAACATGAGAAAGGTTTCTTTAGGGTGACACATGTACTTTTAACCCAAGCAAAGATGTTGCATAGATTTTGATACGTAGTTTGTGGTTGGCAAACATCATCCAGAGACTACATAATTCATCTAGAGCCAATGTAACTCATCCAGAGACTATATAAGTCATCTAGAGACAATGTAACTCATCCAGAGACTATATAAATCCTCTAGAGACAATGTGACTCCTCTAGAGACTATATGTCATCTAGAGACAATGTAACTCATCCAGAGACAATATAAGTCATCTAGAGACAATGTAACTCCTCTAGAGATAATATATATCACCTAGAGACAATGTAACTCATCCAGAGACAATATAAGTCATCTAGAGACAATGTAACTCATCCAGAGACTATATATGTCAACTAGAAACAATGTAACTCCTCTAGAGACTATATATGTCATCTAGAGACAATGTAACTCCTCTAGAGATAATATATATCACCTAGAGACAATGTAACTCATCCAGAGACAATATAAGTCATCTAGAGACAATGTAACTCATCCAGAGACTATATATGTCAACTAGAAACAATGTAACTCCTCTAGAGACTATATAAGTCATCTAGAGACAATGTCACTCATCCAAAGACTACATATGTCACCTAGAGACAATGTAACTCATCCAAAGACTATAAGTCATCTAGAGACAATGTAACTCATCCAGAGACTATATAAGTCATCTAGAGACAATGTAACTCATCCAGAGACTATAAGTCATCTAGAGACAATGTAACTCATCCAGAGACTATATAAGTCATCTAGAGACAATGTAACTCATCCAGAGACTATATAAGTCATCTAGAGACAATGTAACTCATCCAGAGACTATAAGTCATCTAGATACAATGTAACTCATCCAGAGACTATGTAAGTCATCTAGAGACAATGTAACTCATCCAGAGACAATATAAGTCATCTAGAGACAATGTAACTCATCCAAAGACTATATAAGTCATCTAGAGACAATGTAACTCACCCAGAGACTATATATGTCACCTAGAGACAATGTAACTCCTCTAGAGACTATATGTCATCTAGAGACAATGTAACTCATCCAGAGGATGTATAAGTCATCTAGAGACAATGTAACTCACCCAGAGACAATATAAGTCATCTAGAGACAATGTCACTCATCCAGAGACAATATAAGTCATCTAGAGAGAATGTAACTCCTCTAGAGACTATATGTCATCTAGTGAGAATGTAACTCACCCAGAGACAATATAAGCCATCTAGAGACAATGTCACTCATCCAGAGGCTATGTAAGTCATCTAGAGACAATGTAACTCATCCAGAGACTATATAAGTAATCTAGATACAATGTAACTCATCCAGAGACTACATAATTCATCTAAGGACAATTTAACTCACCCAGAGAATAGGACATTTTAACTCACCCAGAGACTATATAACTTAACTGAAGACTATATGTCTCATCCAGAGACTATGTAATGTAAGTGTAAATATTCAGCTGTCGTCCGCAATTTTTTGACTTCAAGCCTATTAGTTATTCAGATGTACTTAAAGGTTTTTAACACATTTTACCCTTGTCACCTTGAAAGTACGACAAGATTTGAACAAACTTAATTGCTCTTCATTCATCAATTATGTCACTGGCTATTACTGATATGGTCAGGGACCTCTTGATCATTTGGAGAATCATTAAAAGATTTTGACATATGTGAACCTTGCAACCTTCAAAATGGGCCAAGCCCTTTATCCTAACATACTAGTATCATCATAGCCCTGAAACTGTTCATTTTTTCTGTTGAAAATTTTAATGTAAGAAGGTTAAAGTACAATTCATTTTTAAAAAAACTTGAAAACCCTTCATCTCATCATGGTATCAGCCAAATGGCATGACCTTCAGTTACTTAGCTATTCTAAAGAAATTCTTTAAAGGAAAATGTAGAGACTGGTGGACAGACTCACTACAACATATGATCACAGGCTCTTCAGCTTGGGGAAAAGTAATTATACAGGAACACCAGGCCCCGGTTGTTCAAAGACTGGACAGAGATGACCAATGGTTGGGGAAAATTTTCAAATACAACTTTAACAAAACTGGAAACATTCTTTATCATTTCATAGCTGTAATTTTGTTGTAAAAGGCCGGAATGGAATATTTGAAGTAATAATTTTGCCTTTAATGCCTTTGTTTTTCCAACAGCGACAATTTGAATTTTTCACTAACCACTGGTTAACTGTAACTAGCCTTTCAGCAACTTTGGCCAGGTGGTTATAAGCTACTAGATATTAACATTTTAAAGATGGTTTTCCTACATAGATGTAAATAATATGAAAAACACTGTAAATGCTATCATTTATTATATATACATATATTTAAAGAATATTGAGTTTGTGAAAAGCTACATTATCAATGTTTTTTTTTTCATTCCTCAACAATGAAATAATGTTAACAGAAAATTGCGTTGAGACGTTTCCGGGTCGTTGTACGAATGATCATGTGTGTGATGCTGATTCTGAGATCTACGGTGAAAACAGTAAAGAAAAATCTTCACAAGGAAGTCAGTCGCAAGAAAAAGAAAACGAAAGGTTTCATGGCTTTTGACCCTTCGTACTACAGTTCTGCTACTACTACATATGGTTACTTGTCAGAGAATTCCAGGATTGCGCTTCAGAAGGTGCCACTGATACGGACACAGGCAGACATCAGAGTTCTAACAGTTAGTATTGAGTATATTGTCTATAAACATTCAAATTTTGTCAATCAGAATCAGTCCTTGTAGAGGCTGTCCTGATCAGCATTTTACTGATAATTTACTAGGTAAGATAATATTTACAGAACACATGTAATGCATTTGTTTATTTCTCTTTGTATTGGACATCAATGTAGACAAAACATATTGATCTGTCGCAGATTGCTTATTTAACTACGGTAGCATGAAGACAATGGTCTCTGTAATATAAAGGTTAATTCATGTTTATGTGCTCATAGCAGTATAGAAACATTTGAAGATTATCTTCCTTGTATGAGTGTAAATAGGTCAGAATTAGTACAGGTGTGCATGTTAATACCTTGAAATCCCAATCCCGTTTCATTACATTCTTCCCTTCTTCATCATTTGATTTCTTGGTCTGAAATCTAAGTAAAATGGAAACCATAGTTAATTATCATTCATTAATATTTCCTTGGCGAGCCCCATCCTTCAAGTCACTTCTTCTTTTTTCATTAATTTTTTTATTCTTTGGTCATGAAGATTCATCAAAACAAAGATAATTTTAATGTAAATCTTCTCTCTGCTTGTTTAAACTATTCCTATATTTTTTTTATATGCTGTATATGTAATTGCTTATTTTCCTTCTCTATCATATTGTGTTGTCTAAACGGAACCATGAGTTTGTGACGTCATGGCATTTTCAAATAAGTTTATGTGAACCATGACTGGCAAAATATGTCTGAAAGTTTTCTTGTTGAAACAGTAAAATTTGTTCATGAAATTTCAAGATTTGAATATATTTAACAAAAACGTGTGAAAAATGTCACAATTTGTTTACCACAACCTTATATTATCAATGAAATATCTTAATAAAGAAAGTGATTGTTATCAATCCAGTAAGGTTTTATAGGAAAAGATTGAAAGATAACAGACTGGTGTCAGATATTACAGCATGGTTAATGTATAATAGTTCTTTGGAACAGGTTATTAAAGAAACCTAAATAGACACACACAAAAATGATTTGACATAGACTTCCCGGTATGGTTTATTTACAGGAGGTGATGTGTCGTCTACCCCTGTTTGCTAAATACTCCAGGAAGGTGAAGGAGGAGCTAGCGAGATTTGTTTGGTATGATATGTATGAGGCAGGACGCATTATCATCCGTCAGGGTGACGTGGGGTCCCGTATGTACTTCCTGGTGTCAGGCACAGTATCCATCCATCGCACGGAGGAGGATTCTAAGACAGGTGCGAATCTGTGACAAAACATATACCTGTGTCAAAAAAAACCTTTCAGGCTCTAGAAAGCTTTATCTAACAAGGACTGAATTGTACACACCATACACAATGATAGGAGTATTCAACTTCACACAAGCAAAGTGTCTGGAGTAAAAACATTCAGGAGTACAAAAATATAAAGATTGATGAGGTTCAATTATACAAACAAACTAAAATGTCAAGGTTTACAAAGTTCAAATTGACTACAAATTCCAGGCTCTGGTTGCTTAAAGGATATTTGATGTTAACCAGCAGTCAGTGCACAGTTCAAACTGCTGTCACTGAAAAAGAAAGGACATTAAATGCAAATTTAACAAATATATCAATATGACTGGCCTCAGCAAATCTACAACTGTTCAATGATAAAGAATGTTCTGCATTTTGTTTGATCCCTATTTGAAAAAATTCATTAACCATTGGTGATTTCTAACCAACTTTTCAACAAGCAGGGCCAGATCAAAAAGGTTTCACTGTAAACTCACTGCTTAGTCCAGATTAAAAAGATTCCATGGGCAAATTTACCACATAGTCCAGGTTAACAAGTCTTGACTGAACATTCAACAGAAAGTATCCAGACTCCACAGTACAAACACAATATAAAGTATCCAGACAAGCAAGGCTGCATTGTACACTCAATAAAAAAATATCCAGACAATCAAGACTGAACTGTACACACAAATATAAAGTATACAGACTAACAAGGCTGAACTGTACACACAAATATAAATTATACAGACTATCAAACCTGAACTGTACACAAATATAAATTATACAGACTAACAAGGCTGAACTGTACACACAAATATAAATTCTACAGACTAACAAGGCTGAACTGTACACACAAATATAAATTATACAGACTAACAAGGCTGAACTGTACACACAAATATAAAGTATACAGACTAACAAGGCTGAACTGTACACACAAATATAAAGTATACAGACTAACAAGGCTGAACTGTACACAAATATAAATTATACAGACTAACAAGGCTCGATTTGACTGAAATGCTGTCTGTTTAAACAAAGTGTCCAGACTTACAGTCTCAGCTGTCAACATGTACACACATTCTGTGTGTGACCTCATCACCAAATGATATACATTGTAACAGTATTTTAATTATATAACAGGTGTGAAGGTTATACAACACCTGAGAGACATAGAGATGGGCGCTACCTTTGGAGAACTGGCCCTGATCCGCAATATCTCCAGGACTTATACTGCTGTCTGTAAAGGTAAACACATTGTACATACACATTTGAAAATAAACAAACCAGACAAAATTACCTTTGAAGGTACTGTGTATCTGTAAATTTGATGTTAAGCATAACAAGAAATCCTTCCCCTCCCTACCCTACCCCACCCAACCAACTTCTGTATAACACTGAAACAAAGGAGCATAACTCTGTATATGGTCAGACACGTGACAAACTTCTGTCAAAGTAAAGAAGAGAGGGTCATCATTTTTTTTATTAAGTTGGACAGTTTCCTACTTCCAAACAAACTTCCCTTATAGATTAAACTAAAGGTCGACTAGAGGTTAAGATTTATAAGTGTTCAAAGTTGCCCGTCAAGTAAAAATCTGGACGTAAGCTCCTCCTTTTTAATTTAAGCAATTATATTAAGAAAGACAATGACAGATTTCAGTCTGTAAGGAAGAAAAGAAGTGATTTTATGGCTGAGGTTGCAGCCTTTTGTTTTCATTCCTTTATCTCCAGTGGACTCTGAGTTCCTGAGCGTCGACAAGGAACAGTTTAACAAAGTATTACGACAAAACTGGGAGGAGAGCTGGCAGAACCGATACAACTTTCTGACATCTTCGTCGTATTTCAACGAGTGGACTAAAGATCAGCTGCGTCAAACAGCTGATGTTGCCCTCATTCAGGAGTTCAACAGTAATAAGGTACATTCCTTATATAACAAAGAACATTCATTCTGTAACAAGGTGCATTTACTCTCTAACCAGGTACATCCATTATCTAACAATGTACATTTACTCTCTAAACAGGTACATTTACTCTGTAACAAGGTACATTTACTCTCTAAACAGGTAAAAATATCTTTTATCATGACCAGGAGGCCAACAAATTAATCCCAAACACACAAGTCAGACACAGGCTTATTGGTTTGTCAATGAAAATAACCAAGATGATAAACCGTTTTTCATTTCTCATTTACATATTAAGTAAATTTAGTAATCTGAAATACCTGGTAATGTCAGTGACCCCAACACATCATGAAAATAAACATTTTTGATATATCACCAGTAAACCTGCACCAATTAATCATTTAATTTTATTGTAGTTGGTATTTGGCAATGAAAATAAACTTACAAACTGGGTCTACTTTATCCTGAGAGGAAGATGTCAGGTGGTACAGAAACTCAGCATGGTACGCAGCAAATCTCCGTACCAGAGGTCTTGTCTTACACTCCCTGGCACGCAGAAGGCAGAGGAAACTCTGAAGACCTTCTTGGACAAACCTTACGGAAAGAAGCAGCGTCAACTCGCACTTGATACTCACTACCTCACCATCACATCCCTTCAAAAGGGGGACTACTTTGGTGTAGGTAAGTTTGGAAGTTAATGTATGTGTTGGCATCACTAAACAAAACCTAGAAGAATTTGACAAGTATTATACCAGTTCATAAATATTGGCAGATATTGCATGATGAATAGACAGCATTGTGGCCAACCATGTATTATATATTGTCTAATATCTGATCAAATCCATCAAAATCAAGGTGGGCAGGGCATGTCCGGTGTGACATCAAGAAAAAACCTTTCAATTAATTAATTTGTAGAATAGTTATCAAATTTGTAAGTATTTAGATGATATTCTAAGTTATGTTTTAGTATTATCTTGACCAAATTAGATCAAATTTTTTCAAAAACTGAATAAAAGCAAGGAAATAACAGGTAATTTTAGCATTTTCCAAGATCCAAATTGGGATAACCTGGTAAAATTAGGTGAGTTGGCAACACTGAAATGTTCATCAATGACAACACTAAAGCTGTTTAGCCATATTTCATGCCAATCATGCCCATACATATTACCTTTTTTTGGAAGTCCATTTTTACAATACTGTATAGGGGCTACAATAGCATCAGACTATTGCCACTACAGATGAAAATCTGAGGTAGGTGGTGTTCTCTGGAAGACATTGTCCTATACTGTCATAATTATCTCCTTAGACAAGGCACTTTATACTAGTCAATTTGTACAGCAGGTGGTGGGCCTTATGCATCATATTCAGTTAGGAAGTCACCAGCTAGTCTCAATCTCAAAATGACTCTGTCAAGGGCAATAAACCAAGCAAACAAACAATGCTGCCTTTTAAATACTGACCTTGATCTGTTGGTTGATCAATTTAGATTATACACTAGATACAAAAGTGTTTTCAAGTTTGTTGCCACTCACAATTAACCTACTAAAAACCTACTGGTTTCCTCCTGCAGATATTTCTTGTTTTCATAAACTATGACTTCAGTTAGTTCTTAATTTTTGTTTTTCTTCATATATGTAAATGTTAATCTTTATATGAATTACATTTTAGTTCAGTATGTGAAACACAAATGTCAGAAAAAAATTCTTTAATTCCAATCCAAGGTTTGTGTTATTAACAAGTTTCTTTCCTAATCTGTAGGTGAAAACATGAAAAATTGTTACATAGTGACCACAACAAGAGCAGATATCTTGTTGATAAATGCAGCCAGTTATAGTATCCATTCAAAACGGGATGAGTTGGAAAAACTCAGAGCAAAGAGGGATAAACTATTGCCAACACTAAAGGAACTGCATCGACAATTTGAAGTGAATCGGCGATGGTGGGAATACAAACGAGATGTTGTAGCGGAGGTTGTACAGCGAAGATCTATACCCAACAATACCAGCATTAGAGACATTCCCAGGACCATTAGAGAGAATGAAGGTATTCCAGCATGCTTGGCCAGGAATACCAAGTATTAATAGTACTCAGCAATTGTAGGTCGATTGATAGAAAAAAAAAAGAAGTAAAATTTTCAGCACAAATAAACTCAGCTGGATAACAAGAAAATCATATTTTGTCATTGTTTTTTTCTCCAAAAAAACGTAAAGGACATGAAGATGAATTTATGACATTTGTTTATACGTCTTTTCATATCCTACAGTCCAAACTTTTGATATCTGATGAAATATACGACAGTTGTTTTGGACATTGAATCCCAGCTGAAATTAGCAATTCCTAATCAGAGTACTTAGATTACTAAAAGGCTAACATATTGATTATATATATATTTGTAACTGTGAGATGTAAGATATAACCCATCACATACAAAACAACCAAACACTTTTATCAATGATGTTTATCAGTGGTCAAATTTGAAAGTTTGAACATCTTTCTGTCAAATCAGTGAGATTTGTGAAAAATGCATAATTCATGGAAACAATTTAAAGTTCAAATCAAGAGATGGCCACTGGCATTGGTATTGGATATTGAACCTAGAACAAATCTTTACAACAAAATATAAATGATTTATTTTGCTGCCATAAAAACCTGAGTCAATTTCATCCAAAATCAGGATTAAGTGTTTAACAATGTGATAGCAACCATTATGACTGGAAATTACCATTCAGTTTAGACAGAGGTCTGTGAGGAACATTGAAAAAATGGTTGTTTAAATATGACTATCTTTTGAAACACATACATTTTCGACTGTTGAGAAATGACAGGATTATTTTTAATCTCTTTCACAAAATATAACAACGGAGTAGCCATGTATGTTTGTGTATTGGTGGAAGTTAGCATGGACATATTAGTAAGAATAGATGTATATAATTGCATAATTTTATGTGTTTCTCCATATTTTCCTCCTCCAGAGAATCCTCTGCAAATCAGAGCAATGCTAGTTCCTAACTGATGCAAATCTATCTGAATATTTTCTTTAACACCTGGGCCTGTATTCATGAAACCATTCTCATGCTCAAGCATATATTTTGTGCTCAGGCAAACTTTTTTATAATTCCCCTAAGTCATACAAAATAATACAAATGTCAAATATAAACATTGAATATAGCTTTGACTCAGGCCCAGGTCTTTCAACTTTAGTAAGTTTTTAGTATGATACGAAATTGTCTCATAGCAACAGTATGCATGCATGACACGGTTTTGAAAGATGGCGGCATTGTTTTACAGCATATGATTGCCACTAGAGGTCACTGATAAATCATTGAAATAATTCCATCAATCAGAAACCTAGGATTGGTAGTAACAGCTAATTCCAAAGGCTGTGACAATAGGCTAAAATGGTAACCGTGTTTAGCCTAAAAATGAGACCCAGAAAGGAAGCAGTAATCACTAATGAAGTCTGGTGGTCAAAATTTGTGAACTTTCTGCAGCATTATCCATTGTCAAGACATGAATAAGTACAAAATTAGCTTGCTGTTACTTTGATGAAACTATTTCCCAGGTTTGAATGTGAAGCACTGTAGTGATGCTATAATAGAATCTGTAACCAAGCTAAATACAAAACTTAAAAAATTAACAAAGTCCAGATTTTTACAAATGCAGCAGAGAAATTACGTGAATTTAAATTCAAATTCTAAAAAAGTTCATTTCACAATGAACATAACTTTTTTGACCAAGATATTTAGAAACAATATTTCTCAATAAACACAAAGAATTGAATTCCAAAGTGAAATTTTATTCATCAATTTATTTCATAAATTTCAAATGCTTAGTATTAGACAATCGTCCCTTTGTGGACTCTTATCCATTAAATTTCTTCACGATTTTTAGACTTTTTATTAAATGCGGTTTGTAAATGTCAATAAAACACCAAATGTATCTTAAAAGCTGGAAATTTAAATGATGAGCATTTAAAATTGTCCTTCTATGGACATCATATAATGCTCCTCAGCTCAGGAAGGACCATGTTTATATCTACATGTAATTTTTTTATCTAGAGTGATACATCCTTTTCGTTACAAAAATCTTAAAAGAATTCTGGACTGGAAGTCTTAAATGGACACTCCCAAAAATCTCAAATAGCGTTACAAGTAGCTTTCTAATGTCCATTGTAATCATTTTAGTTTTCTGATCAATCCCAAAAATAATTGGTAGAACTCTGGACCATGGGAAACCACCATATCATTTTTGAGAGAGATCCATCCTGTGCTTTTCAAGAAATAGTGATAACAAACTTTCATCGTTGAAATACAAGATGGTGCCCGAATGACCAATCTTTTTCTGATCAGTCCAAAAGGAACTTGAATATGAAAGTTGAGAAAGATCCATCTAGTATTTCACATGGAATAATGATAACAAACTTTCATTGTAACAAGAGGCCTAACAGCACTTACAATCTTCTGAGGTAAGCAATATTACAGATCTGAGATCATTGAGTAAGTAGCTTTCAAGTGTCATGAAAAATGAGTTGCAACATTAATGACAGTGATTTGTTTTAAGCACTTTAGGGTCAACCAGTGTCAATAAATGCAGACCATCAAAACTATCAGCCTACGATTTTAAGTCTTACCAAGTAATTACCTATGAAAAAATAACAACTATTCTAAAGAGGCCCAATGGGCCTGAATTGATACCTGATATTCAATGTCCATCAAAAATAGAATCCGCTTTCATCATAAATACATTAACATGTACACCATTGGCATTCAAAGTGGGCACATCCAATAAAATTAAACCCATTTCCACAACAAACAGCTTCTTATAGTCAATTCTAAACAGTGGCAGTTATGACCTGAATTAAAGGTAAATATTTCTTTCTTTTTTTTTTTTTTTAATTTGTTCGGCTTTGATCTAGAAATGCCTTTCTATCAAATATCCTGCTTCTCCAACTTTTGGTTTACCAAAAGTCTTTAACAGAATTTGATATTTTGATCCGATGACCTTCAATATAGTCCCGTTCCAGTAGACTCAGACCCATCTTTTACACAAAACTGATTTTTTTCCACCTGAGGATGCTTCAAACCAAATCACTGGTTGTGATTCTTAGGAAAAAGATAATGAGCGATGGAGGAAAGACCCTAAAATCTCACACAAATTAATGACTTTACAGAATTTCATCATAATAATAACATCCCCCCTCCACACACACACACCCTCACACATACCCTCCCTCACACACACGCACACACATTTCAATTAAAATAAAACAATTCATGTTGTTTATAAATGTTTTATTAGAGTGACCACTTGACTTTTCTTGCTCGTTGGTTTTTGATATACTCTTGCATTTTTTGATAACCTGTCTTTTCTGGTTCATAGTAATGTTTGGGTGGTTTTCCTTCTGACAGGCGTACATAATAGTTGCACATACGTGGTCTATGAATCTTACTTCCAGCGTAACGCAACACTCCCTCTCCTACATTTACAAAGGATTCCTCTGAAAAAGTAAAAAAAAAATATATATATGTAAAACGAACGAGTGCAACATTTACGGTTTGTTACAACATAAGGTACATCGTTAATGTTAACCATCTCTTCAGATAGTATCCTGTACTTAGGATACTACAGGCATTTGGATACCAGTGAGATTTTGTAACCAAAAGTCAAAAGGTTTGTGACAAACCTCAAGAAATGTAGATTTTGCTATCAACTGTCATCTTCAAGGCAACAGGTAGAGTCAACTTGGACAATTTGAATTACATTACGGCATGACATAGACCAACACTGACATGGCCAATCAGATTCTAGGACAAAGAAGCGTTATCAAATTCTAGATTAGGTGGTTTAATGTACAAATCAACTTATATCTTTCATTTAGCATTGCTTTTAGAATATTGATTCAGCAGTTGAAAAACATTTGATAATTTAAACATCTACCCAGTCACAAAATCTGACCAGGAGCACTGTACAGTATCTATGTAGTCACAAGATCTGACAAGGAACACCATACAGTATCTATGTAGTTACCAAATCTGACAAGGAACACCATACAGTATCTATATAGTCACAAGATCTGACAAGGAACACCATACAGTATCTATATAGTCACAAGATCTGACCAGGAACACCATACAGTATCTATGTAGTCACAAGATCTGACAAGGAACACCATACAGTATCTATGTAGTTACCAAATCTGACAAGGAACACCATACAGTATCTATATAGTCACAAGATCTGACAAGGAACACCGCACAGTATCTATGTAGTCACAATATCTGACAAGGAACACCGCACAGTATCTATGTAGTCACAATATCTGACAAGGAACACTGTACAGTATCTATGTAGTCACAAGATCTGACAAAGAACACCATACAGTATCTATGTAGTCACAAGATCTGACAAGGAACACCGTACAGTATCTATATAGTCACAAGATCTGACCAGGAACACCATACAGTATCTATGTAGTCACAAGGTCTGACCAGGAACACCGTACAGTATCTATGTAGTCACAAGATCTGACCAGGAACACCGTACAGTATCTATGTAGTCATAAGATCTGACCAGGAACACCATACAGTATCTATGTAGTCACAAGATCTGACAAGGAACACCAAACTGTATCTACCCGGTGAGAAGATCTGACAAGGAACACCATACAATATCTTAACGCAAAAACATTTGATGCAACTCTGTTCCGTTACCTACAAGTATTTATCAATTGAATGGATTTGATAAGGAATATAAAACAGGTACATTTACTTACCAATCCATAGATTAGATTTGAACTCTACATTATGGTCTTCAACAGCCATTTGCTGTGCTTCTTTCAGTACCTGGAAAAAAACAATTTAGTTTGAAAAAGCATTATATGTGTACTATAAAACTTAACACTGCATTTTAACATGTAGTTGATGACAAATAATAATTGTTTCATCCCCATCAATCTTAGAGACCACCTGACAAAACACGATTTTGCTGAGTTGATCTCACCTCCAGTACTATATGTGCTCCTTTATGTGGGCTGAAGGCAAGTTGTTTCATGGCTTCGTCTATCGTCATCCCACGGATCTGAAGAATACAATTATACAAAATTTGTTAACAGGAAGTGTTTTGTTATGTAGATATATATACCAGAGATGTTTATTTTATTTTTATTAAAAGAAAGTGGATTTGAATCATACATGGCTCCTCTGAAGGCATTCAGATATGCAGTTACAATACAAACTAACTTGCCAATGACCTCAATGAAGTAATTTGATGGAGGTTGATCCTTGAAACCAAGGTATTTGGGGACAACTAAAGCATTCAATATATCAACAAATTTGTTAAAATGTCTTGACAGTGTGGCTTTGGAGAGCTTAGTAAGCATGGTCATTTGCTTCCATGAAAGATTAGTTTTCAGTTTAGCCCAAAATACAGAAACAGGTCTATTGCACTTGCAGTGTCACTTGAAGCTGAAACAAGAACAGATTCAAACATGCCATATATGTCCTTAATATGACCCAAGGTCATGCCAGTCCATGCATGGCATTCTGAATCTGATAAATTTTCAAATCTTAATTTTGGGGAATTCTCATGTTTGGATACTTGATGTACAATTCCAAACGAATCATTGATTACAACCGATGAAATGAAGCCATGAAGGCGTACAGTTTCTATAAGAGCATAAGTAGATGGTACGTTTGTTTATATAGTGAATTGAGGCATACACTTTCTATTAGAACATATGTAACATTTGGCAAATTTTTCATAATGAAAAAAAAAAAATTATATGAAATCCTCAGTTCTGCAGAACTGTTATCTCTTTGAAAGAGAATTTATGGGTCTATAAGATATAATTATCTTTTACAACTTCTTGCATTTAAAACTGAGAGAGGTGTATGTACTTCCTAAACGAGTTTACTAAGAAAAGGGTATGCTTAAACTTCAGTATATAACATAGTATTTAAAAGTCTGTCTTCATTTTCGATGACAACCTTTATTAACACTTACCATTCCTGCTGTATACCACATCTTTGACTGCGAATATGAGATTCTCTTTCTGGCATGACATACATACTGAAAATAATATTCATAAAATCAGATTATTTCCTAGGATGAGTATACCTTAATTGAGGCATTTAAAGATCCTTCTTGAAGCAAAACTTTATATGGCTTTTTCATTTGAACTATGATGCTAAATATTTTACTAGCCAGTTCAATACCATAAAAAATCAAATAAGAAATTACACAATAATAGTAAAATTTTGAGACTTCATCACTGAACATCAGACCAAGTGATAATGCCACATTTCATTTAGAGACAATACATGTATCTTCAACTGATTATAACATATATGAAAATAGGTTTTTAAACCTTGGTCATTATCTGCTGATATCTCGCCTTTATAATTTGAAGTAATCTTAAGCTTTGGTTTTTTTAATTGTGATATACAAACAGTATACATGTTGTATTTGGTTTAGAGGTCTAAGGAAAGAGTCTTATATTGGTGCAACTAATATATTCCTCTAAACTGGAGCTCATAAATTGTCAATTTGAGACCTTGACAAACAAAAAATATGTGTAAATATGATTAATCTTGATATTTACTGCTGGTCGACGAGGTTCTCCTGGTTGCTGAGGAGGAAAAACAACATCATTGTTACGCAGCCAATTTTGCTTTACTACTTTAAAACGTCCCTGTTCTGGAAATGGGTCTCTGTCAAACTCAGCCTGGAACACAGCACTACTGTGGATTGCCTTGCTACATTGCAGTGGATTTTTTATTGCTGTAGCAGATATTGGAATATTCCCTCTGATTAGGCTAGCAAGTTGTCTCTCTGATGTTGTAATTACTGACAAACATAAAATAAAGAACATATATCAGTATGGAACCTCATAGTGATGGGAAATTGGTTAAAGTCCATAATCATTTATCTGTTGACTTAAAATCAGATAGACTTTTGATGTAGTTGATCATACTGTTTCATAGAAAAAGAATGTATTCTCTATTGTAGTAACATTTCTTTATTTTGTAACTGTAACCTACAATACTATGTTTACCTTGAATTTGCAAAAGAATGAATATTATTGGCATCTGGCATTTTAATAATTGCTAAATATGAAAATAAGTTTGTTTGGTTAAAACACAAAAAATATTTAGGTATTGATGAACATTATGAATCAAAGCACTGAATACTGTAGGTTTGAAACTACAGAAAACATCAGGTATTAAATCGCATTATTCTGTGAGTAGGAACTACATAAAATATGTATATGTCAACCATATATTCACAATACTTATCTAGCAATAAAAAATCAATGGAAGATACTGTTTCAGCACTGAATGATCTGCCATTGCAAAAAGAATCAACCATTCATTGCTGTGTCAATATAATATTTGTGGCAGCCATTTTCAAGCTAAAATACAGATGTAGAGATTAAGAACAAAAACTCTAATTAGTTAATCAGATGATCATTGATGTAGAAATGCATGTTCTATACATGCCACATAAAGCTAAAAATTAAACTTATTCTGCTAACTGGTCCTTAGATGATGCAGTATATCATAAACAAGAGGCCAAATGGTAAAGTGTGTTAATGATTGAAGAGTATGGTATGGTCCTCTCGTTCATTCGTCTTCACTTTGCTATGTTTTGATATATCGGACATTTAGTGATATATATAAATAGCATTCTATCTATCTACAAGTATAGGAAAGGTACATGTACATGTCTAAATACATAATACTAACCAATTATAAATAACTATTTCCTGGAACTACACAATACTACCCTAGTTTTAACAACTTTTAGTAGATGAATAAAGATTTTCACTTTGATAATGCTATTTTAGAAGAAAATGTGTATTTTGGTGAAAAATCTCCCACAACGCTACCCAATACTAAAAAACACCATCCAATACTAAATAAATTACTTGATATTACCATAATACTAAGGGATACTTTTATTTTTAGTAGGATTTTTTTTCTGGTGAATCCAAAGTACTTATTCCATAAGTCTGATGAGTCCAGTTACAACAACATATAGTCGGTTCTCAAAAGTTGAGCGAGTCCCACAGGAAAGGCATGAGTCCTGTACTCAAATATCTGAGTCCCAAAAGTCAATGAGGGTAGAGGTGCTTGAATTTAACACCCTGAGCTAATAGATTATTTATTACGAAGTCGTAAATAGTGAATTCGAAATTCTTGCTCAGAGTAGTTCGATACAATTGCTTGCATATAATTACATAGGTAATTGAATATTTATCAAATACAGATCATCGCCATTAAAATGCTCATGCGCTTGATTGATAGTTGTACAAAAAATCCGCTCACGTGTACGTTGTATTACCTTGTCGTGTTAAACCTAACATGATGCACCATGCAATGTCACCCTTCTCCGTCTAAATTTTTAAGCGTTTCGTTGATGCTGATCAAAATGGAAACAAATAGATCAGCTAAAAGCTTGCAACGTAAGAGGTTTAAAGACGTGCAAGCACAACGTGCGGGAAACGTTTCAGTTTGACTTTCGATTAGACCCAACATAATTGTAAATGTCAATAACATCTATTTCAGACCACTTTCATCTTATTGTTGTAAATGAATGGTAAATTGTTGAAGACAGCTGAAGATGATGCCCGAAATCACAATACCAGCATCACCGAATTGGTACTGCTCGCACGTGACTGATGCAAACAGTGCTGGTGTTTATGTTTTTGGTGCACGGAGAGATGTACTGATTTATGATGTGACATGCTACCCGGCTAAAGCTCTGGGTGTCTTTCGTGCTCACAGAGATAAAGTTAGTGCTGTGGGCCTGAATCCTTATCGTGATGACAGCACCAAATGCTGCAGTGGATCAGAAGATGGAAAACTGAAAATATGGAACATTGAATCTAAAGAACAGATATTTGAGCACAATACACATAGGGTAACGATTTATTTTCTCCCTTTTATCAAACAACGAAAGTGTCTAAGAAATTATTTTTCATTGTTATATTTATTAAACTCATTGGGAACGACGTTGAAAACACAATAACTGAATTTTTAAAATTCATTTTTAGGTGTTGGAACACCTATTCATATAATATGCAAACTGGCCTGTTATACGCCAATTTGAGCATTGATCTGTTACTTCAAAAATAAAAATTCAAAGAAGAGACAAGAAGGGAAAACATTCCAACTTTTTAAGAACAAACAAAGATCAAATAATGATTGGCGCCTGGATAGATGTAATGTACCTGTGGGATCTCGCTTGCATATATTTGCACTGCAAGAAACATTTTTTTTCTTTTTTCAGTTATACGAAAGATGCATGGTTGGTGAAAAATGTAACAGGACTGAAATAGAATTGTAACATATTTTCAGTAGAAAGTTATGCAAATGATACCTTGTAATCAGTTATTTATATGCTTGTAGGGGAGGGTGACTGCTATAAGCTGGTCACCTCAGCAAGCAGACCTGGTGCTGAGTGCAGATGAGAAGGGAGAAATTGTATCTTGGCAGTACTTAGAAGGTAGACTTCAGACCTTTAGTCCAGAGAATGCAGCCGTAATGTGTCTTACCTGTTCACCAGTAGCAGCTGGGACAGTCGCTATAGGGTAAATTTAATGTCCATTATTTCATAATTTATCGGTCAATAATTAAAATTATATTGCAGTTCTATCATGTCCAGGATATATATCAAAAAACAAAATTGTACTACCATATTGTATGAATCAGGTTTAATATTGAATCTGTCAACACAATTATTTTCAACCCTATGTTATACATAACTGGATCCTGTGCTTAATTTTTCTAGTGGCAAAAAATATACATGTATCAGTCACTTGAGTAGAATTATTAAGAATTTACCTGTGAGCGACTTTCTGGGTGTAAATTTGAATGAAAGAAATGGCACTCCTAGATCTTAAATTCCATACATGTCTGAGCCCAATACTGGAGATAAGTGATTGTTTTGTTGAATTTTAGTCTTGAATAGGAGGTTTGTGGGAAACAGATTCATCAACTTTTCAGCTAGAAAATTAACTGTTTTGGTATTTTACAGGTATAAGACTGGCTTGATTCTGATCCTGGATGTTAAAAGAGATGGTCAGATTTTGCAACGTCTGCGTGGCCATGATGAAGACATTCAGTGCCTTGTTTGGTGTCCTATCATTGGGGAAAACTTTAAACCTCCAAAACCGGAGTACCGGGATCTGGATGACCCCTCCAATACAGGTACATTGTCAAGTAATTGTTCCCGAAATTTATTGCAGGAAATATAGCCGGCTAGTGACAACAAATATTTTTCTAGCTTCTGTATTTTTGTATATCTTTTGTTAGCTCTTTGTTCTTTATTTTTTTAAATAAATGTTGATATGGTTGTTTGTAAAATAAAAAATTTTTTTTATAGATAATCACTTTGTGCAAAATATTGCTTGGTAGTACATGTAGTTGTTGACAAGGAAAATATCATTCTATTTTAGTGACATTAAGACATCAATGAAAGATGAACAATGACCGTCATATCTATTTTTTTTACCTTCGCTAATATTTTACTTTTTTCTTTTAAAAAAAGTATTGTACTGTAACAGTCAAGAAATGATATCCTGCAGACTTTTTTCTGTGTTGTGTTATAGTCGAGTCCACAGACATCAGTCAGGCTTCAGGGGGAGATGATATCGTAGACTTTGGTGCAGATGGCCATCTTCTTGCATCTGGCAGCAAAGACAAGACAATTCGTATCTGGAGCACTGAAAGGGGTAGACAACTCCTACAGTTACGGGTGGCAAAGTCTGGTGGCCGAGACCAAGGGAATGAATATGGTGGTGGAAAGATTTGGACCACATTTGTATGGCAGAGAAACAATCCTCGCCACTTGATTTCTAGTTCTTCAGGGTGAGATAAATTCTTAAACCTCAGCATTTGTATGTTTTGATGATGTTTTTATGTTAATGGGTCAAAAGAAATAAGTCCACTTCATTCTGCATTCATCCTACCTGAAATCCTCTGAAACATTCCACATTAATCCTTCTTCAAATCCCCCATAGCATTTTGCGTTAATTCTTCCTCAAATCCCTCACAACTCGCTGCATGAAGCCTTCCTCAAATGCCCCACAGCATCCTGCAATGATCCTTCCTGAAGATAAAATCTTTGAAAAAGTAAATTCTAAATTTCTTTTGTTAGGAACCTGAGAATTCTTCAATTAATTCTGATGAATCTTGTAAAGAACATTACTGAGAGGCTGAATCCAAGATGTGGAAATATTTGTTCTACTATTTTGAACAAAGAGTTATGTTATGATTGCTGACATATGTAATTGTGCCATGCATGCTGTTTGGGCCTTTCATTTTCATGAAGTTTATTTTTTGGAGTAGACTGACTCGATAATTTCTTACAGAGGAGATTTGCTGAGATGGGACATTACATCACAGACTCCACAGAAGAGTAAGGCATTTTGTGCTGAACACAAAAAGGGAAGTCACTTTCGTATGGTGTTCAACTTGTGTCTAGCTGGACCCACAGATGACTATCTATGTTCTATGTCCATGGACAGGCAGGTATGTATGGTATAACTCCCACCCAAGGATATCTTGAATATGCTTTTGTCTTCAGTACCTTCAACCTATGAGATTAGCAATAAAAAAAGGTTAGACTTATAAGTCAGCTCTCATTAAAATTATGGTTTGCAGTACCTGTCAGATATACATATGTTTGAAATAAGTCTAACCATGTGGAACCATGATTCACTTACATTTGTTGCTGTCAGAAGTGATTATAAAATGTACCATTTACATCTGCAATACATACAGCTGATATCAGCAGGTTAATGGCTATAGGGATAATTGTATATAGGTAGGTAATGGAAGCTTTTTGAAAAAGAACTTGTCTGCATCTCATTCTATTAGCAACAAAATTCACATGGAATTATTGTCTCTCTGGCGTCACTTTGACTCTCTGAAATGACTTGTCTTAAGTCACAGAGATAAATCAGGGAAAGAGAAATCTTATTCAATTCATCTTAAATAATGTTAGCGATGAAAATGAGGAAACAGAAAAATCCCTCCCTTCCCCTCCCCTGTAGTATTCTGGGTTTTATATCCATGTTGTGAGAGCTGCAGAGGACAGATGTATCCAAAGTAGAATTGCCTATTTAGAATGGTTAGCATTTACAAATCTGAATTCTAGCTGAATATTTATCAAGATATGTACAGTGACTTTGTGTATGCTATTTAGCTTTTGTTCTTTACAGGTGATTGTGTGGAACACTAACTCAGGGTCTCTGTTTGGGGTCTTACCCACCTTTGGCGGGTTTGTTTATGTTGTCAAGTCATCACCTGTTGATCCAGGTAATACACAGTCAAAATTAAAAGGAAAAAAATGACAAAAACAAAAACAAACAAACAAAAGGAAAAACAACTGAAGTTTTTATTAGTATGTACAATTTTATATAACTTCAATAGTTTCGGTAAGAATGTGTTTTAGGGTAATATTCAGACTTTGTGATCTAGGTCTCAATATCTATACATTTCTGTAGTACCATTTCTGTGGTATAAAAATTATTTACTGAAAATTGGAAAAGGGAAATTAGCTGTCTTGGTGCCAATAACTTTAATGTCAGGAGGGACCTATGATTTATATAAGTTAATATTATGTAGAAAAATATGATGTGTAAATCCTATCACAGTGGACTAGCTAAGTTGAGATATGGGGTTGCATCAATATTCATTGATGGGTGAGTCATAAGTGTCATAGTAGACCGGATGGTTGGGTGGGTGGGTGGTGTCATAGTAGACATGATGTAAGGATGAGTGAGTCGTGTCATAGTAGACAGGATGTAAGGGTAGGTCGTAAGTGTCATAGTAGACAGGATGTAAGGGTGGGTGAGTTGTAAGTATCATAGTAGACAGGATGGATGGATGGGTGAGTTGTAAGTATTGTAGTAGACAGGATGTAAGGGTGGGTCGTAAGTGTCATAGTAGACAGGATGTAAGGGTGGGTGAGTTGTAAGTATCATAGTAGACAGGATGGATGGGTGGGTGGGTTGTAAGTATCGTAGTAGACAGGATGGATGGGTGGGTGGGTCATGTCATAGTAGAGAGGATGTAAGGGTGGGTGAGTTGTATCATAGTAGACAGGATGGATGGGTGGGTGAGCTGGCATATTTTAAAGTGTTTACCTTCTGATATGTGACACTATAATAAAGTGTTTTGAATTTGTATTCTATGAAAACAAACCTGATTCAACAGTACAGACAGGTGATACCAAGCAGATATTGTACTAGTAAGGCTTGGATGTTTTAATTTCAAAAATAAATTTCAGGAAGAGTGGCAGTTGGAGTAGGAGACAGCATGATCCGTCTCTGGAACCTCAACAACGTAAACAACCTCACAGACATCAAGAATCTATGGCAAGGAATAAAGGCCAAGGTCACTGCAGTGAGTCGTCATTCTCTGTATTTTACTGTTGGGAATTGGGATATTTAGTGTCATTTTGGGAAACATGGGGAAGTATTTGTAACTTTAGTGTATGAACACCAGCAGTCTATAAAACATACCTGTGTATACACATCACCTGTGTATTAATACCATCACTCTATAAAACATACCTGTGTATACTCATCACCTGTGTATTAACACAATCAGTCTATAAAACATACCTGTGTGTACACATTACCTTTGTATTAACACACTCAGTCTATAAAACATACCTGTGTATACACATCACCTGTGTATTAACACAATCAGTCTATAAAACATACCTGTGTATACACATCACCCGTGTATTAACACAATCAGTCTATAAAACATACCTGTGTATACACATCACCCGTGTATTAACACAATCAGTCTATAAAACATACCTGTGTATACTCATCACCCGTGTATTAACACAATCAGTCTATAAAACATACCTGTGTATACTCATCACCTGTGTATTAACACAATCAGTCTATAAAACATACCTGTGTATACTCATCACCTGTGTATTAACACAATCAGTCTATAAAACATACCTGTGTATACACATCACCTGTGTATTAACACAATCAGTCTATAAAACATACCTGTGTATACACATCACCTGTGTATTAACACAATCAGTCTATAAAACATACCTGTGTATACACATCACCCGTGTATTAACACAATCAGTCTATAAAACATACCTGTGTATACACATCACCTGTGTATTAATACTATCACTCTATAAAACATACCTGTGTATACACATCACCCGTGTATTAACACAATCAGTCTATAAAACATACCTGTGTATACTCATCACCTGTGTATTAACACAATCAGTCTATAAAACATACCTGTGTATACTCATCACCTGTGTATTAATACCATAAGTCTATAAAACATACCTGTGTGTACACATCACATGAGATGACAGGCTTATTCAAATTGCCTTCATTCATAGTCATCATCTGTCTGTCCATCTGTCCATCCTTCCTTCCGTAAACAATTTTGCTATTTCTTGAAAAGTAGAGAATGAATCTTTCTCAAATTTCATATGTAGGTTCCCCTTGTCCTTAGTTGGTTGTATCTATTTGATTTTGGGACTGATCAGAAAAACAAAATGGATGACAATCTCTTGTTTCTTCATAACAACATCGTTTCCCGGTTTTGTGACATTTAGTTCCAACAAAAAAGTTGGTCTTTAATGAACTGTTTCATTAGTTCGATCAATTTCTACCGGAGTTATCATTTCTTAACAGTCATGATACACTTCTGTTAATGGCTCACACACTACCAATAGCTGACCCTGTGGTCAGGGTCGAAGTCTGACACTGGGAAAAAAATATTGCGGCATTCCTGACAACACAAATGAAGGGCACAGCTGTAGACTGTATATGTCATCAATGCCTAATAAACAACATTTTTGCTTTAGTCGAATTATCACCAGTTATCACTGATACCACAGTATATGAACATGTATCTCAAGAACACTACAGTAGTAGTAAAGTGAAAGTACAAAATGTAAACATGAGGGTTGGTGACTGTTTCCTCCAAATTAATTTTCCACATTGTAGTCCATAGTGCATAGCCATATAAACTAATGTAGTCATTTTACAGATGAACAAACATCTTTTTTCAAAATAATAATACAAATGACAAAACAGAAAAATATTTAAGTATGTTATTCGTTTCCAAGATTTCTTGAAATGGAGTTAGCTGTTAACAGAGGTGTCTTGATTTCTGTAATCTTTATGTTGTAGTTATGCTGGCACCCAGTTAAGGAAGGTCTGTTGGCATATGGTACTGAGGACGGTAGAGTTGGTGTGTATGACACTCTCTCCAACAGGTTTGTCAGATTTCCTGTCATATTAAAAGAGTTGAGTCGAAAATTTCCAGGATGTTTAAAAAAAACAAATTCATGTATAATGGTATGTCTTTTCTATTTCCACAATATCGAAAAATTAATTTGTCTGCAAACATTTCCAGATTTTATTTTCCTTGTTAAGATGGTTGATTTAAACACCATCAATATAATACCATAGCTGATGTTGGATTCAGTTCATGCGACAATATGTTTACAAAAGACAATAGTTATGTATCCTGACTAGTCTTCATCTTCAGGCCTCCTAACATATCCTCCACCTACCATAAGAAGACGGTTTATGTGGTGTCATGGGGTCCTCATTGTGCAGACCAAGGTAAGGCTTGTGATGAAACTTCATTTAAAAAATAAATAAAGAGCGTGCATTTGTTGCAATAATGTTATTGGTATTGTGAGTGTAAACATAATTTAAATGGTGATAAAATCAGTTTGAAAGATGAAACAATTTAATAAGCCTGTGGAATTTATCAATGGGATTGTGTAGGATATCACCATAGACATGATATTTGTCTGGAAGGGTTCTTAAAAAGTTTGCTGAAAGAAATGACCTTGACCCATATTCAAGGTAATAGGGATCAATTTGCGAAAGACTTCCAAAGGACTTCTGAATAGCCAAAATGCCAAGAATTGTGATATTTTGCCTGGAGTTTCATGGGGTGAAGCCTGATAAAGTTTGTGAAAAGAAATGACCAATCAATATTTAAGGTCATAGAGTTCAAATGTATTAAAATCTTCCCATGGTTTCTTCTGATTTACACAAAAGCCTGTTGTCAATGTTATTTAACTTGTTGGTTGCTGGGATGATGCTCAACATTTGTAGGAAAAAATTACTTTGAAACATATTCAAAGTCACATGGGTCCAATTTGTTAAAACTTTCAAACAGCGCCTTTCTTATTAAGCAAAATGCTTAGAAGCAAAATGTTTGACTGAAAGGTTCCTAGGATAAAGCTTAATGTATGTCTTAAATGGAACCTTCAAACAAGTTTTTATTAATAAAGGCTTTGAATGCCGAAGATGTAAAATGTCGATGTATCAGTGAATAGCATTGAATACCACATGGGCGATGCAGGCCCATTGGTCCTCTTGTTCTCAATTTATCTTCTGACAAAAACAGTAAAGATGATATTCTTCGCACTTCAAGAAATGTCAACTGGTTAACATTTTTTCATGAGTAAAATTGAAAGAAATCAGATAGATGGGTAATTTAAGCTGCCTATAGCAGCTGTAATTGTAAAAGCAGTTGGGTTTGCATACATTCTTTTTAAATGAAAACTACATACATCATATTTAAGTTATTAGAGACTGTCCATTACTTCGACTTTAGTTGTGGTCCTTGTCATATATTTACATCATTATCTTGGGTGCTGATATTCAGAGGATGGATCAGGGGGCTACAGTCTGTACAGTATTGGTGACGGTGTTATCCTGGAACATGATGTCTATAACCTACAAGAAGAAGCCAGTGACATCAACTTGCTCATACGGCAAACCAACGGTAAAAAGGTAAATTCAGGGGCAGTCTTAAGTCTTAATTTTGGGTCTGATCAGAAAACAAACATGGTAGAAAGGTGGCCATCTTGGATTTTGATTTCGAAAGTTTGTTTTTGCTATTTCTTGAGAAGGATCTTACTTAAATTTCATATGTAGGTTCACCTTGGTCCCTAGTTGTGCAAATTTGATTTTGGGACTGATCAGAAAAGCCAAATAGTCGAAAGGCAGCCATCTTGTATTTTGTCTATTAAAGAATGTTATTGCTATTTCTGAAGAAGTACTGAAGGAATATCTCTCAAATATCATAATTATTTTCCCTTTGATCTCTCCTCATGCTTGTTTGCATTTGGGACTGATCAGAAGAAACAAAATGGCTTCCAGGTGGCCATTTTGGATTTGGCAGGTACAAATTATCATTTATTTATGCAAAGGAATGTTCAAATGTCTTATCATTAATTGCAAAAACAGAGAAGAGAAGAGAAAAGAAGGGAAAAGATTCAAAGAGCATATAAAGATCAAACAATGGTGGGTGCCAAGATCCCTCTGGGATCACTTGTTTTTCATACTTAAATTTTGTCCGGAGCATTACACTAAATTATTAGAGGTATCAACATGGAACTTCCTAGATCTCAACAGGTAGGGCAGTACACAAAGTCATAACTCTCCTATTGCCCTTTATCATTTTATACTTAAAATGTTGTCACAATCGGGGAGCATAACCTGTCTCTGATGGCCCTTGTGTTTTCAAGTCAGCTTAGTACTCTATTGCTGATTTTGTGTTTACTTTGATAAGCGTCGTAATGAAATTACAACCATGACAGACAAATTTTGAAATATCACAGTGACATTTCTTTCAACTGAATGTCAGTTGTTTTACCAAAGTTATGATGGATAATGAATTATAATTGCTTTCCAACACCACACAGTGGAGTGATAGTCTTTGGTGCCGTAGTATAATTGTTTTGATTACATGTAATTCCTAGATTAAGTTGCCAGTACGCAGTGAGATCAGCTGGAGCCCAGACTTTTTGTTTGTTGCTGTTGGCAATGATGATGGGTAAGATTAATCATTTGATTTACTAATTTTTGCCAGAGAATCATCAGTTTGATAAAATTTACAATTGGGAATCAGACACACAGTGGTACACTTGTCAGTGTTATATCTCTGTATATTTATCGTTTGATCTACTGTTCTGCATAAAATGGTCTATATTAGTTTGGCTAGGGGTGTAACAATAAACCAGTGCACCACCATATATGGAGCCACAGAACGTGTATCATATCGCTGCTATATGTATAAGTTGTGAATGATAGAATTAAATATGATTGTTCATCAATATATTGAATAGGATATAGCAAATCACACTTTATCATATTTGCAATGCCTCCTGTGTTCAGGATAATATATTTTATACTGATTTTGGTTTGCAGTATTTAAACAAAGGCCGAAATTGATACTATTTTTGTATGAATTTTTTTTGTAGATCGGTGGAAATCTTCAAGTCTCCAAATTTTTATTTGGTTGCCACTGTCCATATTCATAAAAAGTTGATCAATTGCATTCAGTGGCATCCCCACATTACCATGGCGACACCAAGTGGCTCTCCCTACAAGTACTGGATAGCTACAGCATCTAACGAGGCAGGGGTGTACATTGTAGACCTGTCATCACTCCTGAACAAAGGTTTGTTGGGAAAAATTTAACCCATTATCGCCAGATGATAGACTGTTCACATCATTATTCTTGTTATAGCTACTTTAGAAGCAGTGGATGGGTCTTTCTCTTATCCCATATTCCCTATTGACCCTTGTGGTATATGTGGTAGTGATTTTCAATACAACATATATTCGTACTATGATATATACCCGTGATGATTATTTCACTAAAATAATTTCGGATTCATGGCAAATGTGTTCAAAGTTACAATATTGTCAGTATACAGCAGCTAGTAATTAGTCAGGCATATATTTTCAGCTTGTATCCCAGCAGTATTTCATTGCACGATCAGCTGTTAGAGTTACTTCCCTTCGTTCATCCTGTAGGATATTATTGGTGCAAAAACACATCATCATTACAATTTCTGAAACAGTTCGTGATTGGTAACTGATGTTTTATGTATCTCATTCTTTGAGAAAGAATGCATTTTTCTGAATATTAACCTTATATGCAAAACTGGTTAAGAATGATATGTGGAGGAGATATTTTGGAGAAAAGTTTTAGTGTTTTTAGCTGGTACCTGAATTGTATTTACAGGTGAAGACCCGCCAGCTGATCCTGTGGTAGTGTCTGAGTCCAGGCAATGTCTCCTTGGCCATGTTGACCGAGTGACTGGTGTGGCTTGGAGTCCTCATATTGATCAACAACTGGCCACCGTTTCCTATGATGGTCAGGCTCTCGTAAGTTATTCTTTGTTGGTCTTGTAGGAACTGGACAGTTAAAATAATCTCCATACAATCATCAAGTTTTTTGTGTTTAATCTTGACACCAACATATACTTACCAACATTATGATTTCAGTGTTTCAATATCATGTTCATCTTACCACCAAAAGGGGATGGGGTCGCTAGGGTGTCTGACTGTCATTATCACTAGCTTGTTTTGAGGTCTATGTGGGCAGTCTCCAGGTACTGGCCACAAGTCTAAGAAAATTCCAACTTTCCTCCACCACCAAAACCTGGCACACCTTTAAATGACATTGGCTGTTAATTGGACGTTAAGCTACAATAAACCAAACCAAACTTACTGACAGGTTTTAGAGCAGATACTCTCTGATTTTAGTATCTTAACTGTTGACGATCACCATGTAGACATATGTAGTCATATGCAAGTAGAAAAAAATGGCTTGACAGCAAATATTGTAATAATATTATAAGTTTTCAATACATTGTAACTGCAGTTGTAAAATTTTCAATATATTGAAACAGCAATTGTAAAATTTGTGAAGTAATTTTAAATATTTTATTCCGTTTGAATTGGAATGTATGTATTTTAAATGCTTACATTACTCATAGGTTTGGGATGTGGATAAGAATGAGATGCTGGCATGTTACCAAGGTCACAATGGGAGACTACTCTGTGTACAGTGGAATGGCTTGGAAGAAGACTTGGTGATGACTGGATCTGATGATTTCTCTCTCCACCAGTGGCGACCTTCACTCCATGTGCCAAACCCAGAAAATGGTAAATAATTTGATAAAATAATTGTAATCATTGTTGAACAAGCAATAGAACTTATTAATTCAAATGATAGGTATACCCTCAAAATTCAAAAGCCCAGATAACAAACTAAAAAAACACAACATTCAGACACAAAAAGATATCTCAGTGTTACAGACACCTTATTCAGTAAACTATAAATATATTTGCAATGGTACCAAAATTTGACCATGTGACCTTTATGTTGACCTTTGACCTACATTTGAAAATTTAACAGTAGCCATAACTATTGCACCATAAGAGGTAGGGATTTCATATTTGGCATGTGTGTTCCTTGTGACAAGACCTTTCTGGCGATACCAGAGGACCATGTGACCTTCAGCCTTCATTTGAATAACTTAAACATTGGCCTTTACTATTGCACAATGAAGACAAAAGTGTTTCACAAAGTCTGTGTGCCATTAGAACATGCCTTACACAGTACAGTTTTCATATCCCACTTCAGAATTTTGCTGCAACCTGGGGAATAGTGTTTTATAAATAAACATTGTTCATCATCTAGAATTCATAGACTTATCATTAATCATTCTGTTATTGAGGTTTGTTTACAGAAAATAATTTTATTGTTTCTACTTTATCAAATATCTAATGTGTAACTGCACATATGTTTTCATTGCACATATAAGCTTCAATATAAAAACAAAAATTCATTATAGCTCATCAGTCAATTTCTAGAACGACTAGAGGAATTTTATGGGATTATATATTCACAAACCTTTTACACACCTCGGTAGAGAGGTTGTCCAGTAAGATATGCTATAGGTAGTGTATGAATCATTAGGCCCTTATTTACCTTGACCATATTTGAAGGCCCCAAATGAGTTTGATATTTTTTTATTTTAAATGACCAGAATTATTAAAAAATACATAAATATTTGTGCATAATTCATTTGTGTACTTCATTAATTGTTTTGCTGAAGATATTTGTAAATTGCCTTCAGTTGTCTGTTATATCAACAAACTTAGGTCAACATAGTAGTAACCATATAATAACAAATTTTGCAGAATTAGTTTCTGGATTGTAATTAAACTGTTGATGTTTCAGCTGGGAGACAAAGAAAGCAAAAACACAACAAGAAGAAGTCCAAGAAAAGTTCCTCCGTTGTCAAAGAGAAAAGTTTCCCTGTCGTCAGTCCTGATACTCTAGTATCAGCTGACCTATCCCTAACCACTGAAGATCGAGATGGTCTGGAAAAAATACTTGAGGAGAAACGGCAACAGATTTTGAGGAAGGACAATTTGGTATTACCAGAAGAAACAGACAAGACAGGTAAAGGGTTCATTTTCATGTTTCAAAGCACGTTCAATGTTGTGATTGTCTTCTTCTATGGTCAACCTTTGTTTCTTCTTCCTGAAATTATCAAAATTTGGTTTGATTGGAAAACACCATAAACAACTTGGTCTGTAATTATTAAAACTCCTTTGCTGTCTATACCCACTATCTTCTGCAGAGAAACCTGCATCATATAATAATATCATTTAGGTAATATAAAACTTAATCAACACATGTTATTGTTCTGCTCTGCAAATCCATCTTTGATGACATGAAGTTTTTAAAGGATAGTAACAAAATTTCAGCTCTTTTCTTGACTTAACTAGGCAGTGTAAATTATTAGTTATCTAGCTTTAGCTGATGTGTTGAATTTACAAATTCATTGTCATTTCTTTCCATGTTGTATACAAGGTCTTACTATCTTGAATGTCATGTGCTTTAACATGATACTGGCTGGTTACAAAATAAGGTTAGATTAGTTAGCACCATATTGTCTAAAGAAAAGTTACAAAAGGTGTTTCATCATGTTGACTAACAAACAAGGTCACAGAAGGTGAAGGTCATAATCTGTCTCATCATATTGACTAAAAAACATGGTCACAGAAGGTGAAGGTCATAATCTGTCTCATCATGTTGAATAAAAAACCTGGTCACAGAAGGTGAAGGTCATAATCTGTCTCATTGTGTTGACTAAAAAACCTGGTCACAGAAGGTGAAGGTCATGATCTGTCTCATCATGTTGACTAACAAACATGGTCATAGAAGGTGAAGGTCATGATCTGTCTCATCATGTTGACTAAAAAACATTGTCAAAGAAGGTGAAGGTCATGATCTGTCTCATCATGTTGACTAAAAAACATGGTCAAAGAAGGTGAAGGTCATAATCTGTCTCGTTGTGTTGACTAAAAAAATGGTCACAGAAGGTGGAGGTCATAACCTGTCTCATCATGTTGACTAAAAAACTTGGTCAAAGAAGGTGAAGGTCATAATCTGTCTCATTGTGTTGACAAAAAAACATGGTCACAGGAGGTGAAGATCATGATCTGTCTCATTGTGTTGACTAAAAAACATGGTCACAGAAGGTGAAGGTCATAATTGGTCTCTTTATATAGGCTTAAGATCTTAGTTACAGAAGTTTGAGCTCTTGCTGTGATAAAGTTGAAGTTTTGTGGGATCTTCTTGCATATTCTCTAAAATTGTAGAACAACACAAAATGTCTTTTAATATTGAAGATCAATGTCTGTACTTAAGGAGGGTCTTATATCCAAAAAACCCAAGGCTATAAGGAGATCTCACAATGCATGAAAACTAAAGCAAATATCTTATATTAAATCTGCAGGTAGATTTCAACCAATTTAACATTGTAGGTTACCAGAAATGTTGAAATATTGTCTTCTCTTTTGGTAGACTGGTAGACATAAGGGAAAAATGCTTAGTATTGTTATAATTTTGCAAAAATCATGGTTTCTGGATGTACCATTTAGCTTCCAGGGGGAGGGAACTGTCAAAAACATGAACTTTCTGTATCGGCATATGCATTTCAATGTATGCAGATATAATGCAAAGATTTGGCAAACATATCTGAGATGGAATCGGATTAAGGCTAACTTTCTAAAAAAAATCTGTGGCATTTTACTTTTACTCTGCATGGTTAAATATAACTTGATTGGACCACAAAATTATTATGCCATTACAAACTATAGTATGTGTTGTATTTGTTTGTCCTATCTGTTCAGATTAGATTGGAAGTGCAATTGTCTCTAACAGCCCTTAAGATTTATTAGAATCAAGAACCTTAATTTTATAACAGTTCCTCCAAAAACTGCTGGTTGGCACACCCTGAAATGAATAATTAAGATGTTTCTGAAGAAAGGCATTTTTAATTCATCAAATTTCCTAGTGCACCAGTCCCTTAGATGTCAATTATATACCTTGTAAATGCCTGTCCACCTAAACCACTACTTTAACACTGTAATGTGGTATAGTTACCAATCCTGACATCTAGAAATGCATAAAGAGATGTATTTGTGATTAGAGATTATATACTTGATTTAAGACCTGGAAAACGTTACTGACCCTCATTAACATTTGTTCTGCATTTTTTGCATCAGACATGAACATTTATTATTCAGTTCTACTTTTCATGTAACAAATTGCCTCTATCAAAGACTGAAGAATGACTTTTGTGTACTGGTGTGTTTAGTTTGAGCTTTTGAACATTGATTGGACTGGAGTGTGTTTAGTTTGAGCTTTTGAACATTGATTGGACTCGAGTTTAGTTTGGGCATTTGAACATTGATTGGACATGAGTGTGTTTAGTTTGAGCTTTTGAACATTGATTGGACTGGAGTGTGTTTAGTTTGGGCTTTTGAACATTGATTGGACTGGAGTGTGTTTAGTTTGGGCTTTTGAACATTGATTGGACTGGAGTGTGTTTAGTTTGGGCTTTTGAACATTGACTGGACAGGAGTGTGTTTAGTTTGGGCTTTTGAACATTGATTGGACTGGAGTGTGTTTAGTTTGGGCTTTTGAACATTGATTGGACTGGAGTGTGTTTAGTTTGGGCTTTTGAACATTGATTGGACTGGAGTGTGTTTAGTTTTGGCTTTTGAACATTGATTGGACTGGAGTGTGTTTAGTTTTGGCTTTTGAACATTGATTGGACTGGAGTGTGTTTAGTTTGGACTTTTGAACATTGACTGGACTGGAGTGTGTTTAGTTTGGGCTTTTGAACATTGATTGGACTGGAGTGTGTTTAGTTTTGTCTTTTGAACATTGATTGGATACGAGTGTGTTTAGTTTTGTCTTTTGAACATTGATTGGACACGAGTGTGTTTAGTTTTGTCTTTTGAACATTGATTGGACACGAGTGTGTTTAGTTTGGGCTTTTGAACATTGACTGGACTGGAGTGTGTTTAGTTTGGGCTTTTGAACATTGATTGGACACGAGTGTGTTTAGTTTGGGCTTTTGAACATTGATTGGACTGGAGTGTGTTTAGTTTTGTCTTTTGAACATTGATTGGACACGAGTGTGTTTAGTTTGGGCTTTTGAACATTGATTGGACTGGAGTGTGTTTAGTTTTGGCTTTTGAACATTGATTGGACTGGAGTGTGTTTAGTTTGGGCTTTTGAACATTGACTGGACTGGAGTGTGTTTAGTTTGGGCTTTTGAACATTGACTGGACTGGAGTGTGTTTAGTTTGGGCTTTTGAACATTGATTGGACTGGAGTGTGTTTAGTTTGGGCTTTTGAACATTGATTGGACTAAGAGGTTGGTATTGATCCTCTATGATGAGTATGAAATACTATAGCCAACTCATTTCTCCTTGGAATTTGCACACAGACATACTTCACCCGAGGGCACAAATGAAAAACTCTGCATTGGCTATGTCTGTCACTGTCTGTTGATATTTGTTTATTGGTGTCTTTGACCTTGGCATAGGTCAGATCAATATAGTTTTATCATCAGAGCAATTTTTCTAGTTTGTAATGTAAGTTTAGTATATGAGGATAATTGGCATTTCATGTCTAAAATGAATGTCAGGCTCTCTTGTATAAATTAATTAGAAATATGTGTATATCAATGTGTTACAACTATTTGTGATATCAAACAAGTGGGCCAGGATGACCTATAGTCATTATCCATTGCGACCCCCCATGTGTTGTAAACTTTTCACATTTTAAACATCTTTTCATGGTCCACCAGTGGCATTCACACTTCCCTTAAATCCTGAGATGGTCCTGACCAAGTTTTTAAAATTTTTTTTGGGTCTCTGAAAAATCCAATATGGACATTATGGTGGCCATCTTGAAAATTGATGGGATGTTAATGAGAGGAAGATGACATTGTGTTGTTATCTTTGTTCCTCATGAAAACTTTGATTTGGCAATCAATGTACCATGTTTATAACAAAATTGTGCAATCTTAGTTTCCCTGAACAGCATCCATTTTAAACTTGACAAATTCCATCAGTGGGATTGAAACTGTCCTGAAAAGTACCTGTTATTTTCTGGGTATGTCTGAAATCCAATATGGTTGCCAAAGCTGCCATCTTGGAAAAACGTTTTTGAGAGTTCTGATGCAGTTTTACAAGTGCAATTGAGCTGAAGCAGCTTGTTTTTGATATCTCTTCTTCTAAAATATTCAGAATGGTTTTAATCGTTTATCTGTTGTTCCCAGTACTGCTAGTCTAACAATTTTAGGTCTTCATAGTCAGGTGACAAGTACGCCCACGTGGGCCTCTTGATTCAATGTTAGGAAAATTACAGCATGTTATAGAGGTTCAGACTTTAGTGCTCGGAAGTATATTTGGCCTGTTTGCTTTATTGCTTTGTTACATGTACTTCAACATATTGAAGTAATGTTGTACGAGGGCTAACAAACCTATGCTGTCCGTGTGAATTGACAGTTAATTTAGATGATATTGACTTGATAGGGTTTGGATACCAGCAGTGTCAAGAGACTTAACAATCTAGCCTGGTCTTCATTGTCTCCACACACTCCTCCCATGTTATTTATGTATTATAGCCACAGAAGGGATGGTCACAGCAGATGGTGAACCTGGTACAACTTCCTCTAATACCACCAGTAATTATTCGACTGTCTCTACAGCAGCTGATGTCACAGAAAATGGAAACTCTTCTGGTCTTCCTGACCTTGGAGAACCTGTAACCTCAGAGATAGGTCAAGAGTTCACCCAGAAGGAAATCAAATCAACATCCAACACTGACCGGATTAGGCCAACAGGTATGTATTGATGTTTAAAAAAACAGAAACATATTTATTTGGTTGCAAAAAGAATTAAGACCAATATCAATTATGGGAAAAGTAGCATCGTGATAAATTTGTGCATTCACATTTATTTCTGTATGAATGACATACAGAAAATGCAATAGGGGCTGCAATAAGATAACTGTTAAAATATAATCTGCTGGTTTTGTAATCAGCTGTGTACCTGTGTTCTGTTTTGCACTTCCTTGTACAATTCTGTGTCCTGGTTTGGACTTCCTTGTCTTAATCTGTGTTCTGACTTGAACTTCCTTGTCCTAATCTGAATTGTGCCTTGGACTTCTTTGTCTTAATCTGTGTTCTTACTTGGACTTCCTTGTCCTAATCTGTGTTCTGTCTTGCACTTCCTTGTCCTAATCTGAATTGTGCCTTTGACTTCCTTGTACAAATCTGTGTTCTTACTTGGACTTCCTTGTCCTAATCTGTGTTCGGTCTTGCACTTTCTTGTCCTAATATGAATTGTGCCTTGGACTTCTTTGTCTTAATTTGTGTTCTGTCTTGAACTTCCTTGTCCTAATCTGAATTGTGCCTTGGACTTCTTTGTCTTAATCTGTGTTCTTACTTGGACTTCCTTGTCCTAATCTGTGTTCTGTCTTGCACTTCCTTGTCCTAATCTGAATTCTGCCTTTGACTTCCTTGTCCTAATCTGAATTGTGCCTTGAACTTCCTTGTCTTAATCTGTGTTCTGTCTTGCACGTTCTTGTCCTAATCTGAATTGTGCCTTTGACTTCCTTGTCTTAATCTGTGTTCTGTCTTGCACTTTCTTGTCCTAATCTGAATTGTGCCTTTGACTTCCTTGTCTTAATCTTCCTTGACTTCCTTGTCCTAATCTGTGTTCTGTCTTGCACATTCTTGTCCTAATCTGAATTATGCCTTGGACTTCCTTGTCCTAATCTGAATTGTGCCTTGAACTTCCTTGTCCTAATCTGTGTTCTGTCTTGCACTTCCTTGTCCTAATCTGAATTCTGCCTTTGACTTCCTTGTCACTTCCTTGTCTTAATCTGTGTTCTTACTTGGACTTCCTTGTCTTAATCTGTGTTCTGTCTTGAACTTCCTTGTCCTAATCTGAATTGTGCCTTTGACTTCCTTGTCTTAATCTGTGTTCTTACTTGGACTTCCTTGTCCTAATCTGTGTTCTGTCTTGCACATTCTTGTCCTAATCTGAATTATGCCTTGGACTTCTTTGTTCTAAATTATGTTGTGGCTTGAACTTCCTTGTCCTAATCTGTGTTCTGTCTTGCACTTTCTTGTCCTAATCTGAATTGTGCTTTGGACTTCCTTGTTCTAAATCATGTTGCGGCTTGGACTTCCTTGTCTTAATCTGTATTCTGTCTTGCACTTCCTTGTCCTAATCTGAATTGTGCCTTTGACTTCCTTGTCTTAATCTGTGTTCTGTCTTGCACTTTCTTGTCCTAATCTGAATTGTGCCTTTGACTTCCTTGTCTTAATCTGTGTTCTTACTTGGACTTCCTTGTCCTAATCTGTGTTCTGTCTTGCACGTTCTTGTCCTAATCTGAATTGTGCTTTGGACTTCCTTGTTCTAAATCATGTTGCGGCTTGGACTTCCTTGTCCTAATCTGTGTTCTGGCTTGAATTTCCTTGATAGAATCTGATTTGGAAAATTGTCTTTAGTGTTGGCATAAATTCTTCTTTAATTTGTTCCATTTGAAACTTGTTGCCTTTTTAAAGATATTTAATCAAACTCGTGTAAATCAAGGACACAAAATCTGTTAACCACTTGTAGTATTTCCTGAATGATTTACTGTTATTTTGTCCAGCCTGTATTTTTCCAATTTTTTTAAATAACTTGGTTAGAATTACTCTTCATGCCATAATCTCTCTTAGCACTATAATCAAAATAATATATAAAAAAACTTGTGTTCTTGCATTAAGCTATAAATTTTTGATGTTTTCCTGCAGTGTATACTTAAATATTAGGATGCTTCCATGGTCTTCACAAACGTTTGATCGTGATGTAAGAGTACAGCCTAGTTATTACAGAACTCATCATGTGTGTTGACATTGTAATATCTCACTATGCTAAAAATGTTTAGTTTTATGTTGTTAAGTCAATCAATAAATTATAGTTATATCTGTTCTGAAGCTATCTTGGATCATGAATACTGGAAATATTCCTACATAAATGACAAACTTCAAGCAAACTCAAGATAAGGGAACAGTTGATATGTATTTTCAGAATATTGGGAAACAACTTTGTATAAATAGCTATAGTACAAGACATTAAAACTGCATGCTTTCTTATGCTCATTTCATAAACTGACCATAACTGTCACTTGTCTTTGTATTTGTTGCTTGTCCTGTCTATTTATATCATTACAATGAATGAGAAGACAGCTTGAAGAGGGAAAGTACTTAATACCATATTAGGTAATGTTACTGTGATTTACTTAATACCATATTAGGTAATGTTACTGTGATGTCACGAGCTGTCACGGTTCTGATAATGTCTAGTCTAGCTAGCCAAAACATGTAAACTGATAATAAAACCACGGAATCCAGGTGTTGATGTTCCATCTACTGTCATTTTTATTTACCTTCCTTGATGAGGCTCTATTGAATACTGTTTGGTATCCATCTTTGATTCTTTCATGAACTGATTACCGACTGAAAACAATCAGGATGATGTTTCACTCCCACTCTGTTAGAAGTTTTGTCTTTCACAAACTTTTTATTAAGAAATTGATATGAAAAGAAATCAGCTTGTCAGTTGTATTGTTAGGTCATCAGACCAAAGGGTTTGTTGTCTATCATGCTGAAACTCTCTCATCAAATGACTTCTTCTCAGTAACCAAAAGGCTCAGGGTGCTTATATTAGGTCTGAAGCATGCTGGGATGAAGGGCTACCTGAGGTTGGTTCACATCATATATCTTGCCCAACTTTCAAGGTCACAGGGGTTAAATATGGCAAAATCTTTAAACAACTCCTTCTCAATAACCAAATGATCTTTAGTGCTGCTATTGGGCATGTCATATGCTGGAGTGAAGGGCTACCAAGTCTATTTGTATTATTGACCTTGACTCACTTTCAAGGTTACATATGTCAAATACATCAAAATCTTTAAACAACTTCCTCTTAGTAACCAAAAGGTCAAGGTTGCTGATATTTGGTCTGTGGCATGCTGGGATAAAAGATTACAGATTTTGTTCATGTGATTGACCTTGACCCATTTTACAGGTCACAGAGGTCTAATATCTTAAAATCTTCAATTGACTTCTTCTCAATAACCATAAGGTCCAGGCAGTTGATTTAGTTCTTTAACATAACTGAATGATTGATTTCGATCTTCTTACAAGTTTTCTGGGGTCAAATGAGTTAAGATCTTAAAACTTCTTATTTCAAATAGCAATAGGTCCGTAGTTATGGTATTTGTGTAGTAGTATATATAAGGAATAGGAAGTTTGCAGAAAATGTTTTTATGAACCTACAATGTAAATTGTGGAGTAGTTGAGCAATTAAGATGTATTTTGTTTCTTTCCTATATATGGCCAGATTGCTGTTAAAGCCCATTGGCCTCTTGTTATTCATTTTTAAGACATATAATCGAAAAACAAATTTTATCAATGCATGTTATCTACTTCATTATGTAGCAGTGGGCAAGGGAGGGAAATATTCTTCAGTCCTACGTCTGTTTTCTTCGATATAAATACAAACTTAGAGTCTGATATTCCTCACAATGGGTTTGCTATCCACCTTTATACTGCCTGGCCTTGTCACCAGAGAACAACACAGTTCTGTTTATGAAAGGTCACTACACAAGGAATTATTCATTTAAATTTTGCTGGTTTCTTTTAACATTTCAAATTTCTATGAGTAAAATAATCGTAAGTTCTTAAGATAAATCAAAGAGATTTTAAGATTTTTAATACTTTGTCAGTACTCTTAACCAATTTTCTTTCACAGCGAATGACTTTCGTAATTTCAGTAATATAAGTTCTCTGTGATTTATTTAAAAAGTTTGAAGTCACCATCGTAAAAATTAAAGTGTATGGTCTTCATTAAACTCTTTAGGGATCCCATACCTGGTTGCTAATTTGGTCACGACTGGTGAGCTTAACATAGTATGTTTGAGGGACTTTGTTCATTAGATGGGACAACTTTGAACACATCATCAACAGCATGGTACCCAGAAGAACAAACTAAGGTGATAACTTCCAATTTAAGAAGGTGCTTCATAGCACACTTCCCTACACTGCTTATAGTTAGAGGTTGTGTTTTAGCCCACTTATTTTGTGGCAATATAAAAGAATATTAGACCCAGGAATAAAAGCTATGAATATAAACTATAATGTTGTAAGATGCCTAGCAAAGGTTGGCATATTGATTAAATGATTTCCTCTTAACCGTCTATATTTGTCTGACGAGGGCAATAGGTCAACAGGTTAAAGAGGTGATAATTGTGCATCTTCCATCAGGAAGTAACAGATATTTGTTATTAACACTGAAAGTGATTTCAGCTTTTTCTCGACGTCAAATAAATATATGTGTTTGTATTTATTACTGTATGTCAGGTCATCCCTAGTTCTTAAAAGCCAGTTACTAAAATACATCTTAACCTCCTGTTCATTGTCGTTGCGCTGTCCATACTTTACTCAGTGGTCTGGGAGGATTTATAACAAAATTATATTTCCAGTAATACTCAGTCTGTCAGAGTTATTATACAATGGAAATGAACGTGCCATCAGAGGACAGCTTTCTGTGGATTTTGAGATCAGTCTGAATATAAAATGCTGAGTCGGCAAATGTGTTTCATGACATATCTACATCAGGATTCTTGTATTAATGGAGGATAGTGATCATGTTGCTTTTACTTCTAAGTAGATAGAAAATGGTCAGTAGATTTAGTTTAACACGTCAAGCTCTACATCCTTCAGTACATGAAGGCTAATCATTTTCATCAACCTCGGACTGTTTTCCTGCCACATTTAATGTTTACAAA